GTGAGCTTGAAACCGAAGGGCTCGAGCCACTTCCAAAAGATGACGGTGTTTGCGTTCGACAACCCCGTTTTGCTGAGGAGTGTGAACACAACTAGTTTGGCGTTCCATACCATAATCAAAAAAATGATTTTGCAAATCAACATGGGTAAATTCCAAACCATTATCAGTACGAAACACCTTTATGGAAGTTTGAAATTGTGTGAAAACCCAATTGAAAAACATCAATAAATACCGTTTAACCTCAGATTTATGCTTCATTAAAAAAACCCAAGTAGCACGACTATAGTCATCAACAATAGTAAGGAAAAAACGTGCTCCAGAATGAGAGGGGGTATGATAAGGACCCCAAATGTCACAATGAATCAAATCAAATGTATGTAGGGATTTATTGGTATGCAAAGGAAATGGCAAACGTGTCTGTTTAGCTCGACAACAAGCATCACAAATTGAAATTGACTGTGGACTAGAAAATGAAATACTTGGAATGATAGAAAGGCGACTGATTGGCATGTGGCCCAAACGATGATGCCATAAGGTAGATGAGCTATCCTTTTGTGTCAACAGAATGTTCCGCCCGCCACCAGTATCCAAATGCTCCAAGTAGTACAATCCATCACGTTCTCTACCCACTCCAATCAGCCTCCTCGAGCGTAAGTCCTGAATAAAACAAAAATTAGGACCAAAAGTGAAGAAGCAATTTAAATCTCGAGTGAGTTTGCTAACAGAAACGAGATTAAATCGAAATTGAGGAACCCCCAGAACATCTTTTAAGACTAAATTTTTGTCAAAATGAAAATGACCAACTGTGGAAACCGGAACCCTAGCACCATTAGGTATTTGGACAAAAATAGGATGAGAAGGTCGAGAAACATTCTTCAAGGAATGAATCAAATGAGTAGTATGATCGGTGGCGCCGAATCGGCTGCCCAACTGTCTTACCGGAAGACGGAGTGGAGGAAGAAGGCGCAGCAACCGTGGGCGGCTGATTACCCAACATGGCAAGGAGCTGCGAACTGTGATGGAGTGAGAGTGGCGGCCGCTGCGAGGAAGGGACATGGTGTCCGTGATGAAAGAGAAAGCCGCGATAATGTGGCGAACGCTGCCGGCGTTGAGGCTGTCGCCAACCGGATGGATAGCCGATCAATTCAAGCAATGATCGACGGTGTGATTGGTACGCCGACAATGCGAGCAGAGAAGTTTGTTTGGTCCACCGCCGCCGCATTGATCGATCCTATCCCGAACGTCTCGGCGGCGGTTATCACGGCGAGAATCACCGGAGATTTGACAAGCGTGGTGGTGGCTTCGACGACGGGAAGACGTTGATCAGAGATGCTGCGTTGTTTTTCATCACCGACAACAATAGAATAAGCTCTGCCCAAGGTCGGTAACGGTTCGAGACTAAGGATTTGAGATCGCACCGTTTTGTAGGTTTCATCAAGCCCCATGAGAAAGTCATAGACCTTTTCTTCTTCACGGATATTTTCCAGTTGCTTCTTCGCGCCGCAAGAACAAACGCAGCAGGAACAAACCGGCAATGGACGAAGATTCTGTAATTCGTTCCAAACAGACTTCAGTTTGCCATAGTAGGTTGCTGTGGAAGCCTTCTCCTGCTGCAGCAAAGCAATGGTACGCTTCAGATCATAGACGCGAGGGGCGATTCCTTGCGTGAAGCGTTCTTGAAAATCCCGCCAAATCTCCAAGGCGAGAATGTGTGTTTGCGGCACGGGTTTGAGTTCCTTGCACCCGCGTTGGTGATCCGTGCTTTAAGCAAAGCGTTGCATTGGATCCAACTTTGGAAATCATCGCCATTAACAGCGGGTTTGGAGATCGTACCATCCGTAAATCCAGCTTTATTTTTGGATTCAAAAGCGATTAAAATGCTATTCCGCAAGTAAAGTAATTGTCGCCGGTTTCGACTAACGGATCGGTGACAAATAACAAGCCGGGATGATCAGAGGGATGGATGTAATACGGGGATTTCATATCAACGAGTGGTTGAGTGATGACAGATGATGGTGGAGGAGGAAGATCACCGGAAGTAGAGGAGGTTTCGACCATGTCGGCGGAGAAGGAAATGGAGCCGGAGAAGAAAGAAAAAAAAAAAATGGTGGTTGACGGCTCAAAAAAATTTTAGGGTTTGCTCTGTACCATGTAAAACAATATGGTAAAAGATGTTTTCATTATATTGGAAAAAATTGATTCAAGAGATGGTCATATATAGACTCATATATAGACCGATATAACAACGTGATTAATATGGAAAACTCTATCCCTATTTCTATAAACTAGGAAGATATCTCAATAGCATTTGTTCAGGATGACAAAACATTAATCTGGTTGGACCCTTTTGAAAGTGTCAGGTTAAAGAAAGTTCAACAAATTAAGACGAACCACAACACAAAAGACACTGCAACGTGCTCATTAATTGAGTTTGAACTTACTTTACATCCTTTTGAAAGGGCTGAAAATTCTATGTGACCACTTAGAAAATAATATTCTACTATCTGCTTAAAAAAATACTAGTTTATTTTTAAAATTTGATATTTGCACTATTTTTATATTATTTTTTCTATCATATAAATTAAGACCTTTTTTCTTTTTTTTTTTTCTGAGAGACGCAAGAGATAGTTGATACTGGTTAATCATGTGTCATTATTTTGGACAGGGTTTTTATTTTTATTTTATCATTTAAAGTGAATTTTAGCTCTTTAATTTTCATTTTGGAAAAAATAGTTTTACACCTCGTATACCTCTTTTTAATGATTATACTTCATGTCTCGTAGGAACCCCATAGACGAAAAAGTACAAGAGAACCTTGTCGCCAAGAGCTTGCCATGAATATGATTAACTCAACGGGTTTTTTAACTCTTGCCATAGCAAAGAACAAAAGATAAATTAATAAATATATAAAATAAAATTTAAGCTCTTAAAATCAATCAGCGCCAGGGGTATGTTTGTGCTCCAAATTAATGAAAGAACGTACGTACCAGTGGAAACTATATAGTGCTACATCATGTAACCTCACAAGTCGCAAAATCTTCCTTCCTGAATTAGTCAATTGGAGCATTAATTAGTTAACGTAGAAATTCTAATGTGAACTGTAGTATGGAGAAAGCAATTATGGACCTCACAAATGACTAACATCCAGGGGGAACCATCTATTATAATGCATTCACGGATATCAATCAATTAAACACTATATGTAGCTAAGTTGGAGTTAATGTATGCTTTCTCTCTTAAGATTATTGTCCAGTTTAAGATTTCACTTTTAGTACAATATAAATTAAAAATGAAAATTTAAATTAGACAATAATTATGGGACGGAGGGAGGGAGTAGTTGCAAGTTGCGAATTGCCAACATTCCTAGTCGCTTGCGGATATCAATCAATTTTTAGGACATCTGTCCCTTCCGCAAGACCAACTTGCTGAATTAAGTCATTTAACAATCCCAACTAAGAAGGAAAAAAAAACCCACGCCAGAAGAACACGCCAAAACTCGACTTGCAAATCCGAACAAAAAAGTTACAAAGTTGCCAATATATATTTCTAAAAAAATTCAAATACACAATTCCCCCACTTACAAATCGTACATATCTCAAGCTTTTTTTTTTTTTTTTTCCTTATTACATAGTCCCCACTCTTAAGCGCAGCTAACGGAATGCGACTGTTGGGCTTACCCCATCTAAATAGTCAAATCTTCTGTATAGGTTTTTAGGCTTGAACCTGCCCTCCTTTGTCAAGCACATGCATGATTCCCATTAATATATACCCACATTATCCTCGTTACATTGAAGAACAGGAGCTCCCCAGAACCCAAAAATCCCAGTTCTCTTCTCTACTCTTACATTAATTCCTTAAAAACATCTTTCTAAGGCTTTACAGAGTTCTGTTCCCACAGCTAGCCGAGGTTTAATTATTTAATAAAAATGGTTACTAAGCCTTTGGAGGTGGAGCAGCCTCTGCATCCGACGGCTACCCCGCCGGATGAAGCCCGGAAAATCCCCGAGTATTCCGACGGCGACGACGACGACTCACCCATTGAAGAAGTCCGGCTGACGGTGAGCAACCACGACGACCCGGATTTACCCGTGTGGACATTCCGGATGTGGTCTCTGGGCTTGCTATCCTGCGTGACGTTGTCGTTTCTGAACCAGTTCTTTTCTTACCGGACCGAGCCACTGATTATAACCCAGATCACCGTCCAGGTGGCGAGTCTTCCGGTGGGCTACCTCATGGCGGCCCGGCTGCCCAAGAGGAAGTTCAGGATACCGGGGTTTGGGTCCAGGCTGTTCTCGCTGAACCCAGGCCCGTTTAACATGAAGGAGCACGTGCTGATCACCATCTTCGCCAATGCTGGAGCCGCGTTTGGGAATGGCTCCGCTTATGGTGTCGGCATTATTGATATCATCATCGCTTTTTATCGCCGGAAAATCTCATTTCTCGCCGGCTGGCTGCTTATTATCACCACACAGGTACTACTACATCAGTACCTTCTTTTACGTTCAGTTTTTTTTTTCTTTTTTTTTATAATAAAAAAAGGAAGATAATGTATGTGCCTAATACCAAAAATAATTAACGTCGGCTGGTGGCGGGTTTAGATTGGGGTTCTTTTGTCCTTTTTCCAAACCAATAATTATTATCATTATCATTTTTGGGTTAGTGTTATTTAATTGTCCTTTTAAAGGTGGTACATATCTATGGACATCTCTTTTGAAAATAACTCTTTTCTTGTGTGGGTTGTTTCACCCTTTTTTGCTGGAAGCGGTTGGTGGTGGGTTGCTTTAACTGTGTACTATCATTTTGAGAAAAATAGGTTACGTACTCCATCTGGTCCTTATTATAAGCTATTTTGATTTCGTCCTAAGTTTAACATAAAATGTTTTTAAGGTTTTCATTTTAATTAAAAAGACATCTTAGATAAAATTTATGACGAAATCAAAATATCTTATAATAAGACCGGAGGAAGTATTAATGAAAATTCTTGCTTTTTTTTTTCCCTGAAATTATTATGATGAATATCTCATACTAGTAAATAGAATGATGATTTCTAATAATATTTTTTGTTTTCTGAATTTTTTATATCAAATTTAATGAGCAAAAATTGAGCTAAAATACTTCTATGAAGTATTGCCATTTCGGATTAAGTATCTTTTATTTTCTGATTCCAATAAATGGAAATGACCTCATTACTTCATAATTGTAGGGGGAATATATTGTTTTCTTCTTCATCTTTGTGTATTGAGTTGTCAATATATTTTGAAAGTGACCAAAATGGTGTGAAAACAACAGGTATTGGGATATGGATGGGCTGGATTGTTAAGGAAATATGTGGTGGAGCCAGCCCACATGTGGTGGCCGAGTACCCTTGTTCAGGTCTCCCTTTTCCGGTTAGTATCCCTTATTTTCCCCATACTCCGGCGGCCCCTGTTTTTGACCTTTTTTTTTTATTAGAGTTTCCACCTTATAAATTTTTCTTCCTAACTTTATATTTCGAATTTTAAGTGTCGGACACTAAGTGCATAATAATATACTTCTCAAAGACTACCTTAATCACTTGAATTTTGAGTATTGTGTATTAACTTTTACACTTTTTTACCACTTGAAGTGGAAAAGTTCGATGGAGGCTTCTTATATTGATTTGCACAATCATAATCACGGGTCTTAAGGTCTAAAAGGAATTATAATATGTAGATTCGAAATTGAAGAATCTTTGGGGCAGTAAAAGTTACAATTACACGTGTATTGTGAGTTGTGACTGAAAAGTAGTGAAAAGGAAGGGATCTTCTGCCCAATGGCCAACTTGTCACTTGTTAGCTGCCTCTCTGCTCAACTTGAGTAAGCTGTAAAGTATATACTAGATACTACATTTCAAGGTCAAACCAAGAAGGATGGACAATGTGAAACCTTTGATTTTTTGATAAATTAAATTTTAAAGCTAATATAGTTGACTTATAAATTCCAATGGAAGAATTTGTAACCAAATAATAATTAGTAGTTGTCTATGACGTTAACTCTTGACTAATCAGAAAGAGAAGATAAGTCTTGATACCACAAAGTTCGAAATTCAATTCTTTTTCCATAGAGAGCGGTTTTGTCCCACTTGAGATTGAATTTTCAATTCAAAGTGTAAAATATAAACTGGCTAAAGTATGAGGTCACGCAGACGGCAACATAACGTGTTCAGACGGAAAAAGAGGGGATAACTCATAGCAGTACTAGTTTGATTCTGGACCAAATACAAAGGACAAAATCATATGGATTGTTTTGTGGTGAACCATTGTTTCTTTTATTTGACAAATGTAAAGGATATGTTTGGATTGTTTTTTAATGTGTGTTTTTAGGTGTTTTTTCTACCGAGAATGTAAAAAAATATACTGAAAATGTAAAAAAGTAGGTTAAGATGGGACAGTTATTAATATTTGATTATGAAAAAACTCAGTAAAAAACAAACCAAACAGAAAGACCAATTGTGAGACACAAAACAGAATGGGGACTGTAACTTCTTCTCTTTGTGGTCATCCCATCACATGTTGTCACAGTGTCGGGTAGAAGCTACTGAAATCACCCAAGGAGATTAAAATCTCACCTTACATTCATCTGCAGGGCTCTACATGAAAGAGATGAGAACAAGGGGTTGTCGAGGGCAAAATTTTTCGTGATTGCATTGATTTGCAGCTTTTCGTGGTACGTTGTTCCGGGATACCTCTTCTCAACTCTCACAAGCATCGCATGGATTTGTTGGGCGTTTCCCAAGTCGGTCACTGCCCAGCAACTTGGATCTGGGATGAGGGGACTTGGCGTCGGAGCTTTGACATTGGATTGGTCTGCGGTAGCATCCTTCTTGTTCAGCCCCCTCATCAGTCCTTTCTTCTCCATAGTCAATGTGTTCGCGGGATACGTGCTGATCATCTACGTTGTCATCCCCATTGCATACTGGGGGATTGATTCATACGACGCCACAAAGTTTCCCATATTCTCGTCACACCTGTTCACAGCCCAGGGTAAAAGATATGACATTACTGCAATAGTAAATGACAAGTTCGAGCTAGATATAGATAAGTACAATCAGCAAGGAAGGATACATCTAAGTATGTTCTTCGCTCTAACCTATGGTTTTGGTTTTGCGACCATAGCCTCCACTCTTTCACACGTGGCCTTTTTCTACGGGAGGTAATACTCTTTCAAATACTACTTTAATCACCTGATGGATGGGTAATAAACATCTTTTAATTATGCTAAAGAGTTCAGATCACAAAGCAATCTGTGTGTCCTGCAGGGAGATTTATGAAAGATTCCGGGCCTCATACAAGGAAAAGGAAGATGTACACACAAGACTCATGAGGAGATACAAGGACATACCTTCCTGGTGGTTTTACATCTTGCTTGCCCTCACAATTTTTGTCTCTCTAATCCTCTGCATTTTCTTGAACAATCAAGTTCAAATGCCATGGTGGGGGCTACTATTTGCCAGTGCCTTAGCCTTCGGCTTCACACTTCCAATCAGCATCATAACTGCAACAACAAATCAGGTATATATTGCACCCGCCCGCCCGCCTTAGTCAGATTCCTAGCAGTTGCCCAACAGGATAATCTCACTTTCCTTAGCTTTAAACATCTATATAATATTGATGAAACGTCTGTTTAAACTACTGACACTGTATCAATACGCAGACACCAGGGCTGAACATTATAACAGAGTACTTGATGGGCATCATATTACCAGGAAGACCAATAGCAAATGTGTGCTTCAAAGTATATGGCTACATGAGCATGGCGCAGGCTGTTTCTTTCCTCAGCGATTTTAAGCTGGGTCATTACATGAAGATTCCTCCACGATCAATGTTCTTGGTACAGGTAATGCATGCTTTCAATTTATGGTGATCAGAAGATAGAAAACTGCCATCTATCATATACCAACTGAAAATGAGAAGATTCTCTGTTTACTTCCTATAAAACCTCAGACATTTTCCTATTTGCCAGGTTGTGCTGAAGTTAATATGACGTCCATGTGAATATATACCAGTTCAATCTGATGCACAACTCAACATTTTTCAATAGTTTAATTTAAGAAACCTCTTATATATAATTAATTGGATTACAGTCACATCTTAACATCACTAAGTCACTATGCTTACATGTTTTAGTACCACTATATATTGAATAACTGCACAGTAGGGCTTAGCTTATTACAGGGGCATGCATTGCATGGGCTTAGATGGTGGGAATTTGGACCAGAGAACCCTAATTTTTTTACAAACTTTAAAATAAGGTGGATGATGATACATACAATAGATTGGCATGGAAACAGCCAACTAAGTATTGATTGGTGCGGGGAACAGTGTTTGCAGAGCAATAAAATTGATATAAAAATTGCCTGAACATTAAGAAGATGTCATCCTATAAAAGACGGAACACTGATGGAAATCTCATCCTTGAACAAACAAATACATCAAAATTTGGAGTTCAAGATTTCAAGACAACCAAGACTGACATTTCCAGTGACATAAGCCATCTCGTTCACGTGCAAAACCATCAGTATCAAACTATTATCTGTTTATAACTTTTCATTCTCTGATTCAGTTCATAGGAACAGTGATAGCTGGAACTATCAATGTCGCCGTTGCATGGTGGCTGCTGCATTCCATCAACAACATATGCCAGGATGACCTTCTTCCACCAAACAGTCCATGGACTTGTCCTGGAGATAGGGTTTTCTTTGATGCCTCGGTTATATGGGGTTTGGTTGGACCTAAAAGGATTTTCGGATCTCAAGGAAACTATAGTGGTATGAATTGGTTCTTTCTTGGAGGGGCTGTAGGACCTTTCATCGTTTGGCTCTTGCATAAGGCCTTCCCAAAGCAATCTTGGATTCCTCTAATTAACCTCCCAGTACTCTTGGGAGCAACAGGTGCCATGCCACCAGCAACACCACTGAATTACAATGCCTGGGTCATTGTTGGTACTATATTTAACTTTTTCATCTTCCGCTACCGAAAGAAGTGGTGGCAAAGATACAACTATATTCTTTCAGCTGCTCTCGATGCTGGGGTAGCTTTCATGGCAGTAGCACTATACTTTACTCTAGGAATGGAGAACAAGGGAATTACTTGGTGGGGCAATGACGGGGAACATTGTGATTTAGCAACATGTCCGACAGCCAAAGGCATACAAGTCGACGGTTGTCCTCTGCGATAATATATAGGCACTTATACTCTAGGTTCTAGCATCTTCATTAGCAGTCTCAAATTTGTAACAGAACGTACGGCTGGTTGCATTTCCCATTAACCAGCATATGGTTATTGTCTTTTTGTATACAACTTTAAAACTCTGATGCTAAGCACCTTCTATGAAAGTTCAATAGCAAATGTTACTTATACAAGGAAAGAAACATATTCTTCAGCTTTGTACAGTTAATTTTTTTGGAGCTTTTTGATTTGCAAATCTTTTGGCACCAAATTCTGCAAGAAACTAACATATTAAAGACTTTTTCAATAGTCAAGATGAATGATGGTATTATATACACTTCATTTGGTACTCAATTAAGGAGATTTCATGGAAACTGATAAAACCTATTGAAAAGCTGACAAATATACCAAAGTAGGGAATTCCCAGAAAACACTTTTGGACTTGCCTGCTGGTTGCCAATGTGCTTGAAGATACATCAATGACTAGAATTGGTTATTTGTTTTCAGCAAGCCAATGATGCTGGATCCAGAAAATGATGTAAGATGGTAGCTCTAGGAAAGGCACTTTGGTAGTAACCACGATAACTCGGAACACAGGATGACAATCTTTTGTTCTCTTTTTTTCCCCCGATAGAGGGGGGATGACATCCTTTTTGAGTACTGGGAAAGGCTAACACGATGTATCAAAATAACCTCTAACATCAGAGACAAAAAAATAAAATTTTTTTACCTGAATGCCTTAAGATACAGCAGAAGATATCCACTTATTATACTCGTCCATCCTAATTATAAAAGAGCTCGAACTTGGGCAACCACCCCCACCATAAGCCTTCAAATAGAAACAAATCATTAGGGAGAAACATCTTTCATGAAAAGCATGTTGGCTAGGATTTCGAGTGAATAAAACAAATAAGTGCAGCCAAGAAGCAGACCTTAGCAACTTCGGAAGTATCAGTAGCAACGTCAGTGCTCCTTAGGCACATTTTTAGATTTTTTCGTTGCATATGAATAACAGCTCCGATGGGCCTGCACCAGAGTAAGCAAAGAAGATTAAGCCCCAAAGATTATAACTCAAAGCTTCTTTACTTTACAACTTCAGAAGGTTTTCTACAGCTAAGTACTCATAGCCATGAAAGTAGAAGAGCCACTGATTCAAAGACCACCTTAGTCCAGCTGCAGCACTTCTTCGGCTGAGTTCGTTGCCAACTTCATCAATTACATCTGATTTACCTTGAAGTTTGACCCCCTAAAAATAATGAACTAATAACTTGGTAAAATGACATACAATAAAGAAAATGATAAACATACAAATGTTCTTCTAAAGAGCTAGGCTCCTGAACAGCGCTATTATGCACACCAGTGCAACAACATATGTACCGAGTATATTCCCAAGTCCCAGCATGCCAGTGCAAATCAAATTAAATTCAAATTCTCAATACCTCCGAGAATGAAATGAAATGCAAAACGATGACATTGAGAAAATAATGTAACATTCCAAGTAAAGTATTTCTGTTTACCTACGTAGTTTACTCTATATTGAAAAAATGCCATGCAATTCAACACAAGATTAACAATATTAAATTGTACTCCATGGCAATGCTTACCAGGCACTTCCCATAAATCCCTCTACCCAACCTGATTAGGATAACCTTATCCAGCATCTTGTTGGCAGCAATCTCCCGAGTAGAAAAAAATGATTTGCCTTCGGCAATTATATCCATGTAGCTCATATCTAATAACTGCCACGCAGGATAAGAAAGTAAAAGTAAAGTTTAAAAAAGAAGTGGTGGTAGTGGACAAAGACAAATACAAACATAAAGGCAGCAGAAGGTTTAATCAAACTGCGGGCACCTCGGACACAATTCTTTTAGTATTTATTATTGTTATTATCATTATTATTTCTTTTCCACAGTAATTATAAAACTGTGTAGGTCTTTCCTGATCCTTGCATCAAGTAATTAGGGGACGGAGCTAAGCCACTATGGAGGGAAGATTGACATCCAAGGTTTCGGGCAATCGAAAAGAAGAATATTGTCCCAGGTCATCATGGTGAGACATTAATAACCGGTCCACAAGGAAACGTAAATACGACACAAATTCAGTAATTGATCATATGAAGAATGAAAACGCCATAAAAAAAAAAAAAGACTAATAAACCAACTCAACTGGTGATAAACAACCGAAGAGTGATTATCTAATTCGAAAACAATTTAGAGCATAAGTTTGAACCTGTTGATACATGTGAGGATTAGTGATGCAATTCAGCTTGGAGCGCCAACTTCGGATACCAACATTAAATGCTCTAATGTCAGGCAAACTCCATTTACGAAGATCTCCATCTTCAATGTATTTCAGAACCATCTCAACTCCCACCTGGTCTTTGGCCTCTAAAAGACTATTAGTACCCTCCTATTCATCCATGAGAAACCAAATTACAGCAAGGCAGCCTAAATGAGATTACCAAAAGAACAGCCTTCGGTCATACTTACATTATCTGACAAAACTCCAGAAAGCTTGGAGGAAAAGTATTCATAGACTGCAAAAGAGCTGCTTTTCTCCAGATTGACTTGTATGGACACATTTTCACCCAAATGTCCCTTAGGAGGGATGTTTTTCAGCGCCAGCTTACGATGATCAAATCCAATTATCCTAATAGCGTGAATTAATGATCAAATAATCAAAAATTACAGCAGAACCTGGATTTCGTCAAACTCCTAACTCCCCATTACCAGACACGGAAAAAATACTTACTTGGCTGATGTCCGCTTCGAAAGCTCGGAAAGAAACCCTTTTGGCCCAACAAAATCAAGGAAGTAACACTCTTTAAGTCCATCAATACAAACATCTTCCACTCTGCAGGAAGTTATATTGTTAAGAAGGAAAGCAAAAAAAAGGCAAAATACTGAAGCATTCTTTAAATAGACAATCTGGGAGTGGATTGAAGCAGTGATAAGTTAAGCTTTCCAACATTTTTTTACCTGAATGGAATCACGGAAGAAAAAGGCAAAATGAGGCAAGGGATATTGAGGCGCGAGTAATAGAGATGTGCGAAGAGCGCGGAAAATGCACCGGAGAATGAGGGGTAGTTGTAGAGAACGACGACGTTTGGTGATCTAGCTTCCGACGCCTTGGCTAAAGATAGCAGAGCCGAGTCTGATCGAAAACTCCGACGAGCTCCCGCCGACCGAAGTAAAGGTCTCCACTTTTGAAAGAGCATCATCCCGGCCGAAGAATGAAATGACTTCCGGGAAAAGGGATTAATAAAATTAAACCGGGTTGCACGCGGGTCAACATTGGGTCATAAAGAAAAAATCGGGTCTAAGTAAAAAAAAATAGGCTAATGGGATTCTTCCTCAAATCAAATCGAAATCAGTCTAAATAGTCTTCCTCATCTCAGACAGAAGTCAGTCGTTCCCTCTTCTCCCTCTCCGGCGAACGGCGGAGGCGAACTAAAGCCGAACCAAAAGCTGCGGCGGCCGAGATTTCGCGGTCAGGAATTAAATAATCCATTACCTGATCAGCCCAGGTTAGTTCTGGCTTCTCGATCCCTGTAAAGTTTGATTATTGGAGGTTGATATGTTCCCTTTTGAATAGCTGCTGATGGTTTCAACATCTTACATTTGTATTTGAGAACTGATGTAGTTGAGATGCGATGGTCTTACCTTAATTGAGAGTACTTATGTTTCGCTAGGAAGCAAACTCTATTTCTTTATATTTCTAGAAATATAATTTTGTTTATCAAATTCTACTCCATCCGTCCTTGTCATTATTCCAAAGCTGACCTTTTCTCGATTAATGATCATTATAGATTAAAATATCCCATTTGAGGTTATGCTTTTGGAAATTTTTTTGATATGATTAAGATAAGGAACTGGAATGATGTAATTCTTTAATTTACACAGCATCAGGACCCTACCGTCTTTGAGTTCATTGTTATGGGCTTTGCACTGCTAACATGTTTCTGTTGTAACCATCTTATAAGCAGCTTACATACAGATATATAGCGTTTGAGCCCTTTGATCAACTGATGGCTTTGATGAATTATAACTGAATCGCTATTTTTTGTTTTGAAGGGATGGCTTCAAAAGTTAGAGATAGAACTGAAGATTTCAAAGATGCTGTCCACCGATCAGCAACATCACTGGGTTTCAGTGAGGTTCGTCCTAATTTTATCAGAACTTGATTTGCTTCAGAAAATCTGTTTTTGTTTTTTTTTTGTTTTTAATGCTGAAAAATTCTTCTTGTATAGTTTGAAATGCAAGCCTGAATTTGTCATCTTATGTATATCTCTTTTTTAGATTTTGGTTCATTCTAATATGAGTTTGTAAATCTTTGCTCACAGTCCAAAATAGCAGCTATTTTGGCGTCATTTATTATGCGCAAGCCCCGAGAAAGAACTCCTTTTGTGAAAGCTGCATTAAAGACGGTGATGTCTTATATCTGCATACATTTTTTCTTTCTTGTACTTGTGTTTACCGGTCTGTTTATGCTCTGCTTCAAGGGAAAATGTGTTGGGGTTGCTTTCGATACATTGTTGAGGATGATTATCTGTTAAGCGACCTTGGTATCTTTATCATTGCTTGACAAAAGACTTTTGAATTTCTAGTTGGAAAGCATTGAAGCACTGGACCAGTTCTTGATGAAGCACAAGAAGGACTACGTAGATCTGCACCGTACAACTGAACATGAGAGAGATAGCATTGAACACGAAGTAAGTTTTCAAACTTGTGCATGTTTTTTTCTACAATACAAAAGGGATTTTCTGGTTGTCTTGAATTATACCGCTGTTGTGGAAATGGTGTTTACCTTAATAACAGAATATGGTCTTATCTTGGAGTGTTTAGAATAAGTAAGCCAATGATTTTTTTCTTGGCAGGTTACAGTTTTTATTAAAACATGTAAAGAGCAGATTGATGTCCTTAAAAACACTATAAATGATGAAGAAGCAAACTCAAGGGGCTGGTTGGGTGCCAAGAGTGATACTTCAAATGCTGATACTATAGCACACAAACATGGAGTGGTATGCTTAGATTCAGATTCTGATTCAGTTACATGTTTTCTTTATGAATTGAATATTTTTTCTCACCTGGATTTTGCATTCTACTTTATTTTTTCTCAACTGGTGTCACACGGAGCTCCTGCATCATTCTTACGTTCATAGAAAGTACTTTGACGAAAATTTTTGAGTGGCTGCTGTGTAATCATTTACCCAATTTTTGTAAATGTGGATTCTTACAAGTTGAAGAGAAAGTTATATAATATTATTGCTGTGAACACTCTCAGGATGGAATTGTTCTTGTTTATCTAAAGCAGAAAATGTGCTCTAGGGATCATGAAAAGGCATCTATGTAATCACGTTTTTTAAACTTTGCACCTCTTGAACTTGTTATATTGCTTAAGTGCATTCTGCCTCACAGGTTTTGATCCTCAGTGAAAAGCTTCACTCAGTTACATCACATTTTGACAAGCTAAGAGCTGTACGCTTCCAAGATGCCCTTAACCGGGTGACACCAAGAAGAAACCCAAGGAAGATTGGCAAGGGAGATGTAGAAGAGGTGCCTAAAACAAGTCCTCTTGGGCCGCGAGAGATGTATGATACACAACTTAGGGAATCTGAGGAAGCTCGTCCAGGCCCTGTAAGGGTCCAGGAGCAACTTTTGGATGATGACACACGTGCCCTTCAGGTGATTACCAAAAGAATAGACATCCAAGGTTTTTAATTGTCATTGACTTGCTTAAAAACACTTTTCCTGCCTATTTTGTCTGCCATGTTCGAACAGGCGGAGTTATCTGGCCTCCTAGATGCTGTTCAAGAAACTGAGAAAAAAATGGTAGAAATGTCTGCTTTGAATCATCTCATGTCTACTCATGTTCTACAACAGGCTCAACAAATTGAGCTTTTGTATGAGCAGGTCAGTATGTTGCAAGATTGCTTACAGAATTTAAAGTATCATTTGTTTAACTTCTTGATTTCCCGAATGTAACTTCTTCAGTATTTGTGGAATTATAGTATATATTTAAAAAAGCTAATTGGAAAAATAGACATCATTCAAACTTTGCCAAGCAATATACCCCTGGAAGAGAAAGTTCTGCGAGGTCCTTGAATTTCTATGCATCTAATGTGTTCTTGAAAATCTTTTCCGCAGTAGATTAAATCAAATTAAATTTCTGGTAGGCTAGAATTTATATTGCACCTGAAGGATGGAGGTTCCTTGCCGGCCGGTTATGATAAGATTGAAGAATTTATCATTTCAAACTGCTGAATGTTTGAAACTATTTCTGTAACTATAGAGCTGTAAAACTTTGCTTCATTTGCTCGGATATATTTTCCTGTTATGTTTCATGGAAGACTATAACCTTTCTTATATGTTTTTTTAATAACATTTGTTGTTTGCTCTCTCCAGGAAAATACTGAATATAACTATTCCCTCTGCTTGTTGTGTGCTTTTAACTGCAGGCTGTGGAAGCTACAAAAAATGTTGAGCTGGGTAACAAGGAGTTGTCTCAAGCCATTCAAAGGAATAGCAGTAGCAGAACTTTCCTGTTGCTTTTTCTGTTTGTAATGACTTTTTCCATCCTTTTCCTTGATTGGTATAGTTAAATGGTGGCCTCTTATTATTGTTTTATGTGATCTATTGGGATATTCAGCTTTTCCCTTGCTGTTTATTTTGTTGGTGCCTTCACTGCCTTGTTGCTCGTGTCTTGTCTTTACCTGAGGAGTTGGTTTTTCCAGTCTCTTTGAACTGATCTGACTGATTAAGAGGTTGGGATGCATCCTTCATGTGTATAAATCTTCTATAGTAAATCAAGTTGATAATATACCATGCTAAAGCTTACTTTAATCAGTTGAATAGTGGAATTAGAGAACGATATGCTTCAGTTGAGTATCCGTTCTTCCCTTTATTTAATTGCCTACTTATACGCTGTTAACAAGTTTGGGAGACTTATATCTGGAGGAAATTAGGCAGAGAAGCCTTTTTCATTTAAAACTTACTACCTCGGTCCCAAAAAATTAGTCCACATTGAGTTTTGAGTTTTGTATTAGTTTTAATACAAATTTTAAAACTCAATGTGGACTACTTTTTTGGGACGGAGGGGGGTAGTATAATAACATATTTGTATCCAATTTTAGTCTAATCAAAGAATTTTGCAGAAGTCTGTATTCATCTATTTTTGACAAACAATTTTGTGTGGCAGAGTCCATGTATAATTGTGGTATTTCCGTCTATGTACTCCATCTGCTTCAGCCTGGGGGGCGGGGGTGGCTGTGGCATCATAGCATTCTATACACTTTACAGAACACTTTGTTCATTGTACTTGTGTAAAAACTACTGTGATTCTGGTTTGATCACATCCTATTCTTTAGATCCATTCTTGAGGGTGGTAAAAACGCTTCACCACTTCATTTCTGGCCGATTAGCGATCAAGTTTTGTCAGTTTAGTGCATAAACATCTTTCTATGAGAAGCACTTTACTCCTTTTTTTCCCGGCACCCCAACTTTTTCCTTGCTCGTTATCGCAGTGGTTCTTTTAGTTTTCACATAGACAACCAGGTAAGGGATTGGCATAGAAATTTTCTTCAAGTTTAGGAGATTCTCTGACTTCTCGATAGGATGGTGCTCCAATTCTGTCCTTGTGTGTGCTCTTAACTTGGGACGAGAATTCTTCCCAAGATATCAATCCTTTGTCAAATTCATCAATTAGCCTGACTAAGCTCTCCCTGAAACCAGTGAAAATGAGCACAAGCCAATGAGTGGGAGACCAATAAATGGCAGTGTAAAAAAGCTAGGTAAGTGCCTTACTTGTCGGGATTAATTGTTTTCCGAAAGCCTTCATATATGCGATGACCTCGCACTGCTTTAGCCATGTTCCCATCATAAGTATAAACAAAAACATCACTCTCTAGGGCTACAATATAGTCTACACCTGCAAGTTTGTTAAGCCTTTTGCGAAATGGTTCAAGCTCCTTTTCGGTGGCCAGAGTAGAATGAGAAAAAGTATTCGGATACTTCTTCTTAAACACAGCAAGCCTTTGGCCAAAAATTTCACCAGCAACAATATAGATTTTTGTGCTGGGAGGGTACCCCAGAGCCTCTAGAAACATGGCAGCTTCCCTTGGTGTCATAGGACACCCTCCCTCTAGTCGCCGTGCTGTACCATTTATTTGTTTCTCTTTCCAGTGTCTAGTTTTGTACCTTAATGCCCGAAGCTCAAAAGACTGTGCTCTACTCAGGTTGTGGTTACAACCAGTGAAGGCGAGCATGTCCTTTTCGTACCTGTTAAGAAGGCAGTTCTCTGTTAGAAAAGCTCCCCATGGAATCATCGAGAATTCGTAGAGTAAAGCTTAGTTACCTTAAATGGAGAGCAATGTAATGATTGCCTTTCTCTCTGAGTCTGCTTACTAACTTCTTTCCTAACTCTTCGATATCCTGTGCAAATCGAAGTGCTTCAAACAATGCATAACAACGGAGCCTCTGGATTGTACTTGGCACTCCATTGTTAGCTAAGCGATTGTCAGACAGCGGAAATTCTAGCAATTTTCTCTGCTTTAGCAGTGACAGAATCTCTCCCCTGTAATACCTGGGCTGCACCAGGGGAAACTACCTTAAGTAAATTATGAAAATTACCCCCGACTTCGGTAAAACATGCATTTATAAGATAAAAAGGTGGAACGAAACATGAGAAGAGAGTTGGAAAATACATGCCTTGGACCAAGAAACAAGTGTTTTTGAGACGGGTGTCACGCGGGTGAACTTTGGAGGAAGGGACTCTAATACTTCAATATCATCTTGCAGAGTTTCCATGAAGTGCTTCCAGTTAAAGATATCTTTAAATTCACTGAGACATTGAGCTTTATAAACAGCAAGATCATTTATTTTTATTTGATTTTATTTTTTTACAGGGGAAAGAAAATATGTACAAAACCCTCACCTTGGATCTGTCCAGTAGGACTTGTGATCTAAGGAAGGAAGAACCAGAGTTGCATTGAGTAGTTTTGCTATGGCCACCATATCGCTTATTCCAGTTTTCATTTGATTTAGTCCTCCATTTGCATGAACTAGAATGTAGCCATTTGTTCCCGTTTCTTGGCCTGAAGAAGAAAGTTTTTTTTTTTTTTTAAAAAAAAATAAAAATTACGAAGATGCAAACATAATCCAATGTACTCAAATCTGTCTCAGAAAAATAGTTTAATTGAACTATATACACGTATGGATGACACACCTACTACTGATTTGCGTTTCGATCTTCCAATACATCTTACAAAGTTGTCGCTTCTTGGCTTCTTCCAAATTTCAGGTGTCTGGGAAGAAAAAGAATAGAAACGATTATGGAAATATTATTACTAATGAAAGTGATTCAAGCAACCTGTAAGAAAGTTTTATGAACTACATTTTTCACCCATCCTACTTATTATGTATATAGTAATATTTATACTACTAGTAAAACGTGTTATAGATAGAAGTTAAAAAACATGGAAAAATAAATCATTTCTGGCAATTCCAGATCGAAGAATAATTAAAAGCAAACTTCTTTTAATAATAATAATAATAATAACAATAAAAAGTCCTCTATATTTATGACATTGACATCATCAAATAGTGCTTTTAAGAGTTCCAAACTGCAAGAGTAAATTTCCCTGAATTTCTGGCAATATATATCACTTTTTGAGCAACTTTTCACGTCAAAATGATCAACATGTAACAAGAAAAAACGTCACTAAAAGTAATTTAAAATTTGCAAGATATGAATTTATCCTTACCCGTTGATCTTCATTCCGTTCGACATGATCAATGATGGCTTTCTCCTCGGATACAGAGGAAGTATTAGTAGAAGTAGTAGTGGAGGATTTGGATTTGGATTGGTCCGGATGTCTCAAAAAATCATGGGATTTCATCCGTCTAAGAAAGGTGTTCATCAGAACAATCTTCAACAATACGGTCGAAACCACGAACAATACAAACAGCGCGAGTAACCAGCGGTTCGTGTTCCACCGTGGCGGGGGCCGGAGATATCGCATCACGGAATTCATCCTCCTTTTCGACGTCGGAGACCTATTATTACTGTTACTATAATTATTATTACTACTAGTAGTAACATTGTGCTGATGATACTGATGATGATGAGGTGGTGGCGTGGTTCCCTCCGCCGGTTCATGCTCCAATGTCCGTCTCCGCGGCGTCGACACCGGCAGCAATGATCCGCTTCCGGTTTTCGGTATATCAATATCCGGCAACATTTTTTTTTTTTCTTTGTTGAGGATCAATGAAGATAGATTAATCAATATTGATGCGTGGTGGAAGTACGAGTGAAGAAGAGAAAAGAAGGGGAGAAAGAAAAAAAAAAAGAAAAAGGTTTTTAGAGTAATACTAGATAGATCAGAAAGCTGTGTGAGTTAAGATTTGATCATGTTTGTTATAGCTACGTGGCCAACTTCTTCTATATATTATTTGGTTGGTTTCTTTTTTCCAGGTGAAATGACTCCGAACTCTAAGGTATAACAGTCACATTATGGGTTTTATTTATTTGTTTTTATTATTTTTAAACTAGAAAAATATAAAGAGATTATTTGTTTTTATCAATTAGAGCTTCTATTTTATACGAAGAAAACTGACCATACTCTTTACATTATTAGGACAACTGGTAGAAAGGGAAACGGGACACTAAGAAGTAGGAACGTATTTATGAATTACTGAATTAGTACCAAAATAACATGCACGAAGAAACGACTTCTTCTTTTCATATTATAATATACTTCTTTGGGGTTTTTTTTTCCCCCTAAAGTTTTTTGTTGGTAGATTTATATGCTTTGTGAGGATTGTGGTCTTCTCGTAGTGGTAAACTTCTAGTGATTTTTTAGTGGTAGTTCTCAAGCGTATATAATTGATTATTAATTATGAAATCTAACAAGAATTTTATTTAAGAAAAATGATAGGTATAGTGAAAAAAAAAGGCTAATGATATTGTCAGCACCAAAATTAGTCGCCAGAACAAATTATGACTAATCTTCCTAATTTAACCTTATTTAGTCAATCAGAATTTATCCCTTGCTACCGCTTTCGTCCGTATCAAATGGAAATTACTGTTCTACCACAAACCAAAAAACCGTTGTATTATCTCTTCAAATTTTTATTTAAGTGCGTCTATCTCTGTGTTTTCTTCCCCTCAATCTTCTAAATTTTGAAGACTTTCACTCCGATTTTTCAATCTTTCTTTCTCAATCAGATTTGCTTAACAAAAATTTCAATGCGTGTTTTCTCCAATCTTTGTTGTCTCTGGAGTTTAGTTTTCAACCTTAATGCAACCATGATTTGACCCAAATTTTGTTGATGATGGGAAGAGGATTGCTGAATATTGGTTTGATGTTATGATCTTGAGAGGACAGATTTCAAGGAAAAATTCGATTTTTCTTATTGATTTGGTTAGTGGATCAGAAATTTAGGTGAATACAGTTAAAAAAAAAATTGAGATAGTGAGACGGTGGTTTCAATTGAAATGGGCGCAAGGAGAGTGGAGGGGAGAAAATTAGGGATTGACTAAATAAGGGTAAGTTAGGAAGATTTCTCATAATTTGCTCTAAAAGGTAATTTTTGTGTTGGCAATATCATCAGCAAAAAAAAAAAAAAAAATAGTCAAAAAAGATAGTGAGTGATGTACAGTATTTTTGGTCCCTGACTTTTTATCACTTTTTCGTTAAAATTTTTTCTTTCCCTAAACATTGCATTTTTACTCTTAATTAATAAGTACATATATTTAGTGAGGATGATATATTTGTCTTTTCACTAGTTACTATTCCATTTTATTACAATTTGTCACTTCAAATTCCAAGTACTCGTAATTTCGTAAATGGAGATACTTTCTATAATAACAACGATTATAATTATGCATGATTCGCGTGAAGAACTACAACCTTACAAAAGTCGGTCTACGTGAGTAATTGATAATTAATGGTGGACATTGATGGAGCGAGTACTAATTTTAGTCGGACTATAACTTCCTTTTTTATTTTTTTACTTTTTGAAAAAGTAGGACTACAATTAGATGCTAAGTAATTCCTGGTATATGTCAATCCTAATTTCAATTCCTACATTCCAATCACAAACCTTGAAACATCTTGACCACAAAAGTATTAAAATAATTTCGAATGGCGCGCTTTAAAATGATTGCCTGATTCGGTATTAAAATAATTACATATACTGAGCTGAAATGCTTAATATAATGGAACCAATGAACAACGGCATCATCCATGGAAAATGCATGAACTCCTTGAATAAATTACAACTCTTAAATTTTGAATACAAACTGATAAATTTGCATCCAACAAAGACAGATTAAATCACACACCTATTTACATTTCAACCACCAAGTCGTTGTACTACCACAGTTCAAAAACAATCAGTCAATGTGTCTGGAAACATGAGCAAAACCAGGTTAAACATCCTAGGTTTTTATTATTTCAAGTTCCTAAAACACTCATGATAAATGATATGCATAATAATATGATAAATATGGGATATGGCTACTTGAAGCGATATACAACAACAGATCTGGAAGTTGTTTAACTCTTCCCAATAGATCTGAATGACATCTTTAAACGAAAGGGCTAAAATCGGGGGGCGGTTCTCGTGCCATTTTGCAGTCCACCAGGGGAGAAAATTCAGTGCCATTTTGTTGGTAGAGTTATACGGTGTGGTGTATCAATGACAGTCATCATCACCGCCCTCGACCTCATACTTCAGTGCAGCTTCAGCCTGTTGTGATGAATAGTAAATAAGTTTTACTTGATATAAGTCATGATTCCTAACATCAAATAAGTAAAGGGATCAGAAAAAGGAGATGAATTTGTACCCAAGCTTCACAGGAGTAGCGGACAATGTATCATTCCTTAGGTTTTCGGGATGGCTTAGCTGCAGATCGATGGCGGGCGCATGTAAGTCATGATTGACGGTACTGATCACCGCTGGTATAGTAACCCGGTTGCTTTGTCCCGCTTCTTGTGCGCATTGCTTTTCATGAACCTGAAGAATCCAAAAGGTTTTTTTTTTTTTTTACACATTTGTTTGTTTGAATAAAAAACAAACACATGGATGTGAAAAGCTAGCGATTTGGTGGTACCTTTTTCTGAAGTTGTATGTTCTCTTGGTGAACTACGTTAACCTTCTTGTACAGTTCCATGTTTTCTTGATGAAGCATATTTCCTGAAACCCCCAAAGAAAAGAAAGAGACATTGGAAATTAGTATACCAAAAAAAACGGCATTTCAATAGTACTTGGAGAAACTGATTAATTAGAGCAATTAACTTTGATTGAATTAGTTGTTTTCCAACAAACCTTTCGGTGTAATTCTCTGATTTCATCAGTCAGGACCTGTTCCTGGAACACATAATTCAAACTTTACTTTTAGAAAACGATTTGAAGCAAATGTACACTCCTATATCCCATAATAAAAGTGCTATCTGAATAACTAATTAAAATAGATCGATTATACTCTCATTTTAGGGCGGATGGAGTATTTGGCTGCACAAAAACCAATATAAATCGGTTATGAAAAGATTGAGTATGTATTTACCTTCCGAGTGCGAACTCCTTTCAAGCTGGATTCAAGTTGACTTTCAAGGCGCTCCAAATCATTGACATCCATCCCAAACAGTTCTTCTCCCAGTAGCTTCCTGCATTTTTTCCAAATATCAGTGCACAATAACAACAGTTAATTAAGGCTTTCAGCTTCAAATTAAACCGAAACTTTTGTTGGATCAGACTTAAGAGATCTCTTATCATAGTGAACCGAAAAAAAAAAACAGCTAACTAGCTAGAATCATTGGGGTGGGTAATAGTTCAACCACTTTTTAATTTTAAATAAGCTGCTGGTTCTTAGAAGTACTATAATTTATCGTACTTTACACTGTTTACTTATTACATACAGTATTTTGAATTTCGCACTGATTTAGTTTTTTTTTTTTCTTAAGGTACTGATGGTACTTTTAAATTCACTCGTCAATGATCAAGATGTACTTCTATAATAAGCATAAAAAGACGTGTATTATCCTTTCATATTAGCAATCAATTGTTCAAGAATTCAAATCTTAATTAAAGCTTTCCCATTCAATTATCTTTTTCCATGAAGGTTGCAATTTAAATAAACATTTTTAGTGGAACATTAATTTGCAAATGAGATAGCTAGTTCACAAAACTCACGGAAAGGTAATCTGAGGTGAGGTTTATGCTTTTCCAAATGAATCTTATTTCTATCAGATAGAAACCAATTTTGTCTCATTAGTAAAATTCATCTTTGCATTATAAATTAAGGTTTATACATTAATTTTAGTTTAAGGTTAAGGCAAATGTAGGTATAACGACCGCCTTCGGCAGAAGTGAGATACAATTGACGTACAATTAAGGAGAGTTTTTGTGAATAGCCTGCATTAAACCCTAACAACTTATGAGGTAAGTAATTCTTAAAATATGCCAAATAATAATTAGGCATACCTTTCGTCGATTAATTATGTTTGATGAATAATAACTTTCCGTATACTTACCGGTGGCTCTCTTGTAAATACTGAAGTTGCTGTCTCAATCGCGCTACTTCCCCTTGCCAAAACTGTCAAGCAACAAAGTAATTCATGAGGTTAGGGCCAGAAATAGTAGCCTGAAAATGATTTCGAAAACCTTTGATTCTAAAATGTAAAATGAAAAAACTAACATAAATTCACAACTCGCAGGCATATATTTGTTCTTGTCAGCCAAATTGATCTTGTACACGTAAAAATAACTTCTTTTTTGTTTTGTTTTTTTTTTTTAAAAAAAAAATCTTATATTCGTCTGGTTTCAAGTTATATTTTAAACATGCATAATTTCGCCTTTAAGGGACCTCAAAAAATACAGAGCTGTATAACTTGTTTGTTAAAACACGTAGAAATGCGACAGACCAAATTTAGCCGTATACGTATTTTATTTATATTAGTAACAAATTGTAAATGCAAATTGCAATAACTAAAGTGCAGCATGATTAATCTTTTGCTTAAAATTGCAGGGAAACCTCTCAATTATACATAAAACTTGTTTTTGGTTTAAAAAAACTAAATCAACTTTCAGTCTTTAACTAGCTGGAAGATTCGAAAAGGATGAGTGCATGTTTATGTAGTTGGTGTATGAAAAATCTATCGATAGAAGATATTCCGAATACGTATTGCTCATGATCAGAGAAAATGATGTATATATGGTTGATGGGGAGGAATTGAAATTAGGGATTCTTAGAGATGATTATAAGGTTACGAAAGATATGCCGGCCGACCGGGACACTGTATTTAAAGCTGCATCAAACTGAATGATGGCGTATGACTAGAGATTTGGAGGAAGACGAAGAACTCTCCGGCGCGGTTCCTTTCAGAGATGGATCCGGTACTATTCGAAACTGATTAAATTCTCTCTTGTTTGATTTGAGGATATCAATAATAACCTTTACGTGCGATGCTTTTGAATCAGCTCGTTCTGACAACCTTTTCTAACTTGAATATTACTATATATAGCAAGCAATTATTAGTATTAAGAGCCAACAACAATTAAGCGTGTGGTATATATGGGGTTAATTAGCTGCAACTTAGGAGAACGATTTCGCAGGTATATATCGATGAAGAGTTTGAGAAAAGCACATTTATCGACAAAACTCGGAGCTGGACTTGATCCGACGTCAGAGACCGGCTGAAAAAAAAACGTGGAAATCCTAATAAGTATAGCTAGCATTCATGATCTCTCATGTACGTATGATGATGATGACCTCAAAAGCCGAATACCGAACTTATTATCTTTTCGGCAACTCATGATTAATTCAATTGTTAATCTTCTTCGGTACTTGAGGAGTATTACGTTATACTTTTACCCCCAAGTCTACTTACGTACGTAGCCAACTGGGGGGGTGTGACATGATTTACGGTGTTCTACATATTATCACCCTTGAATTAACTAACATAGGGAACTTTTTAGGGATCAAGTGTGAAACTTTGGAGTCTGCAGTGTTTCTAGTCTCCAGAGGAAGGCGGTTTCTGTAGGTAGATGTGGCTCTATGTCAGACACCCTGTACTAGGTGTTCCGAATTCTCCCCCAAAGATTTTGGTTCCAGACATCATTTGATTTGAGTAAGTAAACCCTAAACCCGGCCCGGGGATGCACTTGTTCTTTTTTTACCTGCAGGCTTCATACTACTACATGGAAGAAGGAAAAAGCTCCGTTGACTTGGGATAATAATCAGTTAGTTACCCATCAACTGTGTGTACGTTTGTTGACCTCTTCCTTCGAGAGTGACACTTTCATCTTTATTTGGTAACCCCCTATAGGATCCTACGTGCATGGTGCCTCCCTATCTATATGCATCCAAGTTGTGAACATGTACATGTACGTAGGTGGCAGATTCGGCAGCTAGGTTTTCGAAACCTATATATATAGATTATCCCCCACTGCCTACGACTGATATAGCAATTAAGATCTCTTCTCAATGACTGCCGAAATCGTACCTTTTCAATCCCTATTCGGAAAGGGGTCCACCCCTCTTGTAACTTTTTCCCCGTCCGGCAACCTTCTCCGACCATTTGATCCAATAGAGGGTTCCTGTCATTCCTCAATTACAAAAAAAAAAAAAAAAAAAAAAACGAACTATCTTTTAACGGAGTTTTTCCTCCAGTGCTGCAGTTTCCAATTATAGTCCAAACTTGATCATCCGAAGGGGCGGCTGCTTTTTCCTCCTCAAATATTCTTCTGCAAATTCAAACAGAAGTTACTATTAGGCTACTAATGCGTACTGCCATTTCTTGTACTGCCATTTACACAGAAGCTGATGAAGCATATTTTGGACACCATTTCGTTAAAACTAGTACGTTAGCTCACACCTCTCCACCCGCCTATTCGTCCATCTCGGTTCACCAGTCAACTCAAAACTCTGAGATGTATATACTTAAAAGAACCCAATTGATTTACAGCCAGTCGTCTCTGGGTTCACCTATGTGTACAGTCATCAAAGACATTTGATCTAATTCGACATTCGGAACTTCTGCAGCCAATCTGCGGGGACCTCCTTATGGGTAAAGTGTTATCTGGCAATGTCTATCACATGTCACGGCGACATGAAGAATATAGATCGATGCATGTGACAGTCCTCCGATTTGGGGGGAGAAATTTAATGGTTTTTTAACCTAAAATGGACAATTTAACAGTGCCGCCTGTACATACTGGAAGCTTCAGTTTGACACTATTTCAGTGATAAAAAAACTGTAGTGCATTTTCGGAGGGAAGCATTATAGGAAGTTGCCTGGACATTTGTGAGAGAGGAAGAGAAGTGGAAACTTTCTAGGACATGCTGCTTCAGTTTGCATTCAGATTGATTCATGCACAGAATGAACAAGTACAGTAGTTTTCAACCTTTGCCTTGCTTGCATCCTATGTTGGAAGATTAATGCTTATTTGGCATACATGATACTTTCCCTCCCAAAAAGTCAACACAAGCTGATTAATTAGACTCGTTAGTTAAAAATCTCATGGTTTCTCTTAGTCAAGGATTGTGTACATGGGATGCAATTTGAGCATGAACATTCGACTTCCCCACTCCATGCATCCTAGAAATCGAATTTTTGAAAGATGAATGTATATATACCAAAAGGATCTGAAGTTGTTACCTTGATCTCAGAAGCAGGATTCAAGCGGTGATCTTGGCTCTCCTCTTTCATTCTGTTGTATCTTTCAATTATGGATTTCATGCTGTTGATAGTTCAACCCAAACAGTACACCAAAAAAAAAAGATAAATCGTATATTAACAAAAAGAATTTCATAGACTACAACTCTTTTTACGATAATGCATTATTTCCCAAGAACCAATTAAGAGTTTCAACAACTGGAGATCAACCAAGAGATTGCATAAATTAGCCAGTAATAACAAACCATAAACAATATCATAGTGTTTTGAAGGCCCTCAATATACAGTCATGCAAGTAGCAAATGTATGTTTGGTTCCCGGCATCATGTAACTTTTTGAGTCGTGAGAAATTTTTGTCCAATGCTGAGACGTTGATCATTTACTTCGATGGTGTTTCCAAGATGAATATATGAGTGTGACGATATCACTAACTAATCAATCATCTACAAAATGCTCATCCATAGTCCTTAGATGAACTTATAATTAATGATATACTAATTATCACTAGCCATCCACCAGAAGTGGTATGGTGAATAAACTATGTAACATCTCAAAATGGACCAAATCACTGACTTTCAAGCAGCAAAAGGTCAAAGAGATAGATTTTTCATCATCATTCACAGATGTGGAGTTTACCTCACTGGAAGTTATCAATGGTTTTGGTTTATTTGTTGATGCAATTTGTGCCCTTACCTAGCCATCAAAGTTCTTTTAAGGAGATCATGCAAAGAAAATACAGATGTACTACTTCATTAAGTGCAACATTTCAACTATCGACAATTAACTTGTAAATTGATGACAAATTAATTAACTTATTTTCCCGACATTGGAGTACTTGAACACATATATCATCAAGATTCCTAATGACAAACTTGTTTCCCTGACAGCTCAAGAGTTCTTGAAAACATCATGTGAGATGAACGAACTCGAGAATCAAACAGACACCAAAGTTTGATGAGATTTCATTCCAAAACTCAAAAGTTAGATCAATCACATCTTGCAAAAACATCATAACAACAGGCGTAGCTATCAAAAAGTGTGCTGTTACTAAAACTTGTCGGCACAGCCCAGTAGTCAGTATTCTTCTTCCCCCAAAAAAAAAAAAACTTTGCATTTTGAAGAAGAGGAACAAGAATTCAATTATTTCAAAAACCATACATGTTATTGAAAAAAAAAAAAAAAAATCCCACCTCCCCCAACAAAACCCGGGTTTGCAGTCTTCTTTTCCATCTAGACTTCTCCCAAAAACAAAGGAATCAATATGCACATTCAGAACAATATAGCACACATGGAGGAAGGAAAGGAATCAGTGACTACAAAATAAGGAATTTAAGGCTTTATTTATTTATTTTATTTATTTTCACTAACTATGTATATAGAATTTCAGAGAATTACCTAGAGCTGGAAAACTCATAGAGCTTGGAAGTGCTGGAGAAGATAATAACTCCAACTTCAGCATCACAAAGTATGGCAAGCTCCTTAGCCTTCTTCAACAATCCATTTCTTCGCTTCGAAAAAGTGACTTGCCTACTTGTTGAATTGTCAATCCTGCGGATCACAATCTTTCCTCTTCCCATTTTCTTGGATTTGGCCGGTCAACCAGTCGAGCTCTTGGTTGATGATTCTTATATGATACTAATTATCCGGCCCAGAAACGCCTAATTAATTGACTACTTTAACTACCTGCAGAAATGATCTGATGAAGATGGATTATAAACAGAGAAATATGAACAAATGATTAATTGTGTGAAGTGCTTCTGATGAGTACTTATGCAAAAACACAAACAGAAAATGTTTATAACTTTAAAAAGAAAGAATCGAAACTGCGGATAAGACAACTTTGTTGAGGGTGCAAAATTAAAAAGGGAATAAAGGGAAATGAAACAAAAGGTTACTGAAAGAAGAAGGGAGAGGGGACTTACTAATTTCTGCTTTTCATGGAAGAGAAGAAGAAGACAGAGAGAAAAAAAAAATGTAAGTGCAACGTTGTAATCAATAATAATAAGCCAGTTTCTGAAACTTTTGAGATGTACTATAATAACTACTACTATTAAGGGGAAGTTTTACTACCCACATGAAACCATGGTTAAACTAACCTAGCCGCACACTCTTATTTCTTCGTCCCAATTTTGATAATGTCGTAATACTAAAAAATTTTATTAAAAAAAAAACTTAATTGGACAAATCTGCCAAATTCAAGTTTGCATATCCTACTCTCCGGAGCATTTGGATGTTGGTGCACTCGCTGCGGTTAGATTGCTTGTGCTGGTTTTTATGGCGTTGACCACCCCCATCAACAATTTTGGGCGATTAAAGTTGTTAGAAAATCTATACTAGTAGTATAAAATTCATTTTAGTCTGTCTGTCTCAAAATAATAATACATGTTGAGTTTTGAGATCTGTGTTATTTTAATACAGATATCAAAACTCGATTCGGAATGTTTTCAGAAATAGAGAGATATAATCACAAATAGAGAGTTACAGATCCTAAATCACTACTAATTAGTTGTCAATATGATAGCTAATGAGCGATCATTAAATTTATTCACTATATCTATTTTAAAACTCCATTTCGTTTAAGATAATATTTGATGACTGAATTTTGAAAAGATCTTCTAAACTAGTAAGACACTTATCTATGTATCATTGTCTCAAACTTTGTTGTTAACTATGACAATGTATCCCCAATTTATTATGTCTTCATATTGTATGTCCAAGGGTGCATTTGCGATTTTGTACGTAGGAAAAATTAGGGATTGACAAATGGAGGGGAGAGATTAGGGGTTGATACACTGCAGTTGAGCAGTTGGGAGAGAGTGAGGTTTCCTAGGAGTCTCAGAATCATTTCTGATTGGAGGAATGGTCTAAAAGTTGTTGAAATCTGGGATTAGAGTGAGTTTAGAAAATTAAGGATGTTGTCCAACATATAGATCATCGACGGGTGGCATTAAGCTGTTGGGTTGCGTTCAAACCCATTTATTTCCGCTTACTATTATTTTTATCCCGGTGCTCAAGTTTGTGTCTCCATTGGATTTTTTTTTTTTTTTATCCTTTTTTGTGGGGGAGGGGAAAAATTAATTAGCACCATTCCTTGAATATTTGCTATATCCTGTAAAGCAAGGCACGACATAATGTCACTACTTCTTTCTTTAAATTAAAAAAGAAAAGAAAGAGAGACAAAAAATTAGTGACGAAAAAAGATATTATAAACTGTATCTGTATTGTCAGGACATGTGGTAGGCGATTTCAGAGTACAGAACACGTCTCACGAAAGACACGTGGGCATGGTTTTCTCCGGTCAGTCTAGTCTCTTCACATTATACCTAAAGTTCCATCTTAACATGTTGAATGTTATCAGAGGAAACGATTAAAGAAGAAATGGTGAATCATTATATTTGTCACTGTTGTCATGGTGGTATTTCATTGAAACGATCTTTCTTTTTTTTTTTGTTTGGGAAAAATAGTAATATTACCCATTTTAGAAAGATATGATTTCCTGGCTTTTATTTTTAAAAACTAGGAGGCATATAATCGATCCTCTTTCACTTCTTTTGGAAAATGAAAAAAAAATTCCAACCCTAGTTGAAGAACAACACGTAGAAGCAAAGCCAACGGATCCAAAAAACTTTATCAACGAAATTAGTAAGGAATAAAACTTTTTATCTCAACCAATCTCGAAGCTATGAGGGATTTGGATTTTATTCGATTGCACACATTTGTCAATTAATTGTTGGAAAGCAAAAATGAAAATCATACATTTTCCTGTTCTAGGTTAGAAGCCTATAATGTCTTTTGTAGGTAGTATACAGAAATCATGAGATAATTTTAAGCCGTTAAGTCAAATTCTTCAAAATTTGTTAGGGGTATTTTGACAAGTTAATGATCAACTTGTGCGACAAAAATCTTGCCCTCTTTCGCCGAAAATGGAAATAAGGAAGACAAATTAAATAGCCAAGGAGAAAATCAACATATAAACCTAAACATCAAAAGCTACTTTGAACTCTTTCCTTTTTCCGTTAGTCTCATAAAGATGAACCTGGAATAATCATGAACGCGGAAACGACGCAGTTTATCTGCGCTAAATTAATTTAGTATTAACAATGCCAATGGCCTATAACTTCTGGTAAAAATGTTATCCTTTCGGGAGCCAAGTGTTATTAACAATTGTAGTATTCCTCCTTTACCAATAGAGTTGCTTAATACTTACTTTATCTTATTTTTAATTGGGGAATTAGCCTCCTTATTGTCCAAGGTTGGTGTAACATCACAACCAATACATACTAATTAATGATATAGTACTTGTAAAATATTATTACAAATCATTGTAACAACTCTCACAAACCTATCTGTTGTGATAAAACCATTAACTCCATGAGGACCAACTAAATGTAGTTTTGCCTGTTTTTTTTTTTCTCTTCCCAATACTTTTGCCTATACATTTAGCATCGGAGGTTTTCTGATGGTTCTTTCGATACACTACTAATCTTTGAGGTCTTATTTGTAAGACATACTATGATTTTATTAAATATGAATGAAGAGAGTACATGAAATAAAATAAAGAATTCTTTTATTATTGTCATCAATTCGGTCATGACACAACCAACCCTTGATGCAAACGATTATAAAAGATGTAATCAGACAATCTGATAAGAATTTAGCGATGGTAAGTGATGACTGAACAGTAACAATAACAACAGCAAATATTGATAGAGTAATAAAATAACTTATCACATTATCATTGCACTACAGCTTTATGTATTGCTATATTGGCAAGTTGAGGAGTCTTCATGGCCGCGAGTTCCATGGCTGAGCTAATTACTCAAAAGAGACATTTTACTTGATCAAGAAAATTTCTGTTTTAAGTGGCACACAGATTAGTGCTCAGTTCACGTGATTTGGTTCCGGAACAACATCAGCTTCAACTCGACGACTCCTAGGTTTGTTCCACCACACAAATAAATAAATAAATAATTGAATATACCCAAAACCAAAAGGGCAAAAAAAAGAAAAAAAAAATAATAAGAAAAGTTGAACCACTAATTCAAAATGACCAATCACAAAGGAGTAAAGTATTGACATCAATTCCTTGCTCCTGGTAACAGGATCTCCAGGTGTCAATCATCGAGAATCATATTCATAACATTGACCTCGAAGAACAAAGACACTTGCCATACTTTAGCTTTTTATGCACCTCATAATGCTCAAATGTTTATTTAATGAAATTGTCTTTTTTATTATTCGTGTCATTGTCTCGTAAGCTTCTACCATGTATATCCCATTGTTAATAACTGTTACTCCTCCTTCCTAGAAAAATAGTCCACTTTGAATTTTGAAATTTGTAATAAAAATAATACAAATTTTAAAAATTCATGTAGTCTAATTTTTTGGAACGGAAATAGTATAATTTATTGGTGTTTTTCCAAAATCAGATGCCAACTGAAACCTTTCTCTGTTCTCCAAGCCAGTAAGCCAAAGCTTAGCTGCTTTATCTTTGTTTTTAAACTTTCCGCGGCACATTTAAGTGCCACAAAATGATAGGTCTACAAGTATTACCTACTTGAAGCAACAAAGTCGACACCTTTACCGACTAATTTTTTTCCCTTCTAAGTATTTGTATTGCTTGTAATTGAGTGACAGAATACTAACTTTATTTTACAACAGTTGATTATTGATAGAGCGCATGATAAAAAGGGGAAAGAAAAGTAATTTTGGACTGGGAGTACCAAACAATATTACCACATATTTCTTATAGATGTTCAAATAATTTTTTTTAAAAAAAAAAAAGAGGAAAAAGAAAATCATTTTTCTAACTATAGTTGGACAAAAACATCTTTCAAGTTTACGCAATCAATCAATTTTGATTTTGTTGACTTTCTCAATTACGGAAGTGGTATTTAAGCTCAAATCTTGACTATGGACTGGATTGATGCCTAATCGGTAATTACTGCTGAAAACTCAACGATAAAACCCTACCTTCAATTTGTTTAGGACTAAAGTTTGTGTACGGACTGAATACGTGATAACTTATTTTATGATCTGCCAGCTGTAAAGCCATTGTGCAGAGTTCATACAGAATGGAGAAGTATTATTTAATCCTTAATTACCTTGTTAAGTATGCTAATTAACAATACTAAATTAAAATCTTGTCCTAGCTAATGTGGCAACAAACGCTGATCATTAATTAGTGCGACTAACGTTAGTTAGAGGTTTTTTTTTTTTATTACTTTTTTTGAACAAATCATCGTTAGACTCGGTCCAACAATTTTTTCACACGTAGCACGCTTCGCGATTAAAATAAGTTATCTCTTTAAATATTGTATCAGAACTGCCAGAACTATAGCCAATAGGGGGAATATGCAGTACAGAAGACATCGTCCCTATTACCACTTAGGGCAATTTTTTGAGTAACGAAGTGGAAAGAATAATAGTGCGCATGTGGGAGTTCTTGAGCTTTTGGCAACGTTACATCCGTCTCATTCAAAATTATAACAACTTTATGCTTATTTTCTTGAAGGATTATATTTGAAGGATGCCCTTTGAGCTCTTTCTAATTCAATCGAATAGTATGGCCAAATATGGTGGACAATCAATCTTAGGGTTTCGATTTTCAAGTTTCAACCATTGTTTAATATCATCAAAACAAAAAGGGAAAAGTAATCTCTCTGTACAGGTTGAGTATATATATGTAAAAGTTTACGTAAAAAATCAACATGTGGTTTTCATGTACTATACTATATCATATGAATTTCAGCCGATTGTCCACTAAGCTTATATTTTGATAGATTGTCACAAACACAATAATAAGTTATGAGTTATTCCGATCTTCATCACCATTATGACCATTATCAAATATTTCGTTCATTGCTCCAAAGGAGGGTTTTGTGCTTCAACTTAAAAAATTTTGGATTTAACTATCACTATTGTATGGTTTTAAATGGTCCAAATTTGGGAACTTGTGCGAAATTTGCCAAATAAAAACAGCAGAATAGGAAATTTTAAAAAAATTAAAATAAACTCTATGTACACAATTTCAAGTGTGATTAGAAAACCTAAAATTAATCAGACAATGACAGAATTATATGGACTCTTTTTTCCATATTTATAATGAAGGAAAATTTTTTAAAAAAAGGTAAATTTATTTACATAACTTAAATCCAGCTAGTATAGTGTTTTTCTATGTTCTCTCTTTTATAATATCGGGAAGAACATTGGCAAAGTAAGTAACCGCATCCACATTGAACAAAGATACGTAAAATTTGCTTATGATGAATCTATTGTTTCATTTCCTTGACGTGCTGTCAAAAATGACTAATTCTAATACTCTCCCCTTCCGAAATAACTGTCCAATTTAGTATTTTACTTTTAATGCAATTTCAAATTAGATTATAATTTTGGGATGGATAAAGTAAAAGTTTATAACGACGACAGTGACGGAAGAAGGGGACAACAACTACTTCTACACATTACTAATAACTGGAGCGTTGTTGGTCTCTTCATTTTGTCTAACAAAATTATGGCTTTCAAGATGTCCATTCCTATATGCATTTTCCTCAACCCCATTGCCAACCTATTTTGTTGTGGAATGTCAGACTCTTAATAATGGATCATTAGCCCAATGATTTGAACTAGTGCCACTAAACTTACGCCCGTTTAAACAAGGAGCTAATACTTTCGTTGAGCCCAGTAAATAATACAAGTTCTTTCGCGGTGGGTTGGGTTTGGGTACTAAATCTTAAGCAGTCATTTTGAAGCTTCGATTAGTGAAAGACAATGTTTGTTTCTCCTCCCTTTTTTTCCATCAAGGATTTATGATGCTTGAATTTTACCATTTTATAAAGTTACAAATCGTTAAGCATATAACCTCTCAAAAAATAATAATACCTTCTCTATCCCAAAAAAGTAATTTACCTTGAATTTTGAAAGACTAAGGCTCTGTTTGATAATCACTTAATATAGTGACTTAATTTATTTAAGTAACTAATAAAATTAAGTGTATTTGATAATCGCTGCTAAAAAGTCTTAATGAATTAAGTTTTGAACTAATTAAGTACTTATAAATTAAGTACGTTTGATAACTAAAATTTCACTGTCTGAATTAATTAAGTGCATCTGAATAACCAGTTCAATTATGAGCCAGAAAATAAGTGATAGGCCTATCACTTATCATTTATCACTTATTTTCTGCGACGACTCTTTTTTTTTCTTTTTTCTTTTTTTCCTTTTTTTCCCTCGTCTTTATTTTGTCTCTTATTTTTACATTATTTTTAAAAATTTTATTTTCTTAAGATAAATTAATTAAGAGTGCTTAAAGTTGAATTTATATTATGTGTATAAAAGATCTCAAACTTTCAAACTCAAATTAACTAAGTTTAATACATGATATTTGCTAAATAACAAGGTATACACATATATATAATAATCTAAATTTAATTATATTTTTATTATTTACCAAGTGTAACATCTACTTTCATTATATGTACAAAAATTTATTTTAAAATTATTATTTTATTATTTAGAACAAAATATTAGTTATTTTTCTAATTAAAAGAATTTTGTTTATAATTCAATTTTAATGATATTAAAATTTTAAATAACATGAGTATTCAGATTCAGTCTTAAGACTTCAAACTTCGGTCTTCAGACATCATATAAAGACGTTTTTATCAAACAATGTAAATTCAGTTTTCAGACTTCAGACTTCAGTGTTAAGTGTTAAGTGTTCAGATTCAGACTTCAGTGATTATCAAACAGACCCTAAAATGTCCAAATAGTCCCTTACATTGGCCTTACTTGAATTTACGTCTCTAACATTAACATTTCAATATCGTGGTCTCAAACATTATGTTTTACACTTCTTTGGTCTCATTTAACTGTTTCGGCCACTTTTCCGTCCAGTTCGATGTTGACCGATAGTTGACTTGCTGGAATCAGGAGCATTTTCATCTTTTCATAAAATTTAAACTTTCATTGAAATTTAAATAATTAAAAATATTATAAAATTCACATTTAATTATTTTATTATTAAAATTTTATTTTTAATTTAAAATATTATTATAAAATTTAAAATTACATTATTTTTAAAAAATTACTTTGTTCTATTTATCGTTTATGTTGGATACAAAATAAATATTAATTACATTTCATTTTTAACTCTGCATCACTCTAAAATTTTACCGCGCTACAGTAACTAATTTAAAATTCAATTTTTTGTTTAAAAAGGAAAAGCAAACTAAATTTTTTATCCGAATTTTCACCTATCAATTTTTTATTCGGTCGAAGTAAAAAATCCAGCGGGTCCAAAGGGAAGAAAATTGAGGGGGCGAAAATCCGGATAAAAATGGATTATTTTAATTTTTAGTTTGAATTGGAAATATAATTTAAAATGTGGTTCTAGTGAAAATTCAAAAAATTGTTGGGATAAAAATTCAAATAAAATAATATTATTTATAAACCACCACCTCCACACCTCCACCACCGTTGCCCTCCGCCGAACCACCTCCTGTCGCCGTCAGGCGGCCGCCGGCCGCCGACCCGCCGGTCGCTTCCTTTCTTAAATTCTTAGCAATATATTAAAATATACTCCTTACATCTCACAAAAATAATCCATATTAAGTTTTGAGTTTTATATTGTTTTTAGTGTAAATTTAAAAACTCAATATAGACTATTTTTTTTTTTTTTGGACGGAGGTAGTAGATTCTTTTGAAATATAGTGAGTTAATTCGCATTTCCAATTCAACCGCACATGACCTAAATTATACTCCACACAATTATTTCATAAGGTTGAGGTATAGGTTGTAACTATCTAGATATAATCATAATTCAATCCATCATATATAAATGATCAAAGAGCAAGGATGGTGTATATATACATTGGCTCTTATAATCTGCTAGTCAGCTCACACATGGTGTCATGTGCACCGCCTTTCTTCCCCGATGATTATGCTTTCATTATCATGTGATTACCATCAATTTAGTAAAGCCTATTTGACACATTGGCTCAATATTCATTCTTTAGGTGGGTGACCAAAAGGATCATCCACCAAAATAGTAAAACAAACAAAGAAAAGGACATTTTCCCAACATTCTTTATACATGTTCTGTCTCCCTCCCTGTATTTTGCCAATCCCTAGGGCCCCTATTATTGACCTTTTTGCTCAAACTTTTTTTTTTCTTGGTGATAAAAAGCCATGAGGGACCCTTTTTGTAATTTGATTGTATGACATTCTAGCTAACCATGCGTCCAAAGTGAATCATAAAGTTGCATACTTGTGCAATGCTACTATGATTGCACCATCACTGTTAATCTAGTGGAGACAGGATCATTTCTCGGACCCTGTTTATGCCACAGATGGTTTTTCACTTGTTTTTCCAATCTGCTAGGAACAAAAGCAAAAACACAAAGGAATCTTGAATTCAAGAAAAGTAGTTAAATGCAAATAAGAGTTAAAAGATTTCTTTCCTATGAAGTGTTAGAGCCTCATCCTAAACATTGCTGATAAATAAATAGAATTCGACATGGATTCATCCAAATCGACGTATAACCATCTCCATTTCGCATTCGAAATGACAAGGAAATATGAGACTCAAAGAATAAAGAACTTTGCCCTTCTCTTCCATTTCAAAACCCTCAAGAAAGTACAAACAAGATGATCTAAGATCAGCCCCAAAGGAGAAAAAAACAAAATGATCTAAGATCTCTTCACTTTGACTCTAAGATAAGACCAATACCTGTATCAGGCATTTCAGTCAATGTAGGATTTCTATACACATTTTCTTTTGCTGGTGATGTGGGAAACTTATCACCTATTATTGTCATGGCAATTGTTGACATTACGAGTCAATGTCGTTAAAATCTCAGAGAACTGAGGCCGTTTTGAAGGGAAGCTGTTCCAACACTTGATCATTAGAGATCTTAAAATCTGGGGACAGTCCTTTGGTATATCCGGTCTCAGCCCACAAGCGGCTATTCCGACAGCCGCCTGCACTGGTGAATAAGCCGAATATGCGATTTCACCAGTAACCATCTCCCATATTACCATTCCGAAACTATACACATTACTCATTGATGTCTCTGCAACACCTTCTGGGTCACCGGCAATGATCTGTAATAACAAATCACAGGTTATGACACCACCAGGGCTTTCTTTATTCATAAAACATAGAAACAACAAATGACTGGATGAATTATAGCGCTGACGGGTAAGATCTTGAATAAATTTATTTTTTTTTTTCAAATTTGTGCTAATATTCCAAGAAAAGTTTATTTCAAGGATAACTAGTATTTAACATAAGACCTCTACCCCCAAACAGAGCTTTATTTAACGATCTGAAGTACAAGGGTACAAACTGAAAATGGTGTTCTCTCCTCTTCAACAGCCAGGGAAGGGGGCAAATAAAAAAATCCACAAAGTTTGTTGCTTTGTGAAATTTGACATAGTGGGAATCAAGGCTCAGTAGTTGTTGTTGTTGGTGATGGTGGTGGTGGTGTTGTGTTGTAGTATAGAATGTGCTAGGAAGATCCAGGAAAAAGTATTGGCCTATACTCCACTAATGATGCAAGAATAATTAAAGGTAAACTAAAGCAACTTTTCCATCAGGAAATCAAATATTTCAGCTAAGGAAGAGGCATAAAGGCAGACAATCACTTAAAGCCTAAAGCAAAAGCTACATAATAATCAAGATAGCGCATGCCTAAACCCAAAAAGCAGGTATTGGTGAAAACCGTAAATTAAGTAGATTAACCAACAAAAACTTGCACCAAACTAAACATTAATAGCTTTCTTTGAAGCACATTATTTGAGTAACAAAAAGTAGCCATGGTGAAATGCTGACTCAGTTGTATGATTTAAGCAATTAAGTGTTTGGGATTTTGCAAGTTTTGCAAGATAATAATGCATCCTAGATGACAAAAACAGGCAAGCAATTTGATGCCATGATGAAGGCAAATGATAGAATACGAACCTCGGGCGCAAGCCACCTGTAACCATCTGTTTCATAATCCAAGGGCTCACCAACACTCTTGCAAGCAGCAACAATTCCCATATCACCCAAGCAAGCATTTCCGTGTTTATCTAACAAAATTCGTTGCGTATTTAGGTCCCTATATGCTACACCATGATCATTCATGAACTTCATTCCCTCTGCAATATCAGCAGCAATCCTTAAAATTTCTTTGATCTGAAGTTTTTTGTTCTTTAACATCAAATCACGAACTGATCCCCCCTCCAACAACTTAGTGAGAACACATAACCCATGGATTTCATCTATACAAATACCATAAAACTGCAAAATATTCATATGCCCACATGTCATCAACTGCAATAAATTCTCCCGAAGTTCAAACTCGTATGCGCTCCCTTTATCACATCCCCTGAGCTTCTTGATCGCCACCTTTTTGCCTCTGTAAAACCCCTTAAACGTGTAGGGTCCAATTTGATCAACAAATTCAAGACTATCTGTAGTCAACAACCACTTCCCAATTTCACCGCCGCCTGATTTCACAGTCTGCCATTCATCAACTGAAACCACAATGGACGAATTCGGCAATGGTACTTGTAACTGAACCTTAGGGCTACAATTCTCAATCCCATTTCTATAGGTGTGCTCCCCAGAGTCATCCATCTCTCCGAGCTCTCTCCCTGTAGTACTTTCCTCCTGACAGCCACAAAGCCCGAAAGACAGCTTCCTGGAAGCACTTTTTGGCTTCTTCAAAGCTCCTTTAAGAGCATTTTCAATCCGGATTTTGAACACTTTCTCATGCCCTGACTGAATCAGCAACATAACAACTCCCAAAGTGAACTGTTTCCTCTCAAAGATTTGAATCTTCTTGCAACAAATTGAAGCACTATCAAGGGCACCAGACATCGCCGGCCAAGAAAGTGAAGAGTTACAAGCAAAAGTCAGCTTGAAAACTGACCCATTACCAGCATCATCAGACACTTCTTGTATCATCATTGCTGGGTGGTCATCAATAGTTGCTTGCTCGATCAACTTCATATGCAGAAAAACATCTTTCATTTCAAATCCTGCTTGTGCATAACTTTTAAAGGCACATGCATAAAACAGTGTCAAAACAAAATCCAAAAGAAAATGCCTGCATCTAAAATGGAAACTTAACAATAGAAGCGTCAAACCTTAGTGGCAAAGAATCGTAATGCTTGCGAATATTGGAAACAAGCTTTTCTGGAAGTTGGCTGCCTGGATAAAGCTGAGTCAAGCTCCTTACAACACTGGCCCACACATGTTTCCGATTATTTTCAGGACGACCTAACTGCGCTGGAGAGGGTAGATCGCGAACCAAGTCAAGGTTGAGGGAATTCTTAAGTGAGGCAATGGCCTCAGACACATTGCGACTTATCCTCTGAAGACGCTTTTGCACTACTGAAGAGTCCTTCAACACCCCTCCACCAGAGGTTGCAGAATTGATATTTTCCAGAGGTGCTTCAGATCTGTCCTGTGTTCTCATTAACACTTGCTCCACCATGTCCTCATCTGCCCCAGAACGGCTAGTCCAACACTCCAAAGCTGCAGCCATTGTTTGGGCAAGCTACCAGTTCAATCAATAGTTCAACCAGGCAACTCCAGCCTAGATGCCTGATAATTTCAGCATCACTTAATACAAATATTTCCATCTAAACATCCGCAAAAAAACACAAAAGAACCTATACTTACTAGATTAAAAGTCTGAACTTTGAAAATTAACAGCAAATGTAAAGTCCATTACCACATTTATAAACACATTCCTAACCAAATTATGTTAGCGCAAAATCAAGAATCACATTTCTTTCGACATCCAAAAACCGATAAAAGTTTAATCCTCGTCTAATAAATCCTAAAAGTAACAGCTTTCCTATACATGAAACCACCCTCAAATATCCTAAAAATCCAAACAAACAAACAGACATTTTCATCTCATGCAAAATCGTCCAAGATGAATTTCAGCCGCCGGACAATGCCAGAGTTCCACCAATGAAGTAAAAATCCCAGAATTCAGCAATGAAAGCAGATGCACATTTCCTTTGTATACTTCACCAAACTCCCACAAAAAAATAAAACCCATTAACCCAATTTCCACCGAGCAATGTGAGAAACCATTACCTCAATGCTTGAAATTTCAGTGCGAGAATGCACATTTTCTAAACAAAAAAAAAATGCAAAGATGAGATTTTTTTTAATGCTTCACAGAAGAAAGTACCTTTGTGCATGACCGAGTTCCGGAGTTGAACCTTCAGGCAGTATGATTCTGTATTGTGTAATGGAGATTGAGATTTGGGTTTGTAAAGAAAAAGAAGAAGATCCAACAGAGACTTTTTCTGGATGCTGGCTGGCTTTTCACAGTATAGATGTGAACACTGAAAAAGAAAGTGAGACAGGTATGGGGTGAGTAAAGAAGAGAGGGAAAATGGAGGAAAAAAAATAATACCCTTTTGTCAGAGAGACTCAGAGACAACTTATACTGCGTCGTTTTAATTTTTTGAATTAATAATTGTGTTTCTTAACGGGCTAAATCACACTTTACCTGCCCACCGTTGGTCTTCTCATAGTTATCTGCGGTCATTTTGGTCGGACGTAGAATTGTTCAATGAAAATAGTTATCAATTGGCCATTTTATTAATCTCTTCAGAACTTGATAACATGAATTTGATACTAGCGGCACAATACCATATTATTCACAAAAACAACTATACACGATACGAAATGACTCGCTACGGTGCCGTAATTTACGAAAATAATTGGTATGATACTATGAATAACAAAAATAATTAGACACAATACAAAATTGTTAACACATAGTAATAGTTTATAAAAACTACTATCAATTACGGTACAAAATTGACAGACACCATAACTTTGTATTCGGAAAAACAACCAGATACGACATAAAATTATTGATACTGATGGTATTTTAACACTTTGTATGTTAAGATACAACCTACAAAGAATAAATAAGAACTCATATTATCCCTAAGTTCGATTACCTGAAATTGCTAAAGTAATTTTGTCACACTATGATTAAAAATATACTTAAATGTTTTAAAAATATATTTAATCCTTCTTTTCACTCTAATGTTCTCTCTTAAGAAGTGTATTGGTAATTTTTTTTGGAAACAGTATTGGCAAATGGTAATGAATAGTATTGGCAAATGGTAATGAATATATAGCACCGGCCGGCGGAAGATGGTTGAAGTAGCCTGTTATGGCCAGAACTCATGGTCCACACCAACTACCTAAATTTCAAAAAAGAATTGTACTATTAATTTGATCCAATATGAAGTATGGGCCAAGCCCCAGCTGAATAGTAGAAATCTGCACCTGCATTTAATTTATAAAGGCCCAAAGACCACTCACTCGGGCCAATCAACCAAGTCTAATTACCATCATTCCATATTTTGTTTCCTATTTTGCAACCATCCGCCAGAAAGTTCTTTAAAAAAAAAAAAAAAACCACTTCTTAGCTCTTAAGGTTTCTAAAGGTGTTGGGGGCTTGGGGGTTGGGAGACTGTTTGTTATAGTCATCCAATATGGACGAGAAAAAAAAAAAAAAAGGCATGACAATAAATGCAAACTGAAGCCAGTACTTCATTCTTGCTAATGATTACAATTGATTAGGTCCAATTTTATGTGAATTATTCCTAAAATACTGCTCTTGCATGTGAACTTATAAAATGAGATTATTTTGGATGTGTTGGTAAGAAGGATAAGGGCTAGGATCTTACCTAAAAAGAATCCCTTTCTCGTGCTTTGTAAGGCACTGGATTTTTTGCTTCAAGTAGTACTACTATCACCAATATTCTATTGACAATCCCACCATTTCAGTTTTACGTTGAAGAAAAACAAAGCTGTAAACCCCACTTTTACTTCAATTATCCTCGGTAGTTTTTGGATGTCACTGCTCACCGACTTCATCACAAGTTGATTCACCCAATTATATTTTTCTTTTCCTAAAACTCCCAAAAGGAAATCAACACTTCATCATTACTCATAATAGTCTCATACGTAATAAATAGATAAAAATTAAGGGATCAATGAAACTGTAGTTGCAATATTTTGGGAAAGAAATCTTGAAATTTTTTAAATTGTACTCCTTCCATTCCGATAAGGGTAATTATCCATCTTATTGTTCAAATGGGTTTCTAAATTACTTTCTTTCATTTTACCTTCTTCCCGAATGAATTTCTTTAAAGGGTTTTTCAATTTTTGACTGTGTACTGGAAAAGACTTACATTTATGGTGGGTTTTTTAAGAGCTTTAATAGTAGTAGTATTAGAAAATCTTAAAAAATCTCAATTTGCTGAAACGATGCAACGGCACCTTCAACGATGTCAGAGTTCATTTGCTGACTCTGATTAAGAGATAAAAACTATCTCGATGCCTTCACCTTTCAACTCCTTCCAGTTCCCAAAACATAATCACATTCATTCTCCTTCCTTCTGGGTAATATCCTTCTTCAATAAATACTTAAAATCAGATTATTGGAGACAAAGCCGGGAATAGGGGCTGCTGTTTTTCTTTGTTACTGTGCGCCATGCTTCTTCGTTGTGAGTATTATTATAATCCCTATCAGTTGGATTAAATTGGAAAAAGCCCATATGCAGCTTCTGGGTCTAATTGTGCTGTTATTATCTTTCGTCTCTGTTTTTGAATTCCACAAAAGGGAGTCAGTTTATCGGATTTGTTTTGATGGATTGTGTGGCTTCTGTAAATTCATTTTTGAAGCAGTTTAGTGACAATTATGATTTTGGCTGCATTTTTCTGGTATTTGGGAGTTTCAAGCGGGCTTTTGAATTGCTTGTTATGATTCTGTTATTTGGATGTGGGTTGAAAGTTTTGAACTTTAGTTGGTTTTGCAAGCCTGTGAATGGATTGTCATGTGATTCTGGTGGCAAATCTGCACCATTGAGAGATGGGATTTGTGCTAAAAGTGATTTTAGGGGCAAATGTAGTTCAAAGATTTCATCTTGCCATGTAGATTGCTTAAATTATTCATGTCCACCCGCAATGGATAAAGTCAAAGACACTGATTCTGGGAATTGTGATGCTGAAGAGGGCAATGATGATGATGAACAGTGTGATGAAGATAAGGAGTTTGATGTATTGGCACTGAGAAAATTGATCAAGATGGAGAGGCAGAGAGCAAATTCTGCTTTATTGGAACTTGAAAAAGAGAGAATGTCAGCTGCTGTAGCTGCGGAGGAGTCAATGGCTATGATATTGCGGCTGCAGAATGAGAAGAGTTTGATAGAAATGGAATCTAATCAGTATAAGAGGTTGGCAGAGGAGAAGCTAAATTATGATCAAGAACTGATTCAATCATTGCAGTGGCTTGTGATGAAGCATGAATCAGACAGGACTTCCTTGGAAGACCAATTGGAATTAAGTCACAAAAAGCTAAAACTGTTGATGAACAGTAAACAGCAGATGGACCATTGCATAGAAGAAGGAGGAGGAGAAGAGATTGAGGAATCTTTTGTTACTCCCAATACCAACATCAAGGATGGTTCTAAAAGCCGTTTGATAAGATCACTTGACCTAGCTATATCACCATGAAGATGGGATCTTTTTTAAAATAGAGAAACTCCCAGTGGAGAGAAAGTGGTGAATCTGGAGGTGATCATCTTGGATACAGGATGTCGAATATGGAAAAATGTCTGATGAAATTACCCCACATTTGCCTTTTGTAAATGCCTTCTGATATGAACATTTTGGCACAGAATTTCTTGCATTTCCAAATCGGGTCTAATGATTGCCTCTGTTGATTCTGAATATCTGTCATCCCTTTTTTTTCTATTCTCTAATTTGTTTCTTGGGATGTTCCCGATTTGGTCATTCCAGAAGCATTATCAGTGGTAGAACAGAATCTCAGATGATGATTTATTGATTTACTATTTTTTTTGCTTCCTTTGACTAAACAGTTAACAGTGGAAGTTTAGGAAATTTTTCTGTGGTCCAAACAAGCATTAATCAGGTACTTTTGGATTCACTCTTTTCGGTATCATTGGAAACTGCATTTGATGGTGCAGGCTTTGTAGCACAAGCGCGCTACTGTGTGCTGTGAATAATATCCCAGTTTTTTCTATTTGGTACTCTTTACACTTTTAGCTGATCTTTCTCCCTTATAAGTACTGTTCATTATGCTTTTTTATTTGAAGAAAATGTTACTCTCTTGTCCTTTGGTTATCATGGAAGTAACATAGAGAAGTCGAGAATGACTGTACAGTGATAAATGTTACGGAAATCCCTTTTCTGTAGTTAATGATCTAGCAGTGGAATGCTTGTATTTCTCTCAGAAAAGGGGCACTTAATTGTACCGGGAAGATTGTAGCTTCATGGTAGTGCAAGGAAAGACGTGTTTTTTAAGGTTGTAATTTTTCATTTGGATATTTTCTACCAGAGATGGTGTTCAAAGGTTTCTGTATTTCATATGGAATCATGTGAAACTGCTAGTTTTCCTAGGGATACATACAAGAAATGTGTTCCAATTTTCGAACTGTTCACTGTTACTCCATTTGATGAGCTTTGAAATATGTTATCGATCTTTGAACCATTTGATGAGCTTTACGTAGATTTCCATGTCATAGTTCACTGTTCACCTTCAAGGAGTGTAATCTAATTCTAGTTGGAAAATTGAATTCCACTTCAAAACTAACTCAAACTTATAATTTGATACAACCACTTCCGATGTGATGCAACAATATCGAGGGGTCTCAACGCTGATCATAAAAACTTTAATATTTCATTTCATTTCGAGTAGAGGCAATATGTAATGTTTCATTTACGATTTTTTCTAAGCCACGAACACGAATAAAAAAATTAATAAATATAGTAATATGTTAAGTAATTATTACTCCTTCCGCCTCATAATTATTGTCCAATTTGATTTTTTATTTTTAGTTCAAATGGTACTAAAAGTGAAATTTCAAACTGGACAATAATTTTGGGACAGATGGAATAGTATCTTTACACCCATCGTAAATTATATGTAAGTATATTCAGAATCATATCAACTTATGCCATCATTAAAGGAAAGAAGAAGAAAAAAGGTGTCCAAACAAAATCTGGAGCCCCGAGCGACAACATGACAAAGACCTCTGTTTAGTCAACTCTAGAAGTCATTTCATCTGTCATATGAATAGTCTTCTGCTTAAGATCCTTTTTTGTTGCATCGATTTATGCAAGTTTCAGGTTTATGGTTCACATTATTAGTAAACTGTTTGTGGCCATGCAGCCAAGAAAAAAAAAATGTTTATGGCAATCGTAGTCAAATTAATTAGGACTGAAGTGTTCATCGAAGCAAAACCCGAGGACGTTGTTGAGAGTATAACTGCAAAGTATAGTTTTCTCCCTCCGGTGAATTATCTGAGCTCAATGATTCATTAGTTCTTTAACAGTAATTTAGAGCATTCCTCCTTTAATATTTGGAAGGATCATAAGGACTTCTCCCCATAGACGCCTCTACTAAAGATAGGGCTTTAGGCTTCATATTATTTGGGACCTTATGTTTTAGGATATTATTAATATTAATTATAATTATATTTTGAAATTATTTTATAATAATAATCATTGACAAAATAATAAAATAAGTTATATTACCGTAAATATTTTGACATGCAAAGTATGTAGTATTTAAATTATTTGTATTAAAATTATTAAAGTATTTTAATGAAATTTTTATTTATCGAAATTTGACTATTGGAGGCCCAAATTTCAATTTAGCTTGAGGCTTCAATGCGCATTGAGCCAGCTCTGCTTTTCCTGTGGTCCAAATCCGAGTAAATTCACAATTTTTAAAATCACCAAAAGTAGCAGCACGAGGGCAACCGCTTCTTATCCCCCGTTTCTCTTATGTTGTTATGTCAAATTCAAACAAATTCATCAGTACTTTTTTCATTTTTGTTGTTTCAGGAAAATGAGCACATGTATTTTGGAAGTATTTTTGGTTTGGTTATGGAAATTGATATTTTTATATAATCATCGCCCGATGAATTGTATATTGTAGATGCAAAGATGCACACAAGTCACAGTGACGAAGCCAGGAAATCACTGACGGGGTGCAAATTTAGAAAAAAAAGAAATAAATAATGAACCAAGAAATTAATATCGGGGATGCGAAAAATTATTCAATACATAATTTTCTATTAAAAATTTAATATATCTCTACTAATTAAAAAAATTGAGCAAGTGTGACCACGCCCCTTCCTCCTTTTAACTCCGCAGCTGAAATCACATTAGTTTATTGCTGGACTGATTGATTTGATATTTAATGAGAAGATAATATCTCATAACTTGTAGCATGGACATTTAACAGAAGCGTTGTAGTATTCATTACTTGTAATGAGTGACTTTCTGCATAAATTGGAACAGTTTCATCGCAAAATAATAATTAACCGACCTATTAAAAAAAGCTAGAAGATCAGAAGTGAGCCATCGCGAGACCCTAGTTAGTGACGATGTACATAGAGGAATATTCACACAAATTGTAATAAACTAAATGAATTGTGTACGAATGCGTTATTCCTTTGGTTTATTCATAGGGTAAACCAAATTATTTGTTCATTTACCATTTGGCCTTCTGATTCCTTTTACTTTAATAAGTTGAGAGGATATTTGTACTGTTGTTTTAAACCAACAATGATCTTTGTCTTTTTAAAGCTGTTTTAGTTAAATTTAAAGAAATCAATGATCATAGGTATCAACTAACCGTGTGTGTTTAAAAGATCCATGATAGTACATAATAAAATTATAAAAATACAGGGTTCACATAAAAAACAGGCTCGAGGTTTAAGTTATTATGTAAAATACCCTCATTATTTAAGAAAATATCGGAATCATGTTTTAATCATCAAATCAATTATCAAAATGGTTCTCTGACGACGGAAAGTTGGTGTATGCACACGAATTCCCTTAAAAGAAAAAAAAAAAGACTCGATAAATAACCAGTCGAAATTATGATTAATTTTGTTTTTCAAACTCTAATAAAATTAAACATTCATTTCTAAATCAAAAACTCATCTTTCGGGAGTCATAAAAATCTGAATTTTTTCATTTATATTTTGATATTTGATTTTATTAGAATGGGAACAAAATTTCAAGAGAGCTTTTATGGTCAAGCAAAAAGTTTCGAAATGCGCTCATGAATTTCTAATGCGAGAGGGGGCCTCCATTGCACTGGAATATTCTTATCTTCATCTTCCTTCAAATCCAGAGTTGTGCGCTTAGTCGCCACTGCACTAAATTCATGCAAGAACATGAATGATAGTAGTAGTATAAAATCTCGGTAGCTTTTTATCTCCTCATCATGAATTTTTGGCCGTCATTCTATTTTGTCTTCTTGTAAAAATACTCCTACTCGGCTACCACTACTAGCTTCTATATGTTGGGGGGTGTTCAGAATTTCAGCTTTCAAAATATGTCGGTTTGGCCAAATTAAGCCCATCTTCCTGCCAAAAACACATGGCATATTTCACAGACCGGCCGGCTGGCTACAGGCTACCAGGTTGGTTTCCCAACTTTCCGTCCCGAAAAAATAACCAATTCAATCATAAACTAAATTATTTTTATGAAATAAAAGGAGTAAAATTATAAGGACGTGGACTAAAATGTTACTGTACTAATCTTATACAATGGAGTAAAATTTTGAGAATTACTACATCCGTCTCAAAAAAATAGTCCGCATTGGATTTTGAAATTTATATTAATTTTAGTACAAATTTGAAAATTTAATGTGAATTATTTTTTTGGGACGGAAGGAGTAATAAATATAAGAAGTATAACGATATTACATACTAATAATCACGATTGCTCATGCAAAACGTACAATCTGAGACAATAAACTCAAATTGTCAATAGACATCCCAATTGAAACGCATTACTGCTATCCTTGATTTTCATTTTCCTGGTATACTTAGGAGCGAATCAATCAATCAAACTCGAAGAATCAATGTAGAGTCCGTCCATGGCCCCACATTGGATACGATATTCGTTTGTTAATTTTGATTTTTGTGATCAATGAGAATAATATATATGTAATCATATTCTTGAATGCTCATATAAGTCCACACGTGGCTTCACCTCAAAAATCAATTGGCAATAAAGAAAGTAGCACATGGGCTATATATATTGATCACGATGGCTTTCTTACTCCAATGTAGGACAAATGTCTTTCACTTGTTTTTAGTCACAACACTCACAACTTCAACACATATTCATTCATGATTTTTGTCGTCTAATAGTGATAGACTGATAGTTAAGATGATATTACTTGGCATTTATATATGTGTGATTTTATGATTAGACGTGACCTTGTAACTTTCTTACTTTAATTTCGCTTTTAGGAAATCAATGGGATTCGATTTTTAAATATCAAGAAGATTTTTTTAATTTTTTTTTTTTTGGGGTACAATCAAGGAGTTTGGAGCCTAATAAAAATCATATTAATACATTTCTTTCACTTGAAAGATTTATAACTCATGCTATATTCATTTAAATATATAACAGTGGTCTAATAACTTATTCAGTAAGATAACGAAAACTATATAAAATCAAAACACCTCAACGATGATTTTTTGTCGTTGTCAAAATACTAGAGAAAATATGTTCAAAAATTAGAAAAAGCACCGTGAACGTGAGCCAATTATCAAAATGATTAACTTCTATCGCTTTGTTGAATAAAAGGGAGACATATCACGTATCATTCCAATGGTTAGAACATTTTCATTGAATTTTATAACCAAAAATAAAAGTTTTTTTTTATAAAAAAAAAATGCGCAATCATCATTAGGGAGCTCACGAGCCGTTGCTCAAAATTATCTCACACCTGTTTGTGCTTGTACAATTTTCTTAAAATGAAACAAATTAAGTAGTACTTTCAGTTTCAGCTTCATGCTTCCACACCTTATAATTTTAGTACTCCCTCCGTCCTAGAAAAATATAGTCCACATTGAGTTTTCAAATTTGTATTAAAAACAGCACAAAACTTAAAACTCAATGTGAATTATTTTTGTGGGACGGAGAGAGTAATTTTTTAAAGCCATGGGCGAACACATTTCCGATGACAAAAACTCCATTTTCGAGAGAATTTCTCATGAGTGCAATTATTTTTCTTTTATATACATACTTAGCTTATTAATCAATGAAATCGCGACAACGGCCACTAAATTCTATTCTGATTAACCTGAAAAACAAGGGAACATATATTGATATTATATTTCTGAATACGAAATTCTTAGAATGATGTGTATTTGTCTTTCCAAAAAAAATCAATTACGATTGATGTTCTTTTTGAGAATGATCCAAACAAAGAGGATCCTCAAACACTATAGATTTTGCTTTCAGAGTTTCAGTCCACGCGGCATTGATGTTTCATTTGATGAACCCCTGGAAGGATACAGTAATTTATGTGATCCCCATACCCAAATCCAACTGTAGTGATCATGAAATTGACGTATCACAGTGCTATCGCCATACTAAGCTACATAATGATAGAAAATAGTAATCCATCCATTCTAAAATTATTGTACAATTTGAATTTTTATTTTTAATACAATTTAAATAAAAAATAAAAATTTATTATACAATAATTTCGTACAATTTAAACTAAAAAAGGAAAATTCTATAGAAGTGGAAGGAGTACAAGGTAGTTTTTTTAAATCTAGAATACACTTCTCATACACTCCCTTCGTGATCCAATGATACTACGACTCAATGTTCACATGAATTATTGTATGTATTTCCTCCCAACACATTTAAGTTTAACAATTCTATTGTCTCAAACTCTCAATGGATGTATGTAGTCCCCGTAAATGTTGATGTTGAGGAATTTTTCTTTTTCCCTTTTGCCGAGGTTCAGTATATAGATTTCTCTCATCTTAAAATGATTTTTCCATGTTCTTTTTCTTTTTTAAATATTATTTTGAGAAAAATAAATTTCTAATAATTATTACCTTAAGTCATATTTCGTACTCTTTCTGGTTCTAAATATGAGACACTAATTTCAGCTAATTAATTTGTGTCTTATAATAAAGATCGACCGGAGGGAACATGTCATAACCTTAATTACTTGCCAACTTGCAGCAAACACAAATGTTGGTTAGCCATGATTTGAGGTTGGAGTAGATATCATGATTCGTGAGCTGTTTGAGAAATGTAGTTTGAAATAGGAATGTTGATTTGATGCAACGCGAGATTTTTAGGGTTCATAACTAGGTAACCAACTAACCATATCACTAATCACTCTTTATCGTGTGATAAACTTGTATCTTCATTATCATGTGATAAACTTGTTTTTAAGAGTGATTAGTGATATGTAAGATTTAATGGGTGCTATCCATGTTAGTTCGAAATTCTTAGGTTTCATAGTTTTGGTAATAACCGTATAATTATACTACGTCGATAATGATAAGGAAGAAGTGGTATAAAAGGTTTGAAAAATCGTGTGTGCATTTACATAATTTTTCAACTTTTATATTGGAGTCAATTCTAATTCTATCATCAGCTACGGGTTCAAATCTAAAAGAAATTCTAGAAAGTGTTTCGTAATCTAGTAGCCCCGCCAAATGATAATTCAACATAGATTTTACATTTTGAAACCAGTAATTTCAAATTACTTAAAAAATAAAAGAGAAAAAGAATGAGCAGTTTCAACTCACTTATTAAACACCATTTGATTAGACATTCTGATTATTTTCTACGGGAACAAATTCGTGGCACTTTTAGATCATTAGTGTCATGTGATATGTCTGTTTTCTTTGTTTGTTTGTTCTTCCTTTCTTTTCATTCCTATTTTTTTTTTTTAGAAAAAAAAATCATTTTTGATGAAGGGACAAATTTTTCAAATGAAACAGTCCGTTGAAAGGACATTCAATTAAGAAAACTGAGTGTACACAAAATCATCATTCAAACGTTAGCTTTTGTAGTTTTATTCTGTTTAATTTATCTTTCTTTTTTTTTTTTGAAAAAAAAAAGAATGAGTTAATGACATAATTAAATCGTCTTTGTTTCGATGATTCCAGTCTAGTCTCCTATATACGTCAATTCGTGTATCATCTCATAATCATTACTATTATTTTTTACATTAATTTGTGGCAACGTGGGAGTTGGAATCAAATCAATCATTTATTAATTGTATGTTCACATTTCCAATTAAAAAAAAATTTAAATTAAAATACAAATCAAACTTCTGTTTACAAGCTCATATAATTTTTAATAACTTGGTCCCTATTTGGGGACACTTTTGGCACCTCCTGCGTCTCGTGTGGTGGATTTTGCTTTTGATGAAACCCCTACAAATTGTGCTATGTGAAGGAGGCAACCCTAACCAAAGCTTTCAAATTTATTGGTCAGAAAATTTGAGTAAACTGAATCGGATAAATGTTTTAGAAGTCATTGCAATTCTGGTTTCTTTAAGCTGCATTATGAATCCACTCTTATTAGCAGGAGAAGCGAAAAAGAAGCTACCCCTTTTTATAGTTATTAATGAATTCTCATAACTTTTAAAATGGATGTATAAAGTATAACAATTATAGTGTTCATCAAGGTATCTACGGCTCAATCTCACGATTATTGATAGTGAATCACACTATATGGAAAAAAGAAAAGTATAACCGTTGAATCATATGTTTTTTGTTTAGGTTACTAAAAAGTCACTTTCTTAAAATATCTTGCAAGCGAATTCATAATGCACTTGAATAATCAAAAATTGAAATATTTATTGGGAGACCTTTACTTCCTGAAAGGAACCTACCCGACTCAAATTCGGATTAGTCGGAACAATGATTTCGAATACCATGTGCAAAATATACGGAATTTTTATTTTTTATTTTTGAAATTTTGATCTAATGACTTGAATAATTGATGGAACAACATAGAACATATATACTATTATTTTAAGTCAGTGTACCCACGGTCGTCCACCGGATTTTTGTTTGTTTTAGTTTAATCTGTTTTTATTAATAAAAAAAAAAGAAAGAAAATTGAAGGAAGACAAATTGGACCTCTACGTTAGAGACATTGGTGCTTTAAAAGGGCCCTAAGCATAAGGCATAAAACAACAGTGCATTTAATTTAAGAGAACCAAAAAAAAAAAAAGAAAGAGATCAAAAGCACAAACAAACGTCAGATGGCGCCTTTCAACGGGAAACCCAAAATCTTTCTAATGAATGTATAAAAGAAAAAAAAACCCCCCGATTTCTGCTTTGGAGATTCCTAACGTCGCCACCGTCTCATCGCCGGCGGCCAGTTATCACTTCTCTCTCTCTCTCTCTGTCAGGTACGGCTACTGAAATTCTCGAATTAAATTTCTTCTGTTTCGTTTTTCTGATCGATTTTAATTCTGTTTTAAACATTCAGTGATCATAAGAAATAGTGTTGGAATTGAAATTTCCCCCAGCTTTATTCGGTGGCTTTATTAGGTGGTTTTCTCGTACTTTAGGATGAATGTAAAAATGTAGTTTACAATCTCTGTGGAAAGAAAAAGCCACATCTTCAGTTGTGAGTGGGATTTAACTCTCAATTAAGTTGTGTTTGCAAGAAAAAGAAAAAGGTGGTCTCTTCATGTGTGAATTGTGATTGTAATCTTGTTATCGAGTATTCGTGAGAAGATGTTTTGATTGCATGCCTCGAAATTGTTAAATTGTGTCTTCTGTATTGTGAGTGTTGCACGGAGGTATGAGATTTGTATGCCTATGATGTGGCCTCAACCATGTAAGACACAAAGATGACAAATCCTGCATCTCATTCTGTCATTCCTGCATATTCATGAGTGTAGGAATTTGCGGTTTTTTACTTCTCTTGGTGTCTCTTTTTAATCGTGAGCAGTGATGAAGTTCGTTGTTGTGCTCTATTAAGCTACGGATTTCGAGTGGTGGCTAGATTGTTTGATTTTCTTTAATCCTTTATCTCACTTGAAGTGGACAGATTTTTAAGATGAATCACAGAACTTCACGTATAATCTATTTGAGATTTTTGATCTTTTTTGGTTAACTTTTGTTCAGTCAACACTAGCAATGGAAACAAGTGATGAACATTGTTGAAATTTGACGCTCGTTTTGTGCGCGCCATTTGCATATCAATATCGAAGCTTTGAGCTTTCTGCAAGACTTTTTTTTCTGATGAAAGCATTCCTTGTTTGGTGTTTTTCAACTGTTCATCTCATTTATAAGTTAGTTCGCATAAATACTGGTTGTTATTTGTTTGTTTCGACTATGTTTTGCATTTTCTTTTCTGAGCAATTGACGAGCAGTTCATACCTTAATGCTTTGGGTTAAACAGGCAGATTACTCTTAACAACTTTATTTTACTTTTTTTATTACAGGTTTCTTTCCATGATTAATCATGGATAATTATATGGAATTGACCGACACCCTTCAGATGCTTCCTCCTCCACCGGGGAGTTTCATTGATCGTGAAGAACTCATTCAACATGTTGGGGAGTTTGCATTATCCCAAGGATATGTTGTCACTATCAAACAGTCAAAGAAGGATAAAGTGGTTGTACTTGGTTGTGACAGAGGAGGTGTTTACCGAAACCGACGTAAGCCTGTGGATGAGTCTTCTGGTGAGCAATCTAGGAAAAGGAAAACTCATTCACGCCTTACAAATTGTCCCTTCGAACTTGTGGGTAAGAAAGAAGATGGCTTGTGGGTGCTAACTGTTAAAAATGGTTCGCATAATCATGAAGCCTTGAAGGACATATCTGAGCATCCCTCTGCTCGCCGATTTACAGAGAAAGAAGTTTTGTTAATTAAAGAGATGACAGAAGCTGGTCTGAAGCCACGCCAAATTTTGAAGAGACTAAGGCAAAGTAATCCTGAGCTCTCAACTACATCAAAGCACGTCTACAATGTCAAAGCCAAGCTCCGACAGGGAAATGTTACAGGTTGAGACCCCTTCCCTTCTCACACCACCTCTCCCTGCCAGGGACTCTTTCGTATTTAGTCATCTTACACTTCTCTTTTCATTCTTTTAAAACGAATCGTTTTGCTTTCATTAGGAAGTCTCTTGAATATCATGGATCTACCTATTTATTTGAAGTGATGTGTTTAAGTAAAAGAATTTTCCTCTTTTTCAGTTAGTTGCACTTTTAACATTGCTTGATTTGCTATTATTTTTGAACAAATATTGTTGACTTAGACCTTGTATTATTTATTTTTATATTTTTCAAATGACAGTAAGGAGATTAAAAACTTTGAGACCTCAACCAGGCGAGGGTGATTCTCATCCTTTAACAGCCACTGAACCATCATGGAGGAAGCGATATCCTCCAGTAAGTTTTCAAATTCTCAACTTCAAACATTGTATATTTGAGTAGTGATATTGTGTTTAACTGATTTAACTTAGCTTTTAATGACTCCCTTCTAAGTTTTGGCGAATGGTGATGAAGACAATGAAAACTAGTACCCTAAGATCTTCCACGAACTAAAGATAGGGTTTGATGTGTAGGCATCAAAGACAGGCTGAAAAATATTATTTTTGTAGCTGTTTTTTCCGTTCTTTGTTGTGAAGGTTTAAAGTGAGCGAGCACGGGATGAGTCTTATCCTTTTCATCCTCACTTTGATTTTTAAGTTTGAAAAGGTCATTTAATATTGGAATTATCCCTTTTTTGGGCTTCAATAAACAATAGCTAATTGGACAGTACACATATCCAGGTTTTTTCTGCAAATAGGAATTCGTTATTCCTCTTATTCTCATATTCTTTGTCAATCATCACACTAGATTGGAATATATAGTGTTCAAATTTGTGCCTATAGGTTCCTTAGAAGATGAGGAGAAGGATTTTCAGTTCCAAGTTTTAGGTAATGATGAATTGCATTTTCTTGTTATGTTGTGCAGAGGGTGCCCAATCTCATTGGTGGCAGGTTTGTTGACTCTCAGTCATCAATATCTATTGACGTCATGAATCCTGTAAGTGCAAACACATTCACTTCCCTGTTTAATATCTTATCTATCTAGCAAAGCACTTCCGGTAGGATGAGGAAACATGACTTTCTTTTGAAAGGATTAGAAAAAGAAAGATATGCAATCTGCTCATTTTTCATGAGTCAGGAACTCTTAAGTTTACTGCTTGATCTTGAATATTCTGCATCACATAAACTGTGAGGACTTCCATTTGTGTAGCATTACTGATACATGCCATGTCACAGGCAACACAACAAGTTGTCTCACAAGTCCCTTTCACAACCAGTGAAGAATTTAAGGCTGCTGTATTTGCTGCAAAAAGAGCTTTTCCCATGTGGCGGAACACACCTATTACAACACGCCAACGGATAATGTTTAAGCTCCAAGAACTTATTCGAAGGGATGTGGTAAGTTTTGTATTGTTTTATATATATCACCATTATTAATATGGTAATCTCGTGTGTAATGAGGAATATATCTATATATATATATATGTGAATAGGAAAAGCTTGCCCTTGATATTACAACAGAGCAAGGAAAGACACTGAAGGATGCATATAATGATGTGTATCGTGGACTTGGTGAGTGCACTCTCTTTCTTTGGTCCTCTAATAGCTAGCTTTTAACTGTTATTTGTAATATTGAAAGTTTAGTGAAATTGACTCGATCATATCTCAGATGTTTTGGTAGAGAACATTGCACAGGATGGCAGAATTTTCTATGTTTCAAGTACGAGTTTGAAGATGTTACCTTTTTTTGCCTTTTCAACTGGACCTTTAAAAAAAAATGTAAACAAAAAAGAGGCACTTTTTTTGGTACTAATGTCATAAATGCCAGAGATAATGGACTTGATTATACTTTCCTGTTCTTCATTTCCTGTGTCCATAGCTAGAGAATGTTTTGCACAGTTTTCTATTTTTAAGTGGTACAGGTGGTCGTTGACCGCTAAAGGGTTTGAATTTTCTTTTGTAGAGGTGGTGGAGCATGCTTGTGGAATGGCAACTCTGCAGATGGGAGACTTCTCGTCTAATATATCGAATGGTATTGATTCTTATTGTATAAGAGAGCCTCTAGGCGTTTGTGCTGGGATATGTCCTCACAATTTTCCAGCAATGATTCCATTGTGGGTACGCTGTCCTTGTCTCTCACTGCTTGGTTGTAATTATCAAATTTGTGCTTCTTTGAGCTTTTTTTTTTAAACCTAATGTTGCCTTTGTGGTTCACCATCAATGAGCTTTTGCAAACCTTGCTTTCAGTTGCTTTTCTGATTGTTGACAATTTCATACATTTTTGTCTGTGAAAATTTATCTTCGTTAGAGGGATTTTAACTTGCTTATTTCTTTTGCCTTCCCATATCTGGTGCAGATGTTTCCTATAGCAGTTACGTGTGGCAATACCTTCATTCTGAAACCTTCAGAGAAAGCTCCAGGTAATCACTTCGTTGGTTGAAGGTGTTGTACGTAGTTGCATGTAGAAAACTTGTAATGTCAATAAATATGCATTCAATTTGTCCCGATTTGGAATTTGTATACCTATTCTTTATTATTACGATCATTCTGTATGAAGTGATAGCATGACCTTAATCCGGTTGCTTTACAATTTTTAAGGAGTTTTATTTGCTTCCTTAATGTCAAAATGCTCCTGTTAGCATGCTTTCGTCATATTTTCTGCTGTACTGGCCTATAAACTTATGACTACTTTTGTGTTCAAACAGGGGCTTGTATGCGACTTGCCGAATTAGCCATGGAAGCTGGTTTACCTAATGGTGTCCTGAATATAGTTCATGGTACTCATGTAAGTTTATTTTTTTGCATTTAAAAATCCACGCTGTATAGTTTTCTAACTTTTTTGTTCCTTCCTCTTTTTCGGTACAATGGTTTTCTAACTTTTGTGTGAAATATATATTTGGTTGGATGGGAAATGGCAGAAGAGATTTTTAAACTGTAATTGAACGCCTCTTGTTCCGGAATTTTGTGCTGCATATCGTGAATAATGCGATAATTGTAATTGGATTATCTGCTTGGAAACGATGAAGTTATGATTTGCTTGGCTGATAAAGTACTGCATTCCTTGTTTGTTTTTTTTTGCAGGATATGATTAATGCCATATGTGATGATGAAAATATAAAAGCAGTATCTACTGTTGGTTCAGATGCGGTGAGTTCCTTGCAATTCTTCTCTGCCTTCTATATTCTTGTGCCAAGCATAGGCCAGTCGATTTGTTTCCTTTACCTTTCTTGTAAGCGTAAGTTCGCATTATACATATTCTAGAAACCTATCATCCAGGCTTTCCATTTCTTCACTATCCGTGGATTCTCAGTTACTAGCATTGCTATTTTTTTCTCCACCAGTTGCTTAATTGAATCACTTTGCTAATTAACCTTTATGTCTGAATTTCATTTCTGTTGCAAGGCTGGAAAGTATATCCACGAAAGAGCATGTGGTAAACGTATTCAAGTAAGTTGTATCTGTGCTGGTTTATGTTTGTGGTTTTAGTAGTTGATAAAAGCTTGAGAACGGTTGGAACAAAACATTACAGGCCAACATTGGGGCCAAGAATTTCACTGTTGTAATGCCGGATGCAAACGTGGATGCCACACTGAATGCATTGGTTGCTGCTGGTTTTGGTGCTGCCGGACAAAGGTGTACAGCAATTAGTACAGCGATTTTTGTTGGAAGCACAGACTTATGGTAATATGCCAGGCTCTGTTTTTGTCTCGTCTACATTGTTGTTTTTCATATGGCAGTAAAGTTGTGAACTTCATCCTTCTCAAGATGAACCTTTTTCTTCCCTCTGTTATTGTAGCAAGGCATAAAAACGTTATCTTGTAATCAACTTAGAAAAGGGCTGTATGATTTTTTCCCCCACCCCCCAAAATTCGTTTCTTTTTTGAATATTAAAGCCTTTGTCTATTCAGGAGTTTCTGAGTTCAACTCACTGTGTATTATAGTTGAAAACTACCTCAGCAGGTGTGGTAAAAGTCTGAAAGTTGAGTAGGAGTATGGGACTATGTTTTTTGGTGTCTCGACAGTTGTGGTAGGTTCCTAGGTACGACTTATTTGAGGATTTTAGTGTTACAAACTGATTTGGACATGTAACAGGGAAAACAAACTGGTGGAGCGAGCCAAGGCCCTTGAAGTGAATGAGGGTACTGAACCAAGTGCTGATATTGGCCCAGTTATTAGCAAGCTGGTGAACTTCTTGTTTCTTACTTTTTCGATTTTCTTCTCTACTTATCTAAAGAATATATCTTTCTTCTTGTGCTTGATTTTCTATTGAACTATTTATGCTTTTGTTGTGAGCAATACTCCGATAATCCCTTAAACAATAGCTGGCATGTACTAGGCTAAAGAGCGGATATCCAGCTTGATACAAGCAGGAGTTGATGCTGGTGCCAGACTTGCTTTAGACGGGAGACAAATTGTGGTATGAATCTCCTTGGTACATGCTATTTCACTTTGTTCTGTGTATTTCAATAGCATGAGGTTGCAACTCTCTCTTTTAACAACAGCAACTTCATTTTTCTTGGTAGGATTTTTTGCATTCTTTTGTTTGTGGCAGAAATTTTGACAAGGAAGTTTAATAGAGAAAGTATATAGATTTGCAGGATATACTTGTCTTTACCTTTTTCGTGGATTACATACAGGTTTCAAAATTTGAACTGGGCAACTTTATTGGCCCCACAATTTTATTTGATGTCAAAGAGGATATGGAACTCTACAAGGTATCTATTATATTCTTGAGCTGCACATCTTTAATTTATATGCAACATCAGGGGAAAATATCTTGGAACTCACCGGTTATGATGCGTACAGGTGGAAATATTTGGTCCAGTTCTTCTCTGTATGCAGGTTTGTCTGTGACTTGTGTGTTCTCTCTTCGTATATATATTTATTACATATTTTTTTAAATAAAAAGATTTGCCACATTTCTGACATGTGTTCCTTTTATTTGCTCCACAGGTTCCTAGCTTAGAAGAGGGGATTAATATTATTAATCGAAATAAGTTAATATTTTTCAGAACTGTACTTTTTCTCAATGATTATTCTTGTTCTTTGGACCAAGCGAGCAATATTTGAGTAATAATTCCTAAATCATTGTTGTCTAATCTGTTGTCTTTTTGTAATAGATATGGTGTTGGGGCTTCTATATTCACAGCATCTGGTGCTGCTGCAAGGAAATTCCAGACGGACATTGAGTCTGGGCAGGTACATTAATGCCTTTGGTAATTTTATTGTTTTGATTGAAGACTGGCTGTGCTAGAATGTGAGTGACACGAGGTTGCTTTCTGAGCTCAAAACTCGTTGCCGGGAGTCAGACTAAATAACACATGCTTATGCCTGTGCATTGTGTTAACTAGTGATTGAATATCACTCTTTTTCGATCTGAAGATAAAACTTCACAGCATAACTGTGTACTGGAAGTAGAACTCATCTCACTGTTGTCTGACTCAGGTTGGCATAAATGTCGCTGTTCCTGCTCCTCTGCCATTTGTTTCATTTGCTGGGTCAAAGGCAACTTTTGCAGGGGATCTTAATTTTTACGGTAAAACCATGGCTGCTTTTGATGTGATTAGTGAATCTTATACACATTCTATCGATTACTTAGTCATCAATCCTGATCACCTTTAAAAAAAAAAAAAAAAAAAAATACAAACAGGCAAAGCGGGAGTTCACTTCTATACTCAAATTAAAACTGTCACTCAGCAGTGGAAGGATTTTCTCACTACCAATGATGCATCCCCCATGCTTAATTCTGTTGATCTCCCAAGTTTATCTCAAACAATGCAGACTTTTGATTTCCCTAGCAGTGATATAGTATCTCTGGGGTTACAGTCGGGAGATTACTCAAATGTTGATGGACCAGGGCATTTCTCGAATGTTAATGGAGCATCTCTGGCCTTAAATGAGGTAGATTTTTCTAGCAGTGATGGAGAATCGTTGCCGGAAGAACACTCCAAGGATATGGTCGGCGATGGTGGTATCTCCCCATCAGTGCCAACGTCTCATGGAGTAGATTGGACTCTAAATTTTTAGAAACTGCCATTTTGCTTTCGCTAAATCGACTTCTCTCTTTTATATATACATAGATGGCTTAGTTCAAAACATTCCTTTAGGAGCGGGATGAGGATAACCTATTTATTTTAGTCTTTCTCGAATGCAAAAGAAGGCGTTGACAAGGTATGTACTCCTAGAAGACTAGAGAAGCCAAACTTTGCCAACACATCTTCCACCATGTCTTGTTGACATGAGCATGAATGATCGTCACTTGCCAATTGAAACCATAGAGCGCGGCCCAAAATCTGCTTCGTGCACACTACAACATCCTATCTTTCCAGCAAAACCAGTGATCCCCAATCGCTTCGGCCTCCGAGTTTCTGTATTCATAACTCTGTTGGGCTACTTCCTGACTGTTAGTTTCATGTAGTTTACTCGTTGGTCGTTGCTCACATTCAGGATATAGCACAATGCGACGAGATGTGTCCAGATTACTGGATCCGTTTGCTGGAAGCCTGGAACCAACTCTTAAAGACGGAAAGAGCTAATGGGAACCACACGCTAAGCAGTTCATATGTATAGTGGAACTGCGTATTTGATGACGATGTAAAAGGAGGATATATGTATAGCTTGGCTATAGAGCTTATTTACAAAGGAAGAAAGTATTCTTTCCTTATATGAAGGAGGCCGTAAGTTTGGTTTCAGATCTTTCGCAATGTTTTCAGATAGCATATTTTTCTTTGTGCAATTGTTACACAAAGTATTACCACTTACCAGAGACTAATCTTGCATTTCGAAATTGTACCAATTGCTGTTTATTTCTAATGAGATGATTACTGTTATAGTGATATATTGTTTATAACTTTCTCACTAAACTAAAATATAAACAGTCCATGTTTAAATATTACCACACGGAGAACCACAGTCCAACTGTATAAATATTACTTCAAGTAAAACCTTAAGGTGAAGCAACTATTTCCATTTCAATATGTCCTTGTAGGTTTGCTTTTGCCTCTTCGATAATTGATACAACATTAGCATCAACTAACTTGTTTCTAGGAATTCACGAATGCAACCATACCGATACCATACACCAACACAATTTTCCACTCATTAAATAATGGATTGTATTAGGAAATGTGCCGCAAGACATAGGATGAAACTGAAAAAAAGATGCAAACATGCGTTAACACAACCCCCAAACGAAGGAAAAGTGGCTAGTATAGGGTTGCCGCAACTCTACCGAATCAATGTATATTATAAACTAGCTTTCTCCTGTAATCTAATCTTTAGTATTTTTAGTCCAACAATTCCCACGAAATACATAACGAGGCAGAAGATTTCTCATATTTATACCAAATACATCACTCACTAAATCATACAGAATAGAGACATTTCACAAAGAACAGCAAGCACTGACGAAAAAGAACAAGCACCTTAGAACAATAACAAATCACAAGCACAAAGAATCATTTCCTTTTTGCTATTTTGCAAATGTATCACTGAACTATGTTGTCTTCAAAGGCAGATGCATCAAGACAAACACCAGCACTGATGAAAAGATATGCATACAACCGCTGGCTATCAACATGCATTGCTTAAAAATTTTCATAATCACTAGCATAAAACACACATAATAATCTGATGAAAGCAAGTTTGGATGGACGGCAGTTTCAGGCAATTACTGAAAATACCACAAAAGAGATAAAAATAAAAACCTAGGATGGGGGATTTATCTTAACTGCTCTAACTGTTTGCTCAGTTTGACATGAAAAATCTCTTAGAAAACATGAGGAAGACGGTTTCTTCTAGGGAGTTGGAAAAAGATAACATGCAAAAAAATTGTTTCTTCTAGGGAGAAAACAGGATATAAAATATATGTACATCAGTGCGGAACTTGTCTTCCCAGGCATATTTGCAATCCAACATGACAAAGGGAACATTGTGACGCAGCATTCAACATAATTTTAGGACAAACCATCAAACAAGAATCAACAAAACAAATCAAGTAGTTGTAAGTAGCCACATTAATGAAGAATGGCCAAATACACCAAGATATGAGCTATTTTAGATTGATGTCTGGCGTAACACAGAACACGAATCTACTATCCACTTAAATGAACGTGCAGATTGAAGCCCAAATGTAAATTTTTACATCAAAGCAGGCAAAAGTAGTTCCCAAGCACGTTACAACCATTTTCAAAATGCCTAACAAACAATAAGCACACAGAGCAGACTAATCACAAGACTCCAAACATCACAGACAATTGCTGATTAGATGATACTTAAATTACATTTCATCGGCAAGTAGGTTTGGGGAAAAAAATTATTCATAACAAACAAGCAAAAAATAATGCCTCAAACTACAATACCAACTAGAAGCAAACCCCATCTTAGCAAGAGCTTGCCCAAGTATAATAAGAGCAATTGTATCTTAAATGCTGTAAACCAACACAAACTTCACCAAGAGCACTTCCAAGTAGACTCGCTCTTTGAAGGAATTTAAAGCACAGATTCTATAAGCAATGTAAAACTAGAACACCCACAAAATGGCACTGTATTTTAGTCACCAGCAGAATCAAAAGTAATCACACATGTGAAAAATAAATCATCAAGCATACCTAACCCATCAAATTAAAGAGAAAAACAGAGGAAATAAGGCAAATCCGTCTCAAAATTATGCAGCAACAAAACCAAAATCATACACTACCGTCTGGTCCTCATTAAACATTAACATCCATTAAGAGTGATAATAGTATCCACCGTCCATTACCCCATCCAAAAATAAAGATAAACTGATATCACAAAAACAAAGACACAACCCGTACATTGCTCATATCCGGGTCGGATCCCCAGTGACACTCTCTAGAACCGGAGCTTGGTGAAGAACCAGCGGTTTTTACCAGATTTAAACCTCTCCTCGAAGCGCGATTTGGTCTCCTTGGCGGCCGTGACCTTCTTGTCCCTGGCCTGAAGAACGTCTGGGGTGACAACGTCCTTGAGATCCACGTCAAGAGTGTAACGGGTGGGCATGATGTGGTTGTAGTTGACGAGCTTGATGAAGCATTTCACCCTGGATTTCTTCGCCTGCTTCTTCTGCGAGTCCTTGCGGATCACCTTCTTCGGGTACTTGGAGATTCCGGCCACCAGGCAGTGTCCGTAGGGCCTGTCCCTGGTTCCGTCGTCGAATGACCGGACGATGACCGCCTTCCGTCCGGCATACCGGCCCTGGAGAAGAATCACGGCTTTGTTTGGCTTCAGAAACTTCACCATCCTCGCTCCCGCCTGCTCTCTGCCTGCTGCTATCTCTCTACTGGATGTTTGTTCTGTTGGCGGCCTTAAAACCCTAGCAAATGGAGAAGACAGCTCCCAGCCATTTTATATATAAATAGTAGGGTAAATTACAAGAACCCTCAAATGTTCCGGTCAAATGCAAAATATGCCCTTTTTGTTTGGTAAAAGTACGAATATCCCCCATTATTTCTTGGAAAATAAATCAATTACCAAAAGTTCGCTTCTATTAGAAAAAGCCCTCTACTGTTTGGATTAATTCTTCTACTGGCTAAATGGGACCCAAAATGTTTCCTTTGGGAATTCAAATTTAAACAGTTGATTCATTTCTGTAGTTTAATTTGTTGCTCCATGGTTTACTTTGTATTTGTGAAAAATCTATAATAATATAATAGTATATTCTAATAGAGAAACCAGAGAGAGGAAACAATATTTATTCTTAGAGTGGTACATCATCAAAAATTCTAGGTGTAATTTTCTTATAAATTCTCAAAATAAAACTTAGTGTAATTGTGTAAAAGTCCTCTAAATTTGGATTGTTTAAATTATCTTGTCCCTTAAAGATTAGTGAATATCAATGATATTCCGCTTTAAGTTTACAAAAAGAATAGGAAGCTGAATAATTTTTTTGGAGTTGAGTAGTCATAAATTTGTTCTTATTCTTTCTTTCTTTTTTGTGTGTATAAGCAAATATTGTCTTTTTTTTCCTACTCAAAACTTTTAAACTTAACTAAACTATAAAAATTAGGTCTATATTTTATTGTTGACTAAAAAGTGCATCCAATAATAATAATAAATTTATAGGCGTCACATTGGTGTTCAGTATTAACATTTGGTTTATTTCAATAGGTCTATACTTTAATATATTGAGTTCATAGATCAACTTTAGCAAGTGAACTATTGACCAACTATATATGGACACCAAACTCATTTATGTAACATTTTACTTGATTTCAATAAATAATATAATTAAAAAAGTAAGATTATAATAAAAAAAATAACGATAAATTATTACAAAATTATTATTTAATCCCGTACATCGCGCGGGTATAAAATCTAGTGTTTTATATTGCAAAACAAATTTCTGATACCATAAGGAAAAAAATGCCAAATCTATGACAAGCTGGCCAAAAAATTTAAGGTTACTCTATGCTTATAACGAGATTTGAACCCATAATCTATGATTAAGGGTGGAGTAGTTCTTACCACTCCACCTCTTTGGTTAGATTAGTGAAAGTTCGATTGATAATACTTATTGCTTATATATTTTCAATACAAGGAAAGTTTATTAGTGGAAATAAACAAGTATATATAGTTTCGATTCTACTACGAAAAGTCCTCTACTGTTTCGATTAATTCTTCTACTGGTTAAATGGACCCAAAATGTTACTTTCGGGAATCTGGGTTGTCTCAGCAATTCGGATTTTAACAGTTATTTTTATTTTTTTAATTTTTTTTTACAGATTTGTAGGGTGCCCACCGTCGGTAACAGTGATTAATCCTCCTTACTGAATTGTAGGCATCTTAATAGTGGGACAGCTGACCAAAGTATTTAAACTTGCTCAATGCCCATGGCAAGGTTTGAATACTCAACCTATGGTTAAGGGTGGAGGAATTACTTCAATCCACCACAACCATTGTAGTTTTGTTGCTCCATGGTTTACTTCGTATTGCAAAAAATGTTTTATATTGCAAAACAAATGCCAAAAATAAACGAGAGATTATAGAAAGTTCGATTAATAATACTTACTGTTTATAGATTTTGTATACAAGAAAAAGTTATTAGTGGAAATAAACAGGTACATATAGTATTGATAAATAGACATATATGTTCAAAAGCATCAATCATTTTCGATTTTCTTTTTTATATACTAATTTTATCATGGTTATGTTATAACGGAACAGTGACTTGATCTAAAAATAATATCACATGTCGCCAAACAAGATATAATATTTGATTACTAGCAAGGTTTAAGAAAAGTTTGAAACATTACAAATTTGAAAAGAGACAAAAAAAAAAAAAAAAAAACTAGTAATATTCATGTTCATGATTCACTCCCTCCACAATCCATTTCTTTTAATATAAAAAGAATAAATAATCATCGTACAGCAGCCATCTGACGTGGTTCATAATTATCTAATCCTACAAATGCAATATTTTAAGGTAACGCAATATGGAAAAAGTACGTGAAACAAAATTATGGTAATTAATTATGTCACACCCACCCTTACAGATAATATCTCCTACACTCACAGTCCACCAAACATCATTGTACTTCAAGAAAAACCGTTGGATGAAATAACACGAGTAATTGCAAGCAATCCGACGGTTCTCCATGAAAATCACCATACTCCTTCTCACAGGCTAACACTGCTCCATCATTTTGACCAGTTTCGATATGATGAGCACAGTGCAAGAAACAGAATACAGCGGTCAATGTGAGTAAAAACACTTCCGTTTTGTACTATAAAACAGTAGAGAGTGCTGTAAACATTTCAAAGAGGAATATCAAGAAGATAATCAAATTCGCGCTCAGACATAAGATATGTTGCAGTTTTCGATTCACCGAGGTATACATATCGACTCTGATAATCAAAGTTCTCTATCTGGTTGTGTTTTTGCTCGTGTCATCGATTGTTGACACAGTTGTTCATTTTATTTTTCCTCTGGGGAGAATTGAATAATCTGTGATTTGGGTTGTTTTTTTTTTTTTTTGCAGGGAGGAATCTGAGGGGTTTGAGCTGCAGAGTTTTTGGAATTGCGAGTTCTCAGTTCTCATCTACTGCTGCTGCTGAAACTTCGTCTTGGAGGAATCGGAATTCGCTGGTGAGTTTTTGAAATTTTTTTTTTCTTTTTTATAAATTTTTTTGCCCGGTCGAAATGATTCTTTTCGAATGAATTCTTCTGTTTGGAAATTATTTGTTCCATGATTCTCTTTGTTTTGAGTAAACTTGTTCAGAAGATTATGGCATAAGCAACTGACACAAACCCCTGATCGTGGAGGAATAATTAACAAAATGACACCTGAAACCTTGATCATTTGTCAATATTTGGAAATGTGGTTTGATTTGGACCATTTTTTCCCGTAGATTTCCAACTGTTTTGGAGTTCTGGATTCCCTTTCTAGAGCCTATAATAATTGGAACATCTTTGGAATTAGTTATTGTACAGCCCTTCTTTAGGGTGAACACTGCAAAGATACTAACATCTGGAGAGTTGAAGAAAGGAGTTGGTATGTGAATTCTGTTGTTCCAAATAATCCAACTATATTGTTATCTGGCGATTGAAGATAATTGAGAGAGAAGTCAAGTTGCAACCTGGAATATGAAGGAAAATTGGACTTTTATCTGTTGTTTGGAATGACTGACAGGTTCAGTAGATTGACTATCCCGACTTCCAAATTTTATGCCTACCATCTTCATACATCGAGTAAATTTTCGTACAAATAAACTGTAGATATTCAGAGAGATAAGCATCTCTTTTCATCATCTGTCCTCTTTTGTATTATTCTAATCATGGTTAAACTGGGTGTAAGAAATAAAAGAAAGAAATAATGGGCGTAGAAATATGATTGATGTCATAATTTTTGTAAGAATTGACATTCAGTTGAATGCTTTTGGCCATTTTCCTTGCCTTCAACGAGCATATTTTGCTTTGTTGTAATGTTCAAGGAATGTGCTTCTGATTTGTTTTTATAGTTTCATCTAACAATTTTTGTGTATCAGAGGATTCCAAACTTGATCGGTGGCAAATTTGTAGACTCACAGTCATCAGAATCTGTAGATGTGATAAATCCAGTAAGTGTATAAGCTAGTAGAAAATTATACTTTCCTGTTCCTCAGTTTTTATGTCTATTGCTGGAGAATGCTGAGGTAACTTAGTCATGATTTCTTTGTAGGCAACCCAAGAAGTGGTTTCTCAGATACCGCTAACTACTCAGGAGGAGTTCAAATCAGCTGTATCAGCAGCAAGAGATACCTTCCCTTCATGGCGCAATACGCCAATCACAACCCGGCAGCGAATTATGTTCAAGTTTCAAGATCTTATTCGGAAAAATATGGTTAGTTTATTAACTTATCCTGTTGCTTGTTCTTTCCTATTTATGACACGTATTGATTGACATGTAATTATTGCTTTAGGACAAGCTGGCCCAAAATATAACCACAGAACAGGGAAAGACTTTGAAAGATGCTCAAGGGGATGTTTTCCGGGGGCTAGGTTGGTGCAGTGCTTTTGTAGTTTGTCATATATAATATATTCTGCAGAGGATCAAGGTTGTAAATTTTTTGGTTTATGTTTCTGAAGAGGTGGTGGAACATGCATGTGGCATGGCAACTCTGCAGATGGGAGAATACGTCTCCAATGTGTCAAATGGAATCGATACCTACAGCATTAGGGAGCCGCTCGGTGTTTGTGCTGGGATCTGTCCATTTAACTTCCCAGCAATGATTCCTTTGTGGGTTAGTATGATCTTCTTTTGGAGAGGCTTATCAGGACTCAGCCATTATTTTTTAATTTACGTCCAGGGTAGTTATATTAAATTTATGTGGTAAAACATAGAAATACTCCCAATTTATAGCTCACCTTGTTGAACTAAAACAATACAACAAAGTGGATTGGTAAAATGAGACGGTGGGAGTAAATAAAATTGTAGATTCAAATATCAATGTGTGATTGGCAGCATCATGTGAATTTATTTGATTGTTTTCTTGCAATATGTCCGTGATATGTGCAGATGTTTCCTGTTGCCGTCACATGTGGAAACACCTTCGTTCTTAAGCCCTCTGAGAAAGATCCAGGTAATTTTTGGTCATGGAGAATGGAGATGCATGCTCCATGTGGGTCTTCTGTTTTTTTACGTCGCAAAACTAAGGTCATTTTTTTTCCCCAAGGATGATCTTTCCTCAGCTACCCTGGTTGTGCTTCTTTTCCAGGGGCTTCCATGATCCTGGCAGAACTGGCTATTGAAGCTGGTTTACCTGATGGTGTTCTTAACGTTGTTCATGGAACTCATGTATGCTACTCCTAAGAATGACTTGCTACACTTAATTCTTGATCATATTTTCTCCGATACCTCAGATTGAAGGGTTACAGAATAATTAATAGTGAAAAGATGTGGGCAGTGGATCTAGTTCATAATCCTCAAATGTGAGTATTTTCAACTTCTTGCAGGACATAGTGAATGCTATATGTGATGATGATGATATAAAAGCCATATCATTTGTTGGATCAAACACTGTAAGCAACTTTACCTTCTTTGCTTTTAGATGGATGTATGTATCTAATAAAGTGAATGAGTCCCCTTAACTTTCATTATCCGGTTTTGGGTTGAAATTTTCAAGTTGCTTTCTGTCTGTAGTTAGCTTATACAGTCGGAATGAGCTGTCCTAAATTAATTTCAATTACTGGTTATTTCTTCCTATTAGTGATTCAGCCTTAGGTATATGTTTCAGTTTTTCCTTTCCCTCCTCATACCTCACCATGTCAGAGTTTTCATGACATATAGAAATCATAGAACAAGCTACTTGCTTGCTCTGACTGCTTTTAACTGGTTCATGCATTTTGTGGGGATTATAGTAGCTGTTTGCAGAAGTTTAGAAGCACTTTGAGCAATTTGATTGCTGTGAACTTGATGAAGAAAAACTTGTGACATGCTTAGTGACTGAGTTTGTGCTGCATTCCACGAAGTTTAAGTCTAATAAATAACACATCAAGGGCATCAGTGACTTTTGGGAGGATATCCACTTAATGCCAATGACTCCTCTCCTTCTAACTCATTTACACATCGTATTTTTAATGTTGGGCCTTTTGATTTTTTGGTATGGTTTGCAAGCTTATGCAATTGTACATAGTACTCATTCTTTTTCTTTTTGGGTCTCAATTTCCCTAGGCTGGTATGCATATTTATGCGAGGGGATCAGCCAAAGGAAAGCGTGTTCAGGTTTGAGCCTTTGAAATTCCACGCATGTTCAGGTTGTGTTCAGGGTAACTCCATCACATTTCATGTCTCTGTTCTCTTTGGCTGTCAGTCAAATATGGGAGCCAAGAACCATGGAATTGTCCTGCCTGATGCGAATGTTGATGCTACTCTAAATGCTTTAGTTGCAGCTGGTTTTGGTGCTGCCGGGCAGAGATGTATGGCACTGAGCACCGTAGTTTTTGTTGGAGACTCAAAATCATGGTACTTCATTCGTTTACTCACTGATCTATGATTACTGTGAATCCCCCGGTTTAGATTTCCTTAAAAGAGGATGTTTTCTCCAGTGTTTTCACCTTTGATATTTATGTTTTCTGATTGTAGGGAAGAAAAGCTTGTGGAGCGAGCTAAATCCCTTAAAGTGAATGCTGGAATACATCCTGATGCAGATCTTGGGCCTGTCATTAGTAAGCAGGTGAGTCAAAGCCTGTTATTCTTTCTATTTTCCAAAAATGTGGTTTGACCGCATATCTTGAATGGAGCAGTATTATCTCTTTCACTTCTTTCTTTTTAAAAAATAAATCTCTTAACCTACAGTTGTTATACATGTTAAAGAGCTGATAAATATGTCATGAGTCTGATCTAAATGATCTAATGCTTATTTGTGAATCTTATTGCATTAACAGGCAAAAGAAAGAATATGCAGATTGGTCCAAAGTGGTGTCGATAGTGGCGCAAGATTGGTGCTTGATGGAAGAGACATTGTGGTAGGTTTCCTTGTTCTTTATTCTTATAGTCTGGTTGTATTCAGTTACTATTAGTACCTATCTTTGAGGTGACATTCGTACCCATGGATACGAGAATATATTGTTTTTCATATTCTACTGTAAGTCTTAACGCAGTGCAGATGCCCGAGGAAAAAAGAATGGATATCTAAAATCAAATTGTTAGATTAGAAAAAGTTTACTGTAAACTCTTTCTGTTACTGTTATTGATTTTATAGATGGAGACAAAATGCAAGAGGAAATTATTAATCTGTACTTCAATTTTTGGTGAAAATCGAAATATTGTTGTAGAGATTTTAAGTTTCTAGGTACCTACTTGGATAGTTGGTGTTTGAATAAAGTTTTACTTTGGCTTTCATTCTTTGGGGCTAAAATGTATCGGTAATTATGTCTATCAGGTTCCTGGTTACGAACAAGGAAACTTTGTTGGTCCCACCGTCTTGTCTGACGTCACTCCTGATATGGAATGTTATAAGGTACTGTAGTTTCTAAGATGATCTTTTTCTTCTGCCACAATTTCCATGCCCTCAACCACCCAAGAGTGAAAAGAATTAAAAGAGAATAAAAGGAATCTGTTCCTCATCTGAAGTTTGAACTGCTCTCCTTCTCTGTACTTAACTAACACCAATGTTATGTTCTGCAGGAGGAGATATTTGGCCCTGTTCTCATTTGCATGCAGGTCTGTTATCATCGAGTGTTTGTCACCATCTCTATTTCTTTTATGTTGTCTGTGCCCATTCAATGTCGTTTTGCTTTCGCAGGCTGACAGCTTGGACGAGGCAATAAGCATTGTTAACAAAAACAAGTAAATTCTTCATCTGTCCTCGAACTAACCAAGTTACCAGTAGCCAATTCATGGATGTGAACTAATCATTGTCCTATCCTGCAGATATGGTAATGGTGCTGCGATATTTACTACATCTGGTGCTGCTGCAAGGAAATTTCAGACTGAGATTGAGGCCGGCCAGGTCAGAAGAAATACAGTTATAGCACTATTATTCTAGAGTCAGGAGAAAGGATTTTTAAGAATGGCTTTAAATCCTAGCATCATTTAGGGTTGTTTTGTTCGCTGATAATTCCTTAGAATGGGTTAAGCCCTTTGAGGTAAAAATTGTGGCACTCTGAAGACGTTTCTTGCTTAATAATTAACTATTCTTTTGGTTACCTGGTTTAGGTTGGCATCAATGTACCCATCCCAGTTCCGTTACCCTTCTTCTCATTCACTGGATCCAAGGCATCGTTTGCAGGAGATCTCAATTTTTATGGTAAGTGAAGAAATTGTTTTGAGCTGGAATGATGTTACATGTTTTTGACCTTGCCCATGTTAGTGGTTTTTCGGTGGTTTTTCTGACGTTATTTTCTTTGAACGGCGATATGCAGGCAAGGCCGGGGTTCAATTTTACACACAGATCAAGACCGTGACTCAACAATGGAAAGACTTGCCCAGTGGTATATCTCTGGCAATGCCAACTTCACAGAAGTCATGAAATACATTATGAAACGAACTTTGCTTTGTGATATTTGACTTTTGAACCGATCTTCAATAAAAGGATCGCCTTTTCGGTCTCTGTTTGGCTTTTTTTGGCTTCTGTGGCTTAACATAGTGGTCGTGGGACAAGTAAGAGGTCATTGAATCTGGTTAGTTGCAAGTTGCAATTTGTAGAGAACTACAGCGTACGTACACGGTAGAGGTTAGAAATAATAATAACTAAAAAAGAAGAAAAAACTTCTGGTTCAGTTTCTCAGAAATGTTTCAACACTACAAGGTAACAATGCCTTAAAAAAATAAGCATCATTATAAGGTATAACAAAAACATACTAGAAGATTGTCACTTAACTTGAAAACTTAAGAAAGACAATAGAAACAGTAGTTAGCAACAGACTAAAGATGGATGATTATTCCATTTCCGTCTAACAAATATGCTGTTTTATTCGTGCTTCTCTGTTGTAACTGGAACTGGGAAAAATGTGGAGACATACACAATGAGTAACAAACGTACGGCTTGTTCAAGGATAACTGAAAGACAAACAAGCAACAGTTGGAGGAATAAAGAAGTTATTCCCATGAAAGAAATTCAAAATTATATCCAAGCTGGAGCCCAACATATATAGTACTAATTGATCGAGCCATGAAGATGATGATGATGATGATGATGCTATGATGTGGAGACGTAGGAATTTTGGAAGAAACGAACACGTAAATATGTAGTGCAATATTTGACAAAATTGCACTGTGGTTGGGATCGATCAATTTAGAAATGAAAGAATTTATGTATTTTTTCCGTCTCAGAATCTAAACTTCACAATCATTTTAGAAACGTACGCGATGAATAAATTAATGTCATTGGCTACAAAAACAGGCAGGCGAGGCAAGGAGTACGTGATGGATGAATGGGGAGAATTTGATCAGGTAGTGAGGGCAAAGTATGGACTTAGATTCGGAGAAAATTATGAGTATTATCTTTTTCATTAATCATCTCGAAGATATTAGTATATAATATTAACCATCCTATTCATCTTTGTCTGTTGGCTCAGGGTCTAGAACGTACCATCCGATTAATCAAAATATAATTAATCAAATCCCACCCCCCCAGTCCTCATTACTCTTCTTACCTGTATGGTACGTCATCACCATGCTCTCACATATTCGAATCCAGAGAACGAAGGAGAAAGTTCATAGATTTGATGAATGTTTTAAACTACTTATATATTCGTCATTTCGTCCTAGAAAAAAGAATCAAGAAATGATATTTAAATTTTCATGTTATTTTCAATGGACGGAATATTATTACAGGTAAATTATGATTTATTGTTTTTCAACGAATAAATTGTTTGGAAGCACAACAGAGTAGAGTATCAACTACATATTCTTAATTAAATTCAACCACAAAAGATTAGTCTGAACATACTAAAAACCCTTTACTTTTTGCAGTTGAAAACTCTAGAAAGACAGATTGACCAACCAAAACTAGCTAGGTCAAAGGGAAGTTGAATATGTTGCTTTATAAAAGTCCAAATCCACAGCTTATAGCTTGATTAATGAGTCTTTGACATTCCCCCCATTAGGTTTGGTTTTCAAAGATTCAAATTACAGGGTGTTGTTATTTGTTTTAATTTTGACTATTTCTTGTCATAATTAAGTATTAATTAATTTAAAAGCGGTATTATAACGAATCCTTGCCCTCAAAGAAAACACGTCCTGGAGAAAAGACTAAAGACTTCTTCAAATTTGCTTCCTCATATCAACTTTCCTTCATTCCACACTACATTGTGATCCTCTCTGGCAAAGAACCATGGGATTACGCCTGAAGTCACCCTAATATACTAGCCAGTGTTTCTTTATTTATCCTTAAATTAACTTTGCTGGTCAACGGTTATGTAAATTATACTACTTCCGTCCTAAAAAAAAAAGTCCACATTGAATTTTTAAATTTACATTAAAAATAATACAAAAATCAAAAATCAAAGTGAACTGTTTTTTTGGGACAGAGGTAGTATTTTTTAAGAAACAAGCTTTGGTTGGGCATAGAGGTCACATGAAATGCAGATGTTCGTGATGTGACCTAAATTTTCAATTAACTTTAGTTCTCATTCATTCTAAAATAATTATACTATTTCAATATAGCGGACATGATAATTAGATTAGTAAAACCTTCATTAATTGATGTAAGCGATATTCTTAATTTCTCATCATACAGTTGGAAAATTGACTGCAGGCCTACTATAACGAAATCAGACGGCATATATATATATATATATATATATGCATTTTTGTTACCGGAATTGTATAACGTATTAAAATTAATATAAAATATTTAGCACAAAAAAACAAAACCCTAACAAATGATTATTTTGGAAAGTAAGGGAGATTTCTGCGATGAGAAAACTCGTTTAAGCGAACCATTAACCAATTATTTAACCAAAAGATTGCAATTTTATTATACTCCCTCTGTCTCATAATTATTGTCCAATTTTACTAAAATGAAAGATTTTATTTTTGGTCAAACTTAACTATATTTTACCTTAAACAACCGGATATACCCCTACATAAGTAATTGTTTAACCATTAAGATTTTATGGATAATGTTTTTTACTAAGGACAAATGTGTAACTTGATCCATAAAAAGTCAAATTGGACAATAATTTTGAAATAAAATTTTTTGGGCAAAGTGGATAATAATTATGGGACGGAGAGAGTACTACTTTGAAGAGTTACCGAAGATAAGATTTGTTTACTTAATTTGACAAAACGATGATAATGATCATGATCGGTGGAAAGTTGGCTGGTTGGTACTTGCCTACTTGGTAATAAGCTATAAAGGTTTCTGAGAAAAGCACTCATAACTAATGTTGAACGAATTCCGAACGTCTTAATTTCTAGTTTCAGCATCAGATTTGTAAAACGCCTTCTCCTTCTTCTTCTTCTTCTTCTTTTTGTTCAATTTATGATTACGCAATAAACCTACTAGTAGTAGCAATTAACTAATCGATGATAACAATTACTCTTAATTACTATTATATATATATCGGAAAGGACGTAGTAATATGCATGTCGCGTGCCGTCCGTTGGTTGATAGTTCAATTTCAACTAGTTAGACAGCGACATCAAAAGTTTAAGGAGGATTGACTTTTACAATAAACTTTTTTCTTACTTGTAAACAGTATGGAAATAATGGGACACAAAATGAATAAAAAGTAACTTTTTTTAGGATTGTTTTATTCTTTTTTCATATTGTTAATCATTGGTGGTCCATTTTAATAACTTCCTTTAAAAAAAACAGTAAAAGAAAATGTACATTGTAAAAATTAATGAACGGTTACATTATTTAGATATTTATGTTTTAAAATCGTAATTGAAACACGACGTAATCAGTATTGCCTATGCATGACTACAAAGTACTTTGAAATTATTTGTCTGTCCTATATATGCTCGTCAATGTGTTAAGTACATAGACGTCTTTTGGGTGGAACAATAATTCACTTGATAATGTAAACAAACCGATTGCAACATCTGCTCTAATTATTTGAACAATTGGTACATTATCGGAATACGTGCATGTTATTCAAAAATATTTTCGCCTACGCAATTCTGGACCTCCTACGAAATTTGGTCGCCACAAAAAAAGGAATCATGCTTATTTTACGGTTTTAACTTTTAATTTAACAAACAAGATTGTTTTTTTTTTTCCAATGCAAAAACAGAATACTGTAAGTGAAACAACTTTTACTGCTTAAGGCAAGGCGCGTGAATAAATCAATAATCTTTTGCTTGTGATACTCAAGTAGTCATATCTAGATATATATATATTTTGCTTCAAATTTGCGTACAATATGATATGTTTTTCTTATAAATAAAGGGTGAAGAATATCTCAGATTCTTTCCCCCCATAAGTTTACCTCACGGCGTCCATAAGTTTAAATATGCATCTCTTAAAATTATATACATTTCTATAGAAATATTAGTCCGTTAATGCAATTCTTATATGGTGTTGTATACAGCACATTATTACTTCCATTAATTAATTGCAGATAGAACAAACAGTATTAAACACCGGAAACTATCTCTGATTGCATCCACTTAATTGATTGCTTTCTAATATTGAATATCTTATATATAGTTTCTAACTTTCTAAATGATCTTTAGATAGAGTAATTAGAATTTTCTAATCATAATAATCAATTTGATATATTTTCATGCATGAAACAAGGTTCTCGGCATATGTTTGCGATAACGCATTTATAGTTTTAATGTACTAAATCGATACGTATAATGTACTTCTTCCGTCCCATAAAAATAGTCCATTTTGATAAAAAATTTTGTCTCAAAAAAATAGTTCAGTTTCAAGAAAGTCAAAATCAAAAAAGATAAAATGACTTAACGGTCCTTTTTGATAAGTAAATTTAATCCACCCAATTTTCAGTAGTTCCATCGTCAATCTTCTCCCCCAAAAAAAAGGAAAGAAAAGAGTTTCATTGGTGATGTTGTCGGCCATCGACGGTGATGAATCTTAATGCCAAAATTTTACGGTGATAGCATTGGAAGATGTCAAGTCACTGACGAAGAAAGATCTGAGATGAAATCCAATCGAAAATGAAAAGAGGAACGTTCATCGATGATAACAAAGCAGTGGCGGGCATCAGCGGCTGACGGCAACGGCTAAAAAAAAAATGAAAAGTAGTGGCGGCGACCACCGTCAATGGTGTTGGTGTGGTTGTTAGAGATGTAGCTCGATCCGAATTACGGCTGACGGAGTTCTTTCGTCATTGTGGTAATTCGAATTTACGGTGTCCCATCTTTTTCAGCTGGAAGTTTCCCGGAGACATTAAAGGCATAGATTCAACCTTGCTTTGCGGTAGCGGACCTCTTCTGAAAAACAGTAGGGTTTGCTTTTTATTTTTTCTTTAGAAAAAAGGAAAAAAAATAGTGTTGGCTTAGTGATGTTAAATTAATTTTTAATCAGAGATAAAGATCGAAGTTTAAAGGATTAAATGAGTTGTACCTTGCTTAAGTTAACTAAATTAAAAAAATTGTATATTTTGAAATTGGACTTTTTTTTGGGACGGAAGGAGTATATTTTATACTATTTATCTTATATATGGAATTGATACGTATCAAAATCTTTTATATAATCGTATTTGAAGTTTGAAATACATGGGATTGATAGTATAAAACTCTTATTATTTTATATCATATATAAAACACGCATAACTTTGTGATGAGTTTCTTTCAAGGGCAATCCTTTTGTGATTAATAAATACTAACAACAGTATTTACCAAAAAGAAAAAAAAAACACTAATAGGACTATGTTGGTTTTACTTACGTGAAAAACATCATTTTTTTGGGTGCTAAATTTAAGGCAACAATCTTGTTTGTAAATTATTGGGCAAGTTTTAAGTCTTTGCAATTCTAGATTCCATTATGACACACAGCAACAAATCAAAACGACGGTCCCGACCTCAACTACTTGTAGATCCCACCCGGATTCATGATTTGTCTATCCTCCATCTGTTTGTCGGACCCCTCTGACCGGGCCGGCGGCAAAACGGGTTGAACCAAATGTTTGATGCCGCAATCAATGGGCTAAGGTGGGCACGTGACCCATGTTTTCGATAGAATCTCACGTGATTACTTCCACGCATTTGCAGTGTCACCTTCTAATCTATGAAGCTAGCTGTAATTTATAATTAAATTTTTATGAATTGAACGATGCAAATCTTGGCCCCCTTTTTATTGTAAGGGGCCTTTCCAAAAAAAGAAAAAAGAAAAAGAAAGAACATTAATGTCGATTTGAATCACATTTTTAGTATGAGTTTTTCACCTTAGAAATGTAGAAAGGAGTAAACAAGTGGAAGGAAAAAATTCAACTTATGCTGTCAGTTCGGCCTTCATGAGTTATAGTTTGTCATTGCCCTAATAATTGCTATATTTTATTTTTAAACTTGTAAAACTACAATTGATCACATTAGTAATAGAAGAATTGACTATAAAAGAATATATATATATATATATGTTTAATAAATCATGCATCTAATTTGCATGCTTTTATCAAATTCTTAACTATGTTGTTAGTATTTTTTGCCCCTCCATCCATTCGTCATGATTTGCATGATGACTGGATTACTGGACACAAGTTTCCTCTTCATGCATGTGGATATTATGAATCGAACACCCCCAAAAAAAAAAAAAGTTCAAACGGACAAAAACTAAACATGATTAATAATTTATTTCACCGACTAGCTAACTTGAATGCGCTCTTCGTCACAATCTGCAAGTCGTAGTAATATATACTCTCTGGACGGAAGCTACTTCCTTCAGTCTTAGAACTCAAAGAATATTTTAACTGATAAATTTTGTGTAATAGTACTTTTCTTTCCAAAAACAATTCATATTGCTATTAAAAAATAAAAAATAAAAACTAAAGAGAGTATCATGCAAAACCATAGTAATGCTTTAACAGATAAAAAATAACGTGAACTTATCTAATAGTATAAAGATGCGTTACATTATAAGTTAAACTGAGAAAATGAATCATGAAGTCATATAGAAATACATATTCCATTTTTTGTAAAAATATAAGAGTTTTATTATAGTAATTTCGTATATTGTGTGTGTGATAAAAAAACGAGGGGATCGATTAGCGAGAGCAGCAAATCAAGATAAACTTGGACAAAAATAAAATAAAAAATTAGTAATATTCGATGTCAAACATGATGGACAAAAAGTTTTTGAGGGCATTAATTGACCGATCGAATCTCGCGGAAGCCGTACAAATTGAAATCCAAATCGACCCAATACCCCGAATAAATGCTGAATTGGAATCTCAACATATCTCCATATCAACAGGACACCATTTTGGCCACCAGATTTTCCTCGGTCCCCTTTCCCTTTTTTCTGTATGTTTGTTTGATTTATTGAATTGAAGTTAATTTAATTCTTTCTCTCACCTTTTTTTTAGCTTTCAATCTTTTAGACTTAATCAAGCATTCCATCAATAGTTTTTGAACACGACTACCAAATTTATTACTCCCTCCAACGAAGACCCAAAAAGTCAAGCAAAATTTTTTTTTCAAAAACAAAAAAAAAAAAAGAAAAAGAAAAGCAAGGACCAAGAACAACAACACTCCCCCAAAAAGATTATATCCATCCTCATGTCCAGGTTCAATGAATCTTATGGAGATTTTGAAATAACTCCCACGCATAGTTTTCTTAAGAAAATATTTACGCGCCGGAATTGGAAATAATTGTCTCAATTAATTAAAATTCATGTTAAATAAGTTTGAAGAGATCCTTTTGAAAAACCATTATATTATATTTTTAAAATGAAGTATTTTTTTTTTGAAACAGAATATGTCATTTTAAAATTTATTACCCTAAAATGTAACTCGAGATTCATGTGTTGAGATATCAATTATTTATTATTGATCACTCAATCTTAGACTCCGTCTTCTTTAACTTCCATATTAGTTTTCCTCAAGGGACAATGATACTACTTTGTGAGCAAATATTATGCATTTTGTGTTGATTCTTAGTAGAAGATACAGTATGTACTAGTAGTGGGATCTTTTTGGATGTTTTTCTTTTACAATCTCATTCATTTATCTTTCTATCCAGAAAAAATTATTTTCACATTAAATTTTCAAATTTCGTATATAATTTTTTTTTTATATTGCACATGATGTCTTAAATATATTGCACTTAGACTATTTTATACCGAATCGGGTCGATTTCCTTTCAGAAGGAAAACTCTTCCAACATTGCTCCTTCTAATCACGAGACTCGAACTCGAGACCTCGTTTAAAAATTTTGTATTATTTTTTAGGTAGAGGTAGTACATATATACTCACATTGCTGTTAATGAACTTTTATCATCCATACGAGTAATATAAAACATTTCATCCAAAAACGAATGTATTTATAAGCTTTTATAGATAATGTACAATAGTTCCTCACATGCACATTTTTGCCTATTTTGTACACTAAAAAAAAAAAGGGATATACTACAAATTTAGCTGGTTATTACGGGGAAAAAAGAAGAAAAGAAATGACAACAAAGTAAACAAATCCTAAGGAGAAAATGGTAAAATTAGATAGATCACATTGAACCAGACCGGTTTAGTAGGCTCCATTAATTTTTATAAATACCTCGCATTCTGCGATCTCCTTTTTACATTTTTTCATACTCTGTTTTTATTTATACATAACAAACAGAAAAGACAGAGTTCCCTCGATCTCCCCCTTTCCCCCCAATCTTTCTCTCTCAATAATCCTTCTTCTCAACTCCACAGAGAGAGAAAGAGAATAATCAATTTATTTGGGAAAATGGGTGGGAAAAGATTTGCAGTTCTATTGTGCGCTGAAGACTCAGAGTACGTGAAGAAGATGTACGGGGGATATTTCGGAGTGTTTGTGAGAATGCTTGGAGAAGAAGGGGAAACGTGGGATATGTATCGGGTCGCAAATGGTGAATTCCCGGACGACGATGAGATCGCCGATTTCGATGGCTTCGTCATCACCGGAAGTTGCAATGATGCTCACGGAAACGATGTTTGGATCTGCAAGCTCATGAATTTGCTCCGGAAATTGGATTCCTTGAAGAAGAAAGTTCTCGGCATCTGTTTCGGTCACCAGGTAATCAACAAAAATGTTTCAAATTAAAAGTTTTGGGGGAAAAAAAAACACGCACACACACAGTGAAACACGAGAAATGAACCTGCAAAACAGAATATTGTTGGACTTCTTCTTTAGAATTGTTATGCGGTTACTTTGAAGGTCATACTGATGTGATCAGAATTCCGAAATTGCTCCTATTTCGTCACAAACTGTCCAAATTCTATTTTTTTTTTTAATAATTTTTGGCTTTCAAAAAATTTGCATTGTTTTTGACAGCTATTGATTAGTTCTGTTTCGGTCATTTTCTGTCTTCTTACTTTTGAGTTAAATTTTGGATGGTTGAGTTTCCGAGTCCTTGAAAAGGCGATTAGAAGTACTGATTAAGACGCAAAATGCGTGTAAAATCATCTGATTAGTTGTTCTCTTCTGATTAATTTTCTTTAAAAAAATTTTAAAAGAAAATCTGATGAAAAAGATATTAAATTGAGATTAGTGAGTTTTGATTAGGTGACGTGCATTTTGCTTATGGGGAACAAAGACCCAGTCCCCTCGTTCTGCACGGTTGAATTTTGCGCCAGTTTGGACAGCTTAATTTACTACTTGTGTTTGATCTGTCTGCACCGCCGTGTCACACGTCAGATTTGTTGGTATTTTTTAATCATCGTTGTTACAATTATATAATAGTATTCCCAAAGTTGACATTTTTTTTAAGGTCCTGTTTTCAATTCGGTCAGAATCTGGTACCAAATGAAACCACTTCCACATAAGTCCAAATGACTAAGGAAATTTAAAGCTTAAAGGTGAAATGACAAAGGTGAAATTAAGTATGTACAGTTTGATAAAAATCCCACCTTTTTCCTCCCGGATTTCGGGTGGACTACTTAGTATTAGAACCTTTTAAGAAGCATTTGGATATCTTTTATTGGAGAAATTAGGCAGCTTTCCTAATTAGCGTCTATATGATTGATTATTGAAGCCTTAAATCTCAACAAACTTTCTAGTGCATATTGTGGTTTTTTTAACGTGAGAAAAAGCTAATGAACGTAAATTGATGATAATTTTTTTTTTCTTCAAAAGCCTCAGCCAATTGTGGCCAATCAATTAGAGCCCAAATAGCATCAATCCATAAGATATATGCAGAGAGGGTTCCCTTTCTTTTTTAGTGGTCCTAATCTCTAAATCCAAAGCTAACATATGGTTATTTAAGTGGTCCAAATACATCAAAAACCTGGACCAATCACTAAATTATAGTCACGTTTAGCGTATCTTTTGAAAATGAGGCTACCATGTATATGCTTGTCATGATTCAGCAGAGTACTCTACTTTTGGTCCAGTACTCCAGCCTGGTGTTGCAATCCGAATTTGGAATATAGAACCCTAATCTTTTGAAGCGCGTTTTTATTTATTTTTATTTTTATTTTACTGTACTACTTCCACAAAGAAATGGGAATCTAATTAGATGATAGGAAATGAACATATTGGATGCATGAATCTCATTTGCAAGTAACTCTAATTGAAAAATACGTCTCATTTATAAGGTACCAATTGTGTCGTCTTAGTTACATTATTATAGGGGTCTAAGCATTTTGTTATGCTTCCCACTAACTCATTTGGTATGGACTGATTGATGGAATAAAGTTTGGAATATAATGCACCATAGCACTATGTCAATTCTGCCAGTACTATACTGCTAGTTTTTCTAGTTAGAATTTGGTGCTAGTAATATCGTGGTCACATCCTGGATTTCTGAAACGGGATACTAAAAATGCATTGCCAACTTGATTGATTCTAGAATTGGGTCGTTCATTTGTTCTTGCATGTTTGAAGTCTTTCCAGATTGTACTACTTGACAATTTGTATCACTGCCATCAGAGAATTCGGTTGTTGGGACAATACCAAAGTGAAATTTGTTGTCATCTTCATACGTGGTCCAAATTTCTACAACATTGATCACATTCATCTAGTCATGCTCTTATCTTTTCCCACTTTCGCGAAATAATTTAGGATGATTGTACCCGTTATTCTTACTTTTGAGTAAGAACAAGTTGCCTTCAGTACATACCTGGTCTTGATATTGTGTTCTGCTTATTTATAGCTTGTTTTGCATTTCTGGGATGCAATAATTCATCTCAAAAATGGCAAAAAATGTTAAGGATTGAAATTGAAACGGGTTTTTTTTCAATTATTGAACTAGGTTCTGGGGCGTGCATTGGGGGGCAGAGTTGGCCGAGCTGCAGCTGGTTGGGACATTGGGCTCACTACTGTTCATCTGTCATCATCAAAGCTCTTCACTAATTTGAAAATCCCTACTTCCCTTTCCATCATTGAGTGCCACCGCGATGAGGTTTGTCCAACTAACATCTTGTTGATGTACACTCAACATCATGTCCCATAATAATAGATCGTTATTATTTGGAATTTAGAAATAAGACGATTATTGTGGGATGAAGATAATATACTGATTATAGACTAACAAAAATTGGGTGTGATTCCAGGTATGGGAACTTCCACCTAAGGCAGAAGTATTGGCATGGTCTAGTAGGACAGGGGTAGAGATGTTCAGGTATGGTGATCACATCATGGGAATTCAAGGTCACCCTGAGTACACTAAGGACATTCTTCTGCATTTGATCGACCGCCTTCTTTTGCGCAATTGCATTGAGGTACATTCATCTTATAATAGTAGTTCTATTACCATAAGTTGTAATTACATTTGATTATGTTACACAAGAACAAATGTAACTAACTGAACTGCTTATGATTGTTGTTGTTGTTGTTGCAGGAGACGTTTGCTAATGAAGCAAGGGCGGATATTGAGGCTTCAGAGCCTGACAGAGAGGCTTGGAAGAAACTATGCGTCAACTTTCTCAAGGGAAGACTATGATGATGAAAGGTTATTTGGTGGTAATAATGATAGGGCAAATTTGGGGAAGTTGTAAATAGGATTCCACATTTGTTGGGATTTTTCGGTTAGAGAGAATTTTAATATGGCATCAGGAAGGGAAAAAAAAAATGGTTGAAATGCCATTAGGCACTTTTTTTTTTTTTTTTTTAACCGTTTAGTAACAATGTAGAAGACAATAACTAGACATCATTAGATGTCATTATTTATGAGAACAGCCTAGTTCATTCTTATATCTGAGTTGTTTTCTTTTATTAATTTGCTAAGTAATCGATTCAACAGAATTGTCTTCTACCAAACTAACAAAATGATAAAGTTTCATCTGAATTGGATTATTTGGAGTACCATCTATATTTTCTACAAGCTACACATATAAAGTAAAAATATTTTATCTTCAAACTGGTGTGACAACAACATAATAAATAGCTTCTAAATTACTCCATCTAGTTTTAATCTGTACTACCTGATAATAAGGTAGAGAATAAATAACAAAGTTAATTTGGTGACGTGCTTCTCTTTCAATACAGGCCAAATAATCTATGGACTATGGCTGACTTTTTCTGATGAAGGCCCAATATCTCCATCGACCTTTGTTGATCTCGGCTCCTCATTGTTTTCTTTTTTTTCTTTTCTCATTCTTTTGGAGTTTATTTTATTTATTTTTTTGGAAAATTTTGGAGTTTATATTAATGTTGTTGACACAATGCCTAAAAAAACCCAAAAATATTGGTAGATAATTCACAAAACAAATACGTTCTTGGAATTATTTGAAAACACAAAACCACAAAACTATGTTTGGATGGGATAAAGGTCAGCAAATATGAAGTATTGTATATGGCTTACTAATTTATAACTTGATTCTGAAAATTAATAATAAGCTGAAATGAAAATGAGAACGAAAAACTAATCACTGGAGGGAATTATTACCCTTTTTTTTATTAATAATGAAAATGAGAAATCACACAGAAAGAGGGTAATCACTAAGCTGAAACCTCTTTCATTCTGGAAGTACACAGTAGTTTCTTACAAATTGCCCAACAAAGTACATAAGTAATTAATAAGTCGGACACCCAGAATTCACTGCAATTCATCATCTTTTTGTGGGGGCAATTAAATTATTTTGTGAGGAATAGCTTGTACCAAAGGGCTGACATCTTTGGGGTCCTTTTTAGATTATTTTTGTAGTCAACAAAATTGATACCCATCCTCATAGCCAACCCTGATCCCCATTCGAACGTGTCCATAAATGTCCAAGCAAAAAATCCTCTTACATCAACTCCTTTGCTGCAACATTTGTAAGAGAAAAAAAAATGGTTCAAAATATGATGATCATTATGAGGTTATCTTTACAACTTCAATGTAACTTCCATTTTGAGTGGAAGTTGTGTACTCTGTATGCAACCGAAGTTGTGTACCTTTTTGTAGAAAGTAAATGTAGTTTGTCAAAATTTATACTCTCTCCGTCCCATAATTATTGTCCACTTTGAGTTTTTATTTTTAGTTCAAATTGTACGAAAAGTGAAGACTCAAACTGGATAATAATTTTGGGACAGTGGGAGTAATTCTTATTGTAAACCCAAAAAGTTGTATTGATGTGTTGTTCTTTGGTAGAAATTCTAAAAAAAATAAAACTCTTACTCAATGGCTGCCTTCAAAGCCCTGAAATGGCTACGGTAGAAATTCGTTCTTTCTACATCTTTCACTCCTTGCTCAACGGTGTCAATATTGACTTCAGCATATCCTGAATATATACTTATATTATGTTAACAAAATTGAGGCAAATTGAGGTACAAATCGTAAAAGAAAATATGCTCTCCATTACCCCAAAAATGTATTAGTAGTGAGTACAACAACCAGTTTAACTCAATTGCTTACCATTTTCAGTTATGTAGATAGTTGGACTCTGGTACTTTCCCTTTATGTAGACCAAAAGCTCGGTGAGACCTCTCGGATAAACATACAAAATTCCTGCCCCGGTCTACAAATTCATATATATGAAACAATTATTAGCATGAAAAATTAAAGTTGAGAATATCACTATATTCTAATTAAAATCTGTAGTATGGAAAGAGTCAAACTTACTGGAGCCCCAATTGGTCTTCCATTCTTGATCTCTGGTCAACAACAACCAAATTAAACATATATATAGGTCATGATTCATGAGGCAAATTTGATTACCATAATTAATTAACTTAACTAATGTAGTTATGGGCAATCTTCTATGGTTGACACGATAGTCAGTCGTATCTTATACTTGTTTCTCGTAGGTCAAACATTCGAATCTCGTGAAAAGCGAAAAAAAAAGGGAGGTAGCTTACGGGTGTTATTAACACCAGTGTCTGAAGTCCAACTGATATTCAAAGAATTTGAAGGGGGAAGAGCAGCAGCCCAATTGGCAGTATAGTAATTAAGTCCCAGGAAATCCAATGATCCTTTCACTAAGGATGTTTCTTCAGCAGTGAAAGTCGGTAAGCGGCTTCCAACATTTTGACGCATACTTTTTGGATAGTCACCATACACTAATGGGTCTAAAAACCTGTCACAAAAACCATCACATCACATAACCCAATTATAAGAGTTTTTTTTCTTTTTCCCCTTTTAAACAAAGATCCAACAAATTAATCTCTCGAGTATATGAAATTAACACCAATTATGTCTCATTAGTAAAACGATATAACTTTTTTTTTATTATTATTATATATAAGAATATTGATGAGCACAAAATTAACTTTTGGAACTTAACTAACCATCCCAGAAAGAAATCGATGCTTCGCACGGCTGCTTCAGCGTCTGCTTTGCTGTTGGGATCATAAGGGATAACCCAATTTGTGACCAGCACTATCCCTACCTGCCCATTTTGTGATGCCTACCGAAAAAATTAAAAAATGATAACAATTTATTAAATGGGCCATTCTTGCTAACTGTAACGAAATTCATCATGATATAAAAAATCCACAAAATATTAATTAGTAGTACACACTCGTACACATTACTTACCTGTCTAGATCTGTATTAAAAATAAAAATCTAACTAGACAATCGTTTCATACATTTTAAATGCAGATTAAATTTTAACCTCTACTACAACCGTGGGTGATTAACTAAACAACACAAATCTAATCGCAAAAGTTAGCATCTACCTTTGAACAGTAAATCATGCGATACAATAATTTCAACATGATTGATACTAAAGAAATTGAGATAGAATAATAGCTAAGTCGTTTAGCTCATTTTAACTAGAACCTTAATACCTTGTACTTGTCCTTGTATAATTTAGCAGCTGCTGCATGAGAAAGGAGGATGTGATGGGCAACAATGTAGGGTTCAGTGGAAGAATCTCCAGCAGGGCATTTGTTCAACCATGCAGAACACCTTCCTGGAGCTATGGTTCCTATGGCTGTGGTGGAATCATACCCACCAGTAGAAAATGACCATGGCTCATTGAATGTTGACCAAAACTTGACTCTATCACCAAATTCTTTGAAACAAAGCTCTGCAAAATCTCGAAAATCATCCCTGCATATATATATATATGCCCATCACATTAATTAATTCTTCCTCCAAAATGTGATTCATCAATTATTTTTACAATTTTATTGTTAAATGAAATGCATTCTGTCCTAAAAGAAGAATTTTTTGTAATAATTTAGAGATGTAAAGAGTGATAATTTGTGGGTTTGTTTTGTTGGAAACATGCGTAACCAATTGATCACTTACACTATATTTGTACTACGAAAGCCTCCATATTCATCCTCCAGAGCTTGAGGAGTGTCCCAATGATGTAATGTGACAAAAGGTATTATCCCTGATTTGTCATCATAAAAATAAATAGTAACAAAATCAATATTTGTATCCAGCGAGCTAGGTCACATATATATTAATTAAACGAGAAAAATATACAAGGGTTTTTGGGATAATATTCTTCATTACTGATCGCGACCCCACTTATCAAAAAAGAAAACAAAATTAATTATCATAAGGAACTTGGATTAAATCAAGATATATTGAAGAAGTCTGACCCTTTGAGAGTAGCTCATTGATGAGGTTGTTGTAGAAAGCGATTCCTAGCGGGTTCACTCCTTTGCTTAGCTTTCCTTCTGCACATTTTAACGTGGAAGTGGTAACTAATCATGGTAGGTGCAAGTATAATATTGAAGTATCCCTGAAAAATCTTTTTAATCAAACAATAAATATCGTGTTTTCGGCAACTTGTTAATTATATATTATTATTTCCAAGAAATAGACAACTATCATATTATAATGTTGTGGAAAAGAAATAGAACATTAATTGTAAGTGAAATTCAAGTCTCTAGCTCCTTGTTTTGTTTGTTTGCATGCTTCAGTAACGTATGAATGTTTTAATATTTTACACATTTCAAAATGTCATGTTAATTTGTTTAGTTTGATTATTTTTAGTTCAACAAATTCATACACCAAAGAATAATAATTTCAAAAGGTCTTATATATCGTACGAGGCAATACTCTAGCCCACGAAATGGAAAACCGGAAGCCATTCAGTCCAATGTATTCCATCAATTTTACATCATCCTGCATGTCAGATATCAACAAGAATTTTTGGAAAGTTAATTACGAATATTGCAAAGTAATTTAACAAAAAAGAAAAAAGAAAAAGAGGGAGTTTAAAACGGATGTTTAATTAATATTCAACTTTCATGTGTATAAAAATAAGTTAATCTAAAAAATAACTGCTAATGAAATCAAACCTTGTAACGATGGTAGAAGTCGTCAGCTACATCTCCAGTGGAATGATCTACTATCTTATCTGCAGCGATTGCGAAATTAATGTTTTATCATTTTTTCCATACGAAGAACCTAACAAATATATATGGATCTATTTCTTTTGTCCCAGAATTGTTTTCTTATCAATTATATCGTCATTTTGACATGCGTTTTAATTACCAGGATTATTGTGGACAAAAGTATCACATATGCTTGGTCCCTTCCCATCTTCAAATGCTGCTCCTTCATACTGCCGTAACATAGATTAATGATAATCTTGTCATTAACAATAAGATAACTTTGTAAGGAAAAAAAAAAAAAACATGGATGCATATGTACGCACTACATATTTTGGAGACATAGTGCAACTAAATATGTTTATAAGGAAGTCTATATTGAGAAAGTTATACTACTTCCGGCCCAAAAAAATAATTCACATTGAGTTTTCAAATTTATACTAGAAACAGTACAAGACTCATAACTCAATATGGATTATTTTTGTAAGATGGAGGGAATATATAATAGTGTACGAAAATTGGGAGATCGTATGAAGTACCTGATAGGCAGAAGAAGCTGCTCCAAAGATGAATTTAGGGGGGAAACTTGATTTGCCAAAAGAAGATACATTTTGACTTGGTGCTTGTGCAGCTCCAAGGTGACTCAATAACAAAAGATTGAATGAGATAAGGAGGCCATAAAATGCACATACTTGAAGTGCCATGGCTCTCAATTTTTTGGTGTTTCTCCTCGATAGGGTTCATGCTTTAAATAGAAGATCGTCAGGCCCCGGTAAGAAATTAATTAAGCCATAAAGACAAGAAATAAAAGGAAAGAAAAAAAAAAGATAATGCTTTAAAATAATCCAGATTTGAAATAATGTGACCCCAAGGGTCATGTAGTAATTAATCATGAAATGACTTATGCTCTCTTTTTTTTTTCTTTTTTTTTTTTTCAGAACCAGGGAATACGAATTTTGGCTCGTAGAGTGGTATATATAGTTAGTCAAATTAATTAAAACCACCTAACATATAATAATATATATGACACTGACTCTTAGATAACTCATAATACACGTGAACATGATTAATTACAGAAGACCAGACGAATATGCGCTAAACTTATTTAGCGAGCGAGATGCCCTAGTTCTTGTTATAATAGAAGGGTGAGTCTAAAATTGATCTACCAATTATTATGAATCATGTTAAACATATGGATCAGCAGTTATCACTTGTTCTTCTTTTCTTTTTTTTTTTTTTTTTTACAAATGCACCGTACTTTTTATTTCTCTGTCTTCCATAGTCATGAATTCTTTATACAAACAAAGCAACGTAATTAGGGTTGGGGAAAAGAAAAACTAATTTTGGAACACTTGATTGCGTGACAAATACTGTATTGAAGTATTTGATACTTTAACGATCTTATAATTCAAACAATTGGCTCCAAAAAATATGATGAAGATCTCGAGGGACCTTGAAGTAATAATGTTGCTGTCCTCTACAATTAGTGTATAGGATAAGATCATGTAATGTGAGTTTTAGCAAAGTCATGATCTCCCCGATTATAACTCTAGAGTAATACTCTAAGAATGTTTGTCTTTATTTTTTCTGCTAATGAGCAATACCATTTTCTCTCGCTACATATGAGAATTAAAATCGTGATTTTTTGTTTTTTACTAACACCTAAATTAAATGTCCAAACACGGAACGGAATAAGGTTCGATCGCGTTGCTTTGCTACTGATCAGCAAAGTTTATGACATGCATTTTCAGTTTCGATGATAATTAAATTACTCTCTCTATTCTAAAATTATTGTCCAGTTTGAAATTTTGCTTTCACTATAATTTGAACTAAAAATAAAAACCTAAAGTAGACAATAATTATGGGACGGAGGGAGTACATACGATATAAAAAGTTTGCCAAGGAAACCAAGCACATTGTGCCCTTGTTTTAAAGTTTCTCTTGAAGCATTGGCATTTTCCTCCCATTTGATTTTTGAAACGCTGGCTGGCTGGCTGGATTGGACTGTGATTGGTATATCTCCGTCGTGATGCATACACTTATATTTATTACATTTTTGAGAGTTTATATTCCAGATTTTACTTCTTCTTTTTTCTAATAGTTTTTCTCCAATAAAAAAAAATAGAAAAAGAAATTATACTATAAGTGGAAATTATTGACAAAAAATATCTACGAAGCCAACTATTATTGACTAGCAGTTCAGCCGGGCCCAAAAATGAAGAGTGTTAAATATAACTAGTGAAATCCTTTAAACTTATCAGTTATCCCTATTTGTCGTAGTATCTTCCAAACTTTGGTTTGGGGGTGGAATTATATTATGGACCATATTTGCAATGTGGTCCTTTGTAGATTGTGTATCACATATGGTCATGAAGTGTGTGATTGTCTTACTGTCTTATATTGATTTTCTAACTCATCATTTCTTTCCTTATCTTTTTCTTTGATTCTCTTTTTCTTTTTTTTGTTTCAAAATTTAGTAATTAGCTTCCATTGTCTGCTGCTTAAACTGAATCATCCTCTCTCCACAATGAAACAACATTATACAGTCATCGGAGACTCCTGAAATTTTTTTTTCCTTATATGAACTTAAACTTATATAAGCATGAATATGTGTTATCAATATAAAAAAAAAAAATTAGTAATAGAATGAACTTAAATTTATACATATACGCATGAATATGTAATATAAGCATGAAAAAAAAATCATGAACAAAGTATGGATATTTTTGCCTAAATATCTGAACTTTAAAATATCAATTTAAAGTTTGGTGTCAAATTAAGAATGCAGGAAAATGGGAAATTTGTTTGCATATGTTTCCCAATAGAATTCAAATTGACAAGGGTATTGCTAATCGCATGTTAATTTTACTTTAAAAATACTAAAATATTCTTGAATCCTAAACCCTCCTCTTTCCATTTTTCTTTCTTTCCGCCACTTTCTTTTCAATAAACGTTTAGGCATCATAGTTTTTCAACTTCCTAACCATGCAAATCAAGGGAAATTAAAGTGATACATAATAACTGATTGCATTCTTTAACTAGTCAAAATAAAAATATGCAAATAGTACTCGGTGTTGTTAGTATCAGAAATTTTAAAACAAACCACGGAAAACTTCTTTTTAATAAATGTAGTCACAAATTGCATCTTTAAGCTAGAATTGAAAGCTAGAATCCCAAAATAAACATCAAGAGTTCTTGCAAATTGTTATAACTGTATTCATAAAAAAAAAGAAGCTACCATTACCACTCTATTGGTATTGCAAGGGTTTAGGGTTGTAAAGCACACGCATCAACATATACTAGTACTATACCAATACAATTACCAAGCAGCAATGGGTAGCGATTACTGTTGGTGGAGACACGCGATCATCCTTTTTTTTTTCTTAAGAAAAAAATCGCCTAAAAAATTATATGTTGGGACGTCGACGCCTGATTTTTCGTCTGTTTCTTGTACTTTTTGATCTTTTGCGTCTTTGCCGTTGTAATATATTAATAATCGATGAATTTTTTGACTGTATGTTGAAAGACTTTAAGGAAAGTGATAAAAAGAGAATAAATGGCATAAAGAAGTGAAGCATAAAGATGTTTAGAATTCAGGTTTATTTTTAACCTTTTCAACAAGTTGCGCAAAATGAAATCAAATTGCATTTAGCAACCTACATTAACGATGTAGGAAAAAGAAGAAAAAAAAAACTTGACATATGAGAGATAATTATTGAAATTTGTCCTAGTGACTACTAGCATGTCATTCTAGATTGCTAGGCTAGATGTGAAGGGATCGAACCACCACTCCTTCCTTTCCCCTTCCCCATAGTAGGTACATATTATACTTCTTAAATTTCAAAATATAAGTTGTTTTAAATTTGGAAGAATATTATAAAATATTATAAAATATAAGTCATTTTAGGAATTCAAAGAAAATTAATTGTTAAATATTCAAGTTTAACCTCAGTAAATGATGCCAACTATTATTCATTTAATTTTGTTTATAATTTCAATATATTTGACACACAAATTAATTGTAGAATAATTTTCTTCTTAATTTACGTACAAAATTCAAAATGACTTATATTAGAAACCGAGGAAGTACTTTATTGTGGAAATCTCACCTCACTTTGTGTGAGGCAATACATATAACATAGTGTGAAAAGAAAAAAAAAAGGACATATGGAAGGTATTCTTACGTCTCCGAACTCCCAAATAGGGAAATTACATAAGAAGAAAATGAAGAAATTCCTTCCCACACATGATTTTGCTCAATAATTCAAGCCCATTAGTTCAGAAGGAATCGCTTAAACCAGAGGGCAGACATCTTTGGGGTCCTTTTAAGGTCATTTTTGTAGTCAACGAAATTGATACCCATCCTCATGGCTAACCCTGATCCCCATTCGAATGTGTCCATGAATGACCATGCGAAAAATCCTTTCACATCCACTCCTTTGCTGCAATATTGTAAGAAAAAAAATTTGATCAAACATCTTAGCTAATTTGATTCCTCTAATGTCTTTACAGATATAATTCATAGTTTAAAAAACTCTGATTCCTACCATCTCATTTAATCTGTTTTCACGCCAGATCATTATATGTGATTTATATATAGTTAATGCATGTATGTATAATTAGTTTAATTGTGCAATTTGAATTGGCACCAAGTAAAATTCTTTTTCAAAACATAACTCCTATTTTAACTACTGGAACTTGTATTATATGCAAGAATAATTTCGTTTTTTTTTATGGGAATTTAATTAGAAAAATATGACTCACTCAATGGCTGCCTTCAAGGCCCTGAAGTGGCTCTGGTAGAAGTTCATTCTTTCCACGTCTTTCGTGCCTTGCTCAACAGTGTCAATGTTGACTTCAGCATAACCTGATCAATATATGTATATGCATAATTAGATCATCAAATAGACCCAAATTGAGTCAAATTAAATACGCAAAAATTGTACCATAAATCAAACAGTATATGTTCTACTTAGCCCCCCCCCCCAAAAAAAATAATAATAATAAAAAATTTTACAAGATTCCAATTGATTTGTGTTCCTCACCATTTTCAGTTACGTAGATGGTTGGGCTCTTGTACTTATGTTTTATGTACACCAATAGCTCTGTGAGTCCTCTCGGGTAAACATACAGAATACCTGCTCCCGTCTACCAAATCAAAGCAGTCATTCGAAACTATTAGAAACAATTTAATTAAAAGTATCATTACTGTTTTTTTTTTTTATTACAGATTCTTTTAGCCTTTGCTATGAACGAATTTGGTCAAACTTACTGGAGCCCCAATAGGCTTCCCATTCTTGATCTCTGTCAAAGCAAAACACAACAAGTCACTAACGTTCTTGTTTTTTTAGTTACAAAGTCAATATTTTTATTTTGTGACGAAGAAAGTATAATAATGGAAAAAATGTGGGGGGATACTTACGTATGTTATTAATACGAACATCCGTCGTGTAACTGATATTGGGAGTGTTTGAAGGTGGAATATCATCAGTAGCCCAATTCGAAGTATAGTAATTGAGCCCCAGAAAATCTATTGATCTTTTCACCATTAAAGCTTCTTCAGCAGTAAACTTTGGTAGACGGGTTGCAACCAGTTCACGCATAACTTTCGGATAATCACCAAACAACAAGGGCTCTAAGAACCTGTCTCCAAACACCATAATTACACATAAATAGCTCCCAAGCAATTGTCAAACAAATTAATTCCTCACAAAGAAATAAGAAAAGAAACCGCACCGCAACCGTCACAAACAAAAATGTACAAATAGACATGAGATCATCTGTTACACTTTTAGATATAATCTTGAAATGATATTTTATGTTGTTTTACGTGTAAAATTAGTGACGTTACTAACCATCCCAAGAAGAAATCCATGCCTCGGATGGCAGCAGCAGCATCTGCTGGGCTGTTGGGATCATAGGGCATCATCCAATTCGTGACGAGCACGATCCCTAACTGTCCTTTTTGTAATGTCTACCCAAAAAAAAAAGTACCAAGAGACAATGTTCATTAATTATATTTGATTTGATCCTGAAAAATTAATTACATGATACTTTAGATTTTTACCTTATACTTGTCATTGTACAATTTAGCAGTTGCTGCATGAGAAAGGAGGATGTGATGAGCAACAAGATAGGGTTCAGTAGAAGAATCTCCAGCGGGGCATTTGTTCAGCCATGAAGAACACCTTCCAGGACCGATGGTGCCTATGGCCGTGGTAGAATCGTAGCCACCAGTTGAATATGACCAGGGCTCGTTGAATGTTGACCAATACTTCACTCTATCACCAAACTCTTTGAAGCAAAGCTCTGCGTAATCTCGAAAATCATTCCTGACCAAAAAAAAATTAAAAACCAGTTCAACATGTGTTATTTTGAAACCAATAATGAAAGAGGGTTTAATGGGTTGAAACTCTGAGAATAACACATTTCACCACTTACACAATATCTTTACTAAGGAAGCCTCCATATTCATCTTCCAGAGCTTGTGGAGTATCCCAGTGGTGTAATGTGACAAAAGGTGTTATTCCTAAATTATCACAAAAATTATATTATGTACTCCATCCGTCCTAAAATTATTATCCAGATTGGATTTTCACTTTTAATATAGACAATGATTTTGAGATGGAGGAAATATGTAAAACTCGCACTTTATATATGTGAAAAAAAACAGTATATAAGGATTTTAAGACCCTTTGAAAGGAGCTCATTGATGAGGTTATTGTAGAAATATTGAAAAAAACAAATTATACTATGTATGTGCGTAGCAGTCGTATTTTATGGTATGTTCTATCCCATTTTGATAATTTACTCTTTACAGTATTAAAATGTGAGAAGTAGAGTATATAAAGATTTTCAACGAGTTTAACCCTTTGAAAGGAGTTCATTGATGAGATTATTGTAGAAAGCGATTCCGAGCTTGTTCACTCCTTTGCTTAGCTTGCCTCCTGCACATTTGCAACATTTAAAATGGTAATTAATAGCGGTATAAGATTAATTAATATTGGATGACTAAATGTTGTTCATTTTCATTAAACACTTGACATTTCATATGCAATGAAAATAGAACTCCAAGAATAATAGAAAGAAGCTAAATCTCCAAATTAGAATTATACATGCATGCATGCAGAGAACAAATCTTGAGAGAGCACAATCCCAAGTTGCAACATAAAAACTTAAGGATTTATTTTTGTTTAAGTTACTTATTAAGTGGTCTATACCAATAAATCTTACGGATTTATTCTTATCTATTGACGCTATTTTGTTCTTTGTTCTTTTTCTTTCTTTTCTTGGTGAAGTTTTTTGTTGTTTGTTATGTTAGTTTGCATGTGCGTAAGTATTGAGTACTAATAATGTACAGTGTAGACGACTAAATAGTAGTACCAGGTAATACTCTTGACCATGAGATGGAAAATCGGAAGCCGCTCAAGCCAATGTAGTCCATTAATTGTACATCTTCCTGCATTTCGAAATTCCCACTTGATTGAGGATTTTCCAACTTTCAAAGAATGCGTATTTGGTTTTTGTCTCCCTAAAAGAAACTACTCAGTTTGAATCGAGGCTGGTGAATAGTAAATTTAGTCTAACCTTGTAACGATGGTAGAAGTCGTCGGCCACATCTCCAGTACTGTGGTCTACAATCTTATCTACATCAAGAGAAAAATGTTTATAAATCATATTGTCTTGTAATCATTTTTTCTTTTTGTTGGTATAATATATTGTCTAATTGTCATCTAGGTTATCTATAAAACCATTAACGTCCAAAGGTGGATTGGCGTGGAGTTACCGGGATTATTGTGGGTAAATGTGTCACATGTACTCGGTCCCTTCCCATCTTCAGATGCTGCTCCTTCGTACTGCCATCAAAAAAGAACCATGATCTTGTCATGAGTAACTCTACATTAATTAGGCCAAATCCAAAGCTAAGTCTTGTCATCGACTAAACCCTAAATGTACGTACCCTTTCATTAAACTAACTAATGCAACATTTAAAGGCAAATTATTTATCTGTGCTGTTCGATTTAACGATAATTATTGGATTTCAATCGTTACACTAGTAGGATAATCCGTGCATTTATGTACACATAACTCTTAATTTATTGAGAAATTAAGCTATGAAAATTATGAGGGAGAAAATAAAAGATTGGGAGGGTACAAAATTCACCTGATAGGCAGAAGACGCAGCTCCAAAAATAAAATTAAGGGGGAAACTAGTTTTGTTGAAGGGAGCAGATACATTTCGACTTGGTGCTTGTGCAGCTCCAAGATGACTCAAGAACAAGAGAATGAATGAGATTAGGAGGCCATAAAATGCGCACACTTGAAATCCCATGGCTCTCATTTTTTGTTTTAGGTGTTTCTCCTCAATGCATGGCTCCTGCTTTAAATAGAGAGCACGAGGCTAAGAGTTAGAGGGCAACACCCCTTACATAGTTAGTTAAGGCATAAAGGAAAAAGAAACAATAATCAAGCATGTATATGTCTAAGAAAATAAATAAAAATTAATAATCATGCATGTGCAATTTACCTTGGCAGATTGGCTCGACGTCATGCATCATTAGAAAGGCCAAACATATGATGTATTAATCATAGAAAAATGAAAAGAGATTCAAGTTAATTTAAAATATGATTTAATTATTCTATCTAGAGGTCTCAAGATTATGTTACATCAAGGAAATGAGAAGGGATTTTTTTAAAAACGTGATTATTTATTTTTAATTTTAAGTGTTTAAGTTATGGTGGAATATGTAAGAGAAAATCGTCATTTTATTCCCCCCTTGAACTTAACTTATTCCTTAGTTTTCAATTCGAGATTATACATCAACTTTTTTTTTTAAAAAAAAAAAGAGGATTAATAGTGATTCCCCACTTTTCTCCGATATGACTTAAATCCGTGACTTATTGGTCAAAGATGAGGCGTCTTACCACTAGACTGCACCTTGTTGTCGAAATTATACATCAACTTATTTCCATGACGCAAGAAGAAACGAAAAATAAAACCATCTTTTTGACGCAAGAAATTTTTAGAGAAAAGAAAATTAGAAAAAAATTCGAATGAGACAAACTGATCAAAGTATTTGACGAACAGTGTTTTTTATAGTCCATATTTTTTGAAATATATATGCTTATCTCTATGGTTAAGAGGCATTTACGTAATATTGTGTGACTAACCTTAGGAATATGATGACCATCTTCTGGACGGCTAGACCTTTCAATTCAATGCTTCTCGAAAATTTTTCATGAAAGTTTTAATAATAAAATAAATTTCTCTGTGAAAAAAATTATTCACGTTAACTTTTAAAATTTATACAATTTTTAATACAAGTTTAAAAACCTAATGTGATTTTTTTAAAAACATAAGTAAGATTAAAATGGGCTGATAGAGCAATAAATTTAACACATCGCATCAAGTTAATGTGTAAGCATATGCAGTTCTTCCCCTTGAAATAACATCACATTCCCTAAAACAATTAATCTCAGAATCTCATTTCCCCTATGGGGTTTTATATTCTTGCGTAGTGCTAGTTTAATCCTCGATCTCCTCAAGACCTTTTGCCGCTGCACATATGATTGATTTGAAAGATGCCAAAATCCTGAAACTAAACTTAACAATCCTATCCATATTAACATGTCCACGCACATCTATATCTTGATTACTAGAAGATTAAAGATTTAACTTCTAGTAATCATTATAAGAGTTTAAGTTTTATCTAAGGAATTGAATAATAGCCTAGTGGATAGATTGTTGTCTTTCCTGATAATAGATCAGGATTCGATTCACGCCAGTAATTGTAAGGGAAATTTTACCCACATTTAAGTGGGTCCACTGAAGTGGATTTTTTTTTGGAAAAAAAAATTTTCTATCTGTTCATCATCAAATGATTAAATAAATTATTTTTGAAACTACTAAGCAAGTTGGTCCATAAAATGCGAACCGATCATTTTGAAAATTTGTTTTAACTAGACATTTTAATGTAGCACTATAACGTATTACTCTCTTTGTTAAAAAAAATTCCACCTTGATCAATATTTTTTTAGGCCAGAGATAGTAACCCAAATATATCAGATATATAAATATATATATATATATATATATATATATATATTAGAAAATGATATATTTAGTGAAAACAAATAGTGAAAAAGAAGAGTGACTGATGCGGCATAGACTAACTCCTATTTTTTCGGTTTTTTCCTGTTAAAAGTTTTATTCTTTTTAAAAAATTACATTTATGCCTCTGATACATCAGTTATGTACTACAAGTTTTCACTATTTTTTTTCACTCTCTCTATCATTGTTGATATATATTTAATCTAACTCACGATCAATTGAATCACGGGGTGTTACAAGTTTGGCATTTCTCGTATTCATTTCATAAGCGATGAGTTGATTCGACACATTGACAGGAACTTCTAGGTCGTGATACATACCACCTTCTCAATTATGTATGTGGTACTTTCATTCCAAACAAAAATACAAAGCGAAAATAATATAAAAAAGGAAAGATATTCCTGGAGGAAAAAAAAATCTCTGTCATCCGTAGCACACTATTAATGATTGACCCATTAGAGTTTGGGTTAAACCGGGCCCAAATTTGAAGACGGCTGTGTGCCTCTGAATTATGGAACCCAGTGCCTAACCCGATAAATCGTTTTCTGTTCAGAGCTAATGAGAAAGGGTATTTTTGAAACAATAATCAAGCCAGAGAGGGAAGACGAATGTTTAGCTGTGGTTTTACCAATCTTTACCAAAAATATGTACTCCTTCCGACCTTTTTTTTTTTTTTGATGATTTACTATATTTTCATATTTACTTGGTTCAACATAATAAATGATTAAAATGAGACATAAAGGTATTTCATCTGTCCTGCAAAAATAATTCACGCATAGATTATAATGTGAATTATTTTTGTAAGATAGATAGAATCATGAAATAATACTTGGGACAGATGAAATATAAAATCTACTTCTTTGATTCGTATTTGGTACGTAATTGACTACTCATCAAATCTGTAATGTAATTGTTAGGAAAATTTATCTTTGAAAAGGGTTAACCATGGTTGATTGTGGATTATTTTAGTAAAAAGTCCTGATTTTGAACACCTCATTGGTCATTGTATTCGGAAAGGTTTGGAAAAAAAATTAAAAGGACCCCCAGACGTTAGTTTTTTTTTTTTTTTCTTCTTCATATATCAAAGTCATTTTTGAACGCTAACTTAATAATCTTTTAAAATATTTTACATCATCATGCTTACGACAAAAAATATATATTTCGAAGTGATTCTCATGTATCATTTCATGTATAAAAAAAAAAAAAAAGATTAAATTTTACACTTGCGTCAAACAACAGTAATAATCATCAGTATAGTCAATTTGGTAGTCACTCTATAATTCGATCTCAAAATTATCATCTTTCTGGAAATCAAATATCGGATTCCGAAATACGAATGATTGTTAACTTCCAAATTCACCTAGCTCGAACCTGTCGGCAGCAGAGAATACATGTAATTAATGATGATGGAGATGGATCTATATAACATACCCGGCCAACTCAACCACCGTGTATGATTCATTTTCTATTTTGATCTTTTGTTGGAAGGTGCTTGCCACAGTTTTTGTCGCTCGGCCTCAATGATTAATGCCTTAATAATATTCTCTCTATTCCGAAATTATTGGTCAATAATTTCAGAACTTATGGATAATAAATTTTTCTGCAGTGTTTCGGATCGGTGAGATTACCTACTGCAATTGTCCATGGAAACTTGATATCGGATCCGGAATTAAGCAAACTCCAACATCTTTCGATGATGGGTTGGATTTGGAATGTGCAAAGACAGCCATATGCATTGAGCCTATATTTTGGCAAAGTTTGTTCCTGTACTCGGAAAAAAGTAGAAATAAAAGAGAGATAGTTTCATGCACTTAAAAAAAAAAAAAAAGAGAGTGGAGCTTAGAGCCCCATACTCATATCAAAAAATGTCCACAGCCGCACTGGTTGTAGAAATTTAAAGTAAAACCAAAAATTTTATTCAGATTTAAAGTGGTTTGATGAAGTTTTCTCTCTCATTTAACGCGAATGTTTAAGTATCAACTATGTTTCATTTGTTTTCTCTGTTTTAGTTAAATTTTGCACGTTATTTAGCAGGCATCCTTCGACGTTATTATTAATACAAAATTTAAAAATACAAGAGTGCTTAAGACTTGTTCAAAATGAAAAAATATATATATATATATATATATATTATGCAAAATTTTCTCGAAACATCTCCGGGCAGTTCCACTATAAAATCAATACTCCCTCCGGTCCTTATTATAAGGCATTTTGATTTTGTATTAGGTTTCATCTAAAATATCTTTTTAATTGAAATAAATCTTAAAAATATTTCATAATAATTAGGAGAATACAATGAATGTGAAAATATATTTTTAAATTTTTTTTCCAATTAAAAAAACATCCTAGGTTAAACCTAGGACGCAATCAAAATGCGTTATAATAAGGACCGGAGGGAGTATTAACAATTTAAAACCTAAATATTACAATAAACCCCAAATGTTAACAACCAAAAAAAAAAAAAACAAACCATAAAGTGCAATTTTTATTACATATGCCCGGTAAATAATACATCTATTTAACCTCAAATATGACATAGATTGTTCTTCAAGGACCAATAGTCCTATTATATGAGTCGGCTGTGGATTTCTTTCCTTAAAATCAGAGGTTTGTCTAGCTAATGCAAGTTTGGATAAAGCGTCCACAGTTTAATTAACCTCTCTGTATACATGTATAATGATATTTTAACATTGCCTTGATTTCCTCTAAAGCTGTTACTCTTTTCCAAGGATAAGAATTTTTACTATCAAGCATATCAATTAAGACCTTATTATCCGATTTTATCTATACATTCCGTAATGAAAAGCTCTGCGCAGAATTGTTTTGAGCCCACAATCAACTTATTCTTCAAAATTGCTTGTTTAGCCTATGGGTTTACAAGTTTCTGAATTAAGATTATCTTAATCTCCTCTAATGACGTATCCAATTCTAATTTCTCCTGGATTTCATAGTGATAATCAATCTGAGTTTAAAGTATAGAAGATTGGGAGGGTTTGCTAATATGCATGACTTCTAGCTGGTTCCCTTCTGACCTTCGAATGTATACTTGAAACGAAACTTCAATTCATGAACTCGTAAAAGACTAACTATTTGTTGATAATTCAATTGAAATCTCCCTCATATAAGATTCTATTTCGTGTTCAATCATGTTTCATTAATAAATTGTCATACTTTTGTTAAGATTATACGATGTATTAGATGTAGATATATTAGGAACAGTTTAAGAATGAGGTTCTTCTAATGAGACACGCTTATATAACGTATAAAACAATAAAAATTTTACAAAGAAAAATAAAAAGAAACAATTTTATGTATTCAACTTGTGTATTTTATTTTTAGAATTTATACATTTAAGATTAAAGAGTTAATTTAGATTGTTGACTCATCATTCTTAGTTGATTTTCCTTTTTACTACTCAAAATATAATTAGTGATATGAAATTTTTCCTGTTGAGAAATTTCTTCCCCTATCCCCTACCCAAAGTTTCTCCTTTTTTTGTAATCCGAAATCTCATCCTCTGTTGTTCTACAATACAGCATCCGCAATCCAGAGCTACTTCTTTTCCTCATTTTCGTTATCACAATTCATCTGTGTGATTAATATTGTCCGTATCTTTTTGTGTGTTTAATATTGAATCGTACAAAGAGGATAAAATGTATGAGTTAGGTGCACTAGAAACGTTTGTATTACCTTTTTTTTTTTCATCTCAAAAAATAATTTATAAGATTTAATAAACTATTTTTTTAATACGAAGAAAGTGCATTCCTTATTTTTTAGAAAATAGTCGGAACAATAATTTCAGATATCAGGTGCATAATATACCCAAAAAAAAAGAAAATAGTCTTCTTTGTCAACGGTTTATTTTTTTCTTTCATTTAGTTCTTTAGCATCCACGTATGAATACGAAAGAAATTCACAGTAAAAAGCATATCCACGTTAGCTAGGACGGTACGATACATGCAACCTCACATGCATGCAGCCGCGATTATTGGTCGATCCCTAGCAGAAGAAAAACAGAACTAATAATTATTCGCAATGTTTTCACTGCATGATCAGGTTAGACTCATCAATTTAAGTTGTCGGTTTTTCTATTATTATTTTGTGGAATTTAACGTTATTTGTCTTTGTTGAGAATATAACATTATCCCACATGAATAGATGAAAATTTTTGAAATCAATATATAACCATATGTGCTACTTTCAAATATCATCAACTGATTTTAAAGTAGAACCACATGTGGGTTTATATTTGGGCCTTCAAGATGGTATTCGTGGACCTGTGTGACTTCGGGGACTGGCTTTTACTGATCCGGCAGTTATATTCAGGTTTTGATTTACTTGCCCGTTTGGGCCTTTTACTTTCACTTATCCAAATCTGGACCTTCTATTTCTACTTCTTGTATTTATTCAGTTATATCTGGGCCTTTACTGATCCGGCAATTTATCCGGTTTGTCTAACCCCTTCAGGCTTGAAAGGGACTGTTGAGAATATAACTTGTCCCACATGGATAGATGGAGATTCTTAAAACTAATATATAACCAAATGTGCTACTGTCATTATCACCAATTACTTTTAAGGTAGAACCACATGTCGGTCTATATTTGGGCATTGTGTGACTTGAGGGACTTGTTTTTACTGACCCGACAGTTATATCCGGAGTCTGATTTACTTGCTCGTTTGGGCCTTATACCTCTACTTACCCAAATCTGGGTCTTCTATTTCTACTTCTTCTACTTACCCAGTTATATCTGGGCCTTTACACTTCTACTTATCCAAATCTGGGCCTTCTATTTCTACTTCTTCTACTTACCCAGTTATATCTGGGCCTTTACTGATCCGGCAGTTTATCCGGTTCACCCAACTCCTTCAAGCTTGAGAGGGAGTGTTGAGAATATAACTGGTCACACAAGAATAAATGGAGACTCTTGAAACCAATATATATAACCATATTGCTATTCACATTATCACTAATTCATTTTAAGGCAGAACCACATGTGAGTCTATATTGGCCTTCAAGAGTCTTTCTATAAAAATATACTTATTTGGTTATCTTCTTCTTTTTTAATTAAAAAAAAAGAAGAAGGAGAAGTTAGTCTTCTATCTCGTTACTTGAATCATAGCAAGGTCAAATGTTGTAGAATTCAGTGAAACACAACTTAGATTAACGTATGTGGCAACATATATGAAACTGGCTTAGCCGTATACAAAAATTGGAGTTTGCTTTAACACATTTCACTAGAGCCAAACAACGACTATATATATTGTTTATGTATCTTAATCACGTTTCGACACCTTATGAAAGATCATACGATTAATAGGTAGAAATTTTATGACCTGAAACCTTCAACTAACATAATCATTATTGGACTCCTACAGACATGTTTTGCTTTTATACAACTCATTTTCTACACAACAACTATCGGATGGCATCAAAGAGTTTTCGATGTATGCCAACCACTTCCCCTCCATCAAAATATAATGGTCTCCAAGTTTTTTTTTCCGAATATATTCATAACCGATTTGAGATCTGATCATTATAGAGGTGAAGCATTATTTCTCTTTTTTTTTCTTTTTTTTTCTTTTTTGATAGAAGAAGCATTATGTGTCTTTGATGACGATGATCCTTCTTACAAAAGTTACGCTACTATGCATATATACTATATATCTTTGTGGGCTATTTTTAGGTCTTTCAAAAAATTAAGCATCCCAAAATCATTTAAAATAATATTTTCATTTGATAACCATAACTTTTTACGAGAAAGTATGTATTATGTCACCAAGGGAAGTTACATCGTCCCTCCAACCATTACCAAGCTCTGAAAGAATCGAATGTACCGGAATTTTATTGCACAAGTGAACATAATTAACAAACATACGCAATATAAATTATTGCACTCTTTTATGGAAACGCATCAAACTCTTCATTACAAAAATAACATACGTAGTACGCAAATTCGTCGAACGAGGTTCAACGTTACATTACATCTATATAGTAGTACCACTTCACAATAGCCTGACTTGATTAATTAAGTGCTGAGAAATTTCTGGTAAGCCAGAGCTGAAAGTTTGAGGGATCTCTTGAGATCATTTGGGTAGTCTATATAGACAAGACCAAATCGCAATGTGAATCCTGAATTCCACTCAAACGTATCCAAAAATGTCCATGCATAGAAGCCCTTCACTTTGACCCCATGTCTACAAAAATATTTCAAAACTATAAATATATAAATAAAAATCCAACTAATTAAAGTTCTAAGTGTGCTCCAGACTAATAGTTTCACATTGTAGTTTGTGAGTTATATTAAATTCGTGAATTGTACTGTTATTATTTCTCATCCACTTAAGAAGTGCAACTTCTAACAAAAAAGATAATAAAATGAAATGATCGATTAACTTACTCGATTGATTTTTTGAGATACTTGAAATGCTGTCCAAAGAAATCAACTCTTTTGAAATCCAGCACCCCAACTTGAACACTATCGATGCCAGTTTCAGCATATCCTGTATCATGTCAATGCAACCGTCTGGTAAAATCTTCTATTTTCCCTTTTTATTTAATTAATTAAAGAAAAAAAAAAGTAATTATTTTTACCATTCTCCATGATGTAGACGAGTGGGTTATTATATTTGTTTTTGGTATAGAGGAGAACATCAAGAAGACCGTTCGGATACACATAGAATACGGTGTTGTTTCCTTCCTGTATAGGGTCGTATAGAAATTAGATTAAGGTCCAACAAAGAAAATTCAAAAGAGGATAAGTAATGTTTGATTGATGAATGGAGAAAAAAAAATTAAAAAGAAGCATATAAATATCAGAAATTCGTACCGGTTCACCAATAGGTTTCCCATATTTGACGGCTGTAGCAAATAATTGAGAGATTGTTATAGAAGATTAAATTTGTAAAAGTTGCAGTCTTGCATATTCATATACATCCAAATAGGATTATTATGCATTTCCTACAAAGTGTAACTAAACTGGCTTATGCATTTTTCTTTCGGCTAACATCATTTTAAAATCATTTCACTGTATAAGTTAATTCGATTATCATATATTTCATCATCTCGAAATTATTGTATAGTTTCGATTTATATATTAGGAGAGCTTACCAGTTGAGAGAACCTGGTTGTCTGTAGTATAACTAATGTTGTTTCCAACATTGTAAATGGTATTGGCCGCATAATTTGCACTGTAGTAATTGATTCCGATGAAATCATAGGAGCCTTTCACCAGTTTTGATTCCTTTGCGGTGAACTTCGGTAACCTATTTCCCACAAGCCGTTTCATGCTTTCTGGATAGTCCCCGAAAACCAATGGGTTTGCAAACCTAACAATTTATATACAAAAGAATGAATACTTACATTTATGCCAAAATAAATATATATAACTTCCTCCGTCCGAAATGTTTGTATTAAAATTAAGAATCTAAATTAGATAATTATTTTGAGACATATGAAATGTGTTTGTCATTCTACGTACTCACCATCCATACATAAAGTCTAATGCTCGTTGAGCTGCATCAATATCGGCTTTCCTCTTGGAGAAGGGCACATACCATGTTACAACCAGCACTATTCCGATCTTACCTTTTTGTTTTGCCTATACATATAGTCGTGAGCTTACAAATTAAATTGGATCAAGAGATAGGGAACATATATTTTTGAAAACTGGACTGTTAAAGTGAAACGAAAAAAAAAAAACGAAATCCATATATAACGTTAGTTTGTACATTTGTACTAAAAACAGTACAAATCATAAATTTTGTAATGTGAATAAGTATTCTGAAATGATTATTACCTTATATTTGTTCCAATAGAGATTAACTACAGCAGCATGAGCAGTGAGAAGGTTGTGGGCAACAATGTAAGGTTCAGTTCCAGAGTCGCCGGCGGGACAATGGTTGTTTCTCCAGGCAGAACATCGTCCCGGAGCTAAATCTCCAGCGTCGTAACCCAGATAGGTAAATATGTAAGGCTCGTTGATTGTTGCCCAAAACTTTACTCTATCCCCGAATTCTTTGAAACAAATATCCGCAAAATCTAGAAAATCCTTCCTGCATGTTTCACCACGTTGGTAAAACCCAATATACTCGTATATTCAAGTATAAAGTATAATTAATTGCCTTTCTTTTATTAATTTATTATTAATTATATATGCTTTGCAGGGTATTAAGACTTACGTAATATTTTCAGAGCTTAAAAAGCCATTGTATTCGTCTTCTAGATGCTGAGGGAGATCCCAATGGAATAGAGTCACTGACGGCTCAATACCTAATATAATGCACATTGATTAATCAAGTCCAATTGTTGGGGAACCATACAATTAACAAAATTTAAATGCCACCGATCGAGACTGTTTCTTGCTTCTTTTTTTTTTTAATAAAAAATTTTTTGTCATTTATTCCATCATTCGGACCGTTTTTCAGAAGCTCGTTAATGACGTTGTTGTAGAAGTCGATGCCTTTTTGGTTCACGCCATCTCTTAGCTTCCCGGCTGCCATTGATCATTTTAACGTGATTAATTATTTATCATGGTGAATCCATACATCATCATAAGAAAATTGAAAATTAATTTGGGGAAAAAAAATTTACTTGGTATAATTCGTGGCCATGAGATGGATAATCGGAAGCTATTCAAACCAACAGTTTTCATTAGTTTTATGTCGCCCTGCATTTAACGAATGCATATCAAGAAAAACAAGTACTTGTAATTAGATAATGATACTATATACATTTTCCTTGTTCTAAAATGATAATCTTAATTAATTATTACAGTAAGAATATTGAAGATATGCAAATATATCTCATACCTTGTAACGATGATAAAAGTCCTCAACCACATCCCCGTTAGACTGATCAGGTATTTTATCTGTGATATAGTATAAAAGTCATAATTAATTAACAATAGTCAATTAGGTGTATTGTGATTTTAATATAAAACAAAATGCGCGAAGAAATATAGTAAATGATTATTGAATCTCAAGATATAGGGAAAAGGAAAAGAACTTGGATAAGTATGTGTATAATTATCCCATATGCTTTGTCCTTTTCCATCTGTAAATGGTGCTCCTTCATACTGTAATAACATTTCAAAAAGAAAAACAGTCAATACACAGAATGAAATATTAGTAGGCGTAATTAAAGTCTTATCATGAAGATGTTATAAAAATGACACACGATAATTATTTTGGGTCTCTCAAAACGACCAAGCAGCGTTACTTCCCGATCAATGCATTTTATTTTTTTAAAAGGTTTGAGGGGAGGAGGGAGGCCGGGTAGACTCATACTCTCTCCGTCTCAAAATTATTGTCCAGTTTGAGATTTCATTTTTAATACAATATGAACTAAAAATGAAAACCCAAACTGGACAATAATTATGAGACGGAGGGAGTAATTATTTTTAGATCATAATCTTCAGTTGTTTTCTTTTCTTTAATTTTTTTTCAATAATTAAGTTCCAAGCAATATATATTGCATGATTATCTCGCATGTGTTGCACGAGCCTAAACGTGACCTAATTAGAACAAAAGGTTATTAGACCCAGAAAAACAAATAGATTTCGAAGTTAAATTTTAGCTTTTCTCCCACAATCAAGTATAATACTAAAATGGCGATCAATTAAGACACTAGCTAATATTGTACCAATGTACGTCAATGAAAAGACAGTAATCCTTGGTCCTAATATAAGAATCTTGAAATAGTATAAAAAACAAAAGAAAAGACTTCTATTTTTTTGAACAAAAGAAATATAACTTGAAGGAATTACCTGATAGGCCGACGAGGCTGCACCAAATAGGAAACCAGGTGGAAAATCTGAGCGTTTAAGACCAAAACTCACTATTTTATGAGCTGGCTCTTGTGCTAATGCGAGAGCACAAGCAGCAGATAACATGAGAAATGTAAACAATGCATCCATGATAAGCATCAAAGCCTCCGAATGGCATTTGATAATTGATAGTAATTAATATTATATTACTGTAAGTTCGCTAACCTCTTTTTAGTATATATATTTTTTCCTTCCGATGGCTCTCCTTTTATAGCATGAGGAATGTTTGGGGACTTTACCAAAGGGTTGGCATTGGCTTGGAACTTTAGGGTGTCGGCCGGCCAGTTGGAGAGCTGAAGTTGACAATTCAAGTATCATCAAGATGCTGTTTTTGTTTTTTCCTTGTGGGGTAAAAAAATAGGCCTTTGAGTGCTGATGAAAAATTATTTGAGATTATTAAAGAGTCCCAATCCCACATTGATGTTGGAAGTCTCTGAGTATCAATATATAAGTTCTATGGCTTACTCCCTTCATTGCCAATTGGTTTTTAGGTGGAACTCCATGGACTTCTGTATGTTATCAAAGTCAGCCTGCTGACATTCGGACTCCAAAAAAGCCCAACAAAAAAATAGGACTGAAACGTGAGACGGTGCCTAGACTAAAAAAAAAAATAAGACAAGCCCAACCCAAAAAATACGTTGGGCTTGTGGGGGAATATTAAAGAGTCTCAACCCCACATTAATATTAAAAGTCTCTGAATATTAATATATAAGTTCCATGTTCTACTTCCTTCATTGGCTTCATTGGACCTATAGTATTAATGTTGCCTACTTTGGAGTAATAATTTTTTTCTTTTTCTCTTTACTATGTCAATAATTACAATGTCCAAATCTATGTTTACAATTTTCATTTGTCAACGAGTTGATAAAAATATGGCTACCTGGAACTTGGAAGTTGAGATCAGCATCAGTTCGTATGGAAATAAATATTACTCCCTCTGTCTCAAAATTATTGTTCAGTTTGAATTCTCATTTTTAGTACAATTTGAACTAAAAATGAAAACTCAAACTAGACAATAATTATGGGACGGAGGGAGTAGTACTTTATTCTCAATATAGGCCTGCCAATATTTGTTTTTTGGTTCAATGAATTAGTGAGGCATGACTACTTAAAAACTTTAAATTAACTCATTCGACGAATACAAAAAGTTTTTGAGGCTGTATTAGAACATTTTATTTTATTAGGATGCAAATGTTAATGGGAGGGGAAAAAAATGGTTTTGAAAAATTGTAGAATTTGATGTTATTTGATTAAAAGTTGAGTTTTTGTTAAGTAGTAACTTTTTGCTGGGAATGTTCGTAATCCTATAATTGTCGTTTAATAAAAATTACTTCTCCGTTAGAGTGTGACGGTATGGCGTGTATGGTCGTGGAGATATGCACGAGTTTTCAAGGGATCTGATGGCGGGGTTGCGTGGAGAGTAAGGGACATAGAAAATGTTGTGGAAAATATACATAAATCCACAGTGGAGAATCGAAAGGTGGGGGGCATTTGGAGTGGCTGGGAGACTATATTTGTGCGTTGGCAGCCTCCTCCGTTAAGAGTGTTTGAAAATTAACTCTGATGGTAATTTCAATGGGGAGACGGGGATGGCGAGTGCAAGAGGAGTTGCAAGGGATTGTTATGGTAGATAGTTGGGAGGATATATAATCAATATTAGTTTCTGTATTATTATGTGAGCAGAGTTTTGGGATCTATTTCAAGCATTGACTCTCGCACGGTCGCTTGGTTGGTGTAAAGTGATTGTGGAGGTAGACAATTCGAGTATTATATCACCATGGTTAAAGAACCCAGAGAGGTGTTAGGAGTTAACGCAGGAGTTGTTCATGGAATTCGAGAGTTGCTACAATGTGACTAGGATGTTGAAGTCACTTATGTTTATCGTGAGGCGAACTTTATAGCGGATTATCTGACTTCTCTAACAACACAGGGACCGGGAGGTGTGCAGTTGCTAGTAACTCTACTAACCACGCTGTTAATCTTTAGTTGGAGCATAATCTTATCGGGATTTCTTATCTTCAGAATGTACATGTTTAATTTTAGGCATTTGTCTCTGTGATTGTACCAAAAAAAATAAAAATTACTTCTGATAGCTAGGTTCCAATTTCATAATCATTGTTGTATGTTTTAGCACCACTTTCACGTGTCCTTGAGTCACGCTTCAAATTGTAATGGTAGGGGACCAATTTTCGTTACGTACCATTTATATATATGATGTTTCAATTTTCAAATGCAGAATTTTGTCTATGTGCTCATGCAGATATTTCCAGAGGAAAAAAAATATATCAAAGCAAGGGAGAAAATTAGTTTCGCCTAACTCCAATCAATAAAACGCCGCCTCGCAATGTACTTAATTTTTTTTATTTAGTTAACATAATTATTTACGAAAAAGAAACCATGTATAACGTGAATGGAACTGGTTTTTTTTAGTCTTTAATTCACTCTGTAGGTATATAGGCAGCGCCATAGCTAGATATACGTTGAGTGATTAACTAGCACATAATGCACTGGATTTACGGATCAATTAATTAGGGTTAACAAACTTAAACACGAAAATTCAAACGTTAAACTTAAGAGAGATGAGCCAAAGGGATGGATGACTTCTTTCTCCCAAATCTCCCCTTCAATGTTTTAAATGATGTCTAAATGTAATTACGTGCTATATTAGTCAAATTAATTAGTTTGTTCCGCATTCAACATCGTGTACATATTTTCATCAATGATCTAATCAGTGGAAGTCCTTCTGTACTAAAAATAATTAACAAAGTTACGGGAAGACGATTTTACCAATTGAGCAGTTCAATGCGCGCAGTAACATAATTTGATCAATGTAGGTAGCTTGCTTCAACCCTAAATTAAGGACTATGTATTCGAATGAGATAATTTAAACAATTTTCTTATACATAACTGAAATTTGAAACAGAAAAGGGCTGAGTATTTAAATAATGAGTAGTGATAGATACACCAAAAAAATGATAAGAAAAATTGATAAGGAATGATATGTCAATATATATCTAAACAATGCCCTAACCTTAAATGTATAAATCATGTTTAGAAAGTTTTAACAATGGATGAGTGAGATAATTTTCTTGTGATTTTGTTTACCTTAAATTATATATGGTCCATCGTATATTGTAGTACATATGAATCCAAGCAACAAAAACAAAAGTAGGAAACTACCGCCATTATTAATAATTGTAGTACTAACTAAGTAACCGATATTTAAATTTTCAAACAAATTATTAAAAAAAATCGAATTTTTGTTTAAAAAAATAAAAGGAAAAACAATAAAATAAGAAAGAAAAGAATTTTTTTTCAAAAAAAAAAAAAGTAAATTAAAAAGTCAGGTCGAAAATGTTACGAAAGTTTTTAGGTTTGGTCCATTGTGGTTCTTATATGAATGTTCGCCACCCCCGGCCACCTGATGAGATGATTTATAATTACAACAACAAGTTTCTTATACATTAATTACTGAGATTACAAACAGAAAAGGAGCGAGTATTTATCGTCCTTCAAGTTGTGGTACATTCCAATTCAAGCAACAAATTAAGCAAAAACAGAGAACTAGCCAAGTTGACACCGCCACCATTATTAATATTAGTTCATAAGGTGGAGGTTATAACTGACGCAAACAGCACCAACCCACAAATGATAATTTCACCGGAAACTCCATCAAGTTATTTTCAATGGCCAAAATGCAAAGATAAATTGTAGTAGTAATAATATATAGTGTTCTTCCTTGGAGCCTTCATGAAATGCTTGGGTTTGATCACTTGAGGAATCGCTTGAAATACAGAGCCGAAAGCTTAGGGTACCTCTTCAGTCCATCTTGATAGTCAACGTAATTCAGGCCAAACCGCATCCGGTAACCGGAGCCCCATTCATATGTATCCAGAAATGTCCATGCAAAGAACCCTTTCACATCAACCCCTTTGCTGCAAATCAAATCAATTTTGTACGTAGTATATATACCCATCAAATCTTGGTAATAACTAATTATAGGTACAATATTTCAAATGAAATGGAATCAAGTCAAAGTAAATTTATTGGCTTTATTAGTCTGAATCACGCACATAATATTATACTTTTAGAAAACATTACTAATTACTATCCACGATTCATAATTTGACTTTTCTTTTATATATACAAGAATGGAGTAAATATTTAGTGAAACAATAAGAGAATTTTTGGATGTACTCACTCTAGGGCTTTCTTCAAGGCTTTGAAATGGTCACGGTAGAATTTCACCCTCTTCGTATCACGAATCCCTTGCTTCACATTGTTGATGTCAATTTCACTATACCCTATACGTAAGAGACGTACGTAGGCGACATTTAATTTTATTAAACATTGCGTTAGGAAACAGATGAATTCGTATTAAATAATACAACAAATGAAAATATAGCTTTAATTCAAAAGTTAGTTTCCAGATCCCTAACCATTTTCAGTGATATAAATGGATGGATTTTGGTAGTTCTCCTTCACATAGACAAGAAGGTCCGTAAGCCCTTTTGGGTAAACGTACAGAATGCTGGCGCCAGTCTACCGATAATAACAAATGTATATAACACCAAAAATTAGGCATTAATCAATTAAGAATAATCAACGTAATACACTTTTTTTTTCCATTAAAAAAAAATGCAAGTTTTACTACAAAAGAGAAATATTATCATCAACCATATTTTATTTTATTTTTCTCCTTTCTGTGATTAAAAACTTACCGGAGCCCCAATCGGTTTCCCATTTCGAATCTCTGTAAGAAAATTCACAAACTTTTAGTAACCATGGAGAGATACAATTTCTATTTATTTTTTTGTGATAAATTAAAATCGGTTGACTTACGTGTATTATTGATATGAGTATCCGAGGTCCAGCTCACGTTACCAGTTTTTATATAGGGGATGTCAAAAGCATAATTAGAAGTGTAGTAGTTTATTCCCAAGAAATCCAATGATCCTTTCACTGATTTTGATTGCGATGGGGTGAATTTTGGTAAGCGTTCACCCACAAATTTACGCATTGTTTTTGGGTAGTCACCATATGTCAATGGATCTAAAAACCTGCCCAAAAAACCAGACAGATTCATTAACAAATTGAGCGTTCCCGTCTTTTAAGAATACATTAATTCTTGTGTGTTGTCGCGCGCGATGAGACAAATATCCGTCACCTAAGGACTAAACAATTAGGGTGAATAGTGATACATACCGCGGAATTTTATCAGAAACACTGGTAAAAAATGATGTGGAGCGTATAATTAAATGAGTGATATATAGGAGCTGAAAATGTTACCATCCCAAGAAGAAATCTAAGCCTCTTTGGGCAGCCAGAATATCAGATTCCCTTTTGGGATCAAAAGGCAACATCCAATTGCTAACAAGCACAATCCCTAGCTGTCCCTTTTGATATGGCTGTGTGACCAAACAAAAATTAATCTCTCAAATTAATGAAGTAAGGAATAAATTAATACGATTTGTATGTTTTCAGTAACCTTGTATTTTTGTCTATATAGCTTTGCCGCAGCTGCATGAGCAAGGAGGATATGGTGGGCAACAATGTAAGGTTCGGTTGAAGAGTTTCCGGCGGCGCATTTGTGTAGCCACGGCGAACACCGACCGGGGGCTATGGTGCCGATGGCCGTCGTGGAGTCATAGCCACCGGTTGAAAATGACCATGGCTCGTTGAATGTTGTCCAGTGCTTCACCCTATCACCAAATTCCTTAAAACAAAGCTCCGCAAAATCTCGAAAATCATCACTGCATAAAGACATTAATTAAGTCATACATAATTTTCATCATAATTTTAGTCCAAGGTACTTTATTATTTTATTTTATATACTCTCTCCGGTCCTTAATATAAGGCATTTTGATTCGTCATAGGTTTTACTAGTATGAATTTTTTATTGACGAAAAAATCTTTAAAATATATTTTCACATTCGTTGTATTCTCTTAATTGTTAAGAAATGTTTTCAAGGTTTTTTATCAATTAAAAATAAGTCCTAGATTAAACCTAAGACATAATCAAAATGCCTTATATTAAGGACCGGAGAGAGTATATTTTTTCTCTTGAAGAAAGAGTGACTTACATAATGTGGGAACTAAGAAAGCCAAGATATTCTTCCTCTAGGGCTTGGGGAGTGTCCCAGTGGAAGAGTGTAACCAGGGGTGTTATTCCTGTTGTTCCATTGAAGAAATTGAAGCACTTTAAAACACTATCATCAATAGTATAGATTTTATACACCATAAACAAGTGGAATTAATCCCTCACCATTGGCTAATAATTCGTTGATGAGATTGTTGTAGAAGGCGATTCCGAGCTTGTTCACCCCTTTGCTCACTTTCCCGTCTGGATTATATCGAAAGTTAAAAATCAAACAAAATGGTTGAAAATTGAAATGATACACTAAAAATTTCCTAGCTTAATTATAGCCCTTGATTTTTGTTTTATATTTTTTGGCTTAATTTTTACCGCATTAATTTCTGAACCAGTTTCTAGATATTAAGCCTCATTAGTTTGACCCGTGGACAAATAAGCCTGCATTTGTCTTATATATGCTTATATAGCTATGAGTAATAAATAGGTAGACAAATAGTTAGGGTTTACCAAACACTGTCACTGGAATTGAAATCTTATTCAAAGAGAATGATCTTTGAAGCCTCTTGTGTGTTCTTGGTCATTTTGAGAATGAAAAAACCAAAAAAGTGTTTGTTATGACCCTTAATTCGTTATGAATAACACCATGATTGCATGTTTTTATCTGCTTATGACGATTAACCATCTGTTTGCTTTGTTGGTTCTACAAGAATTTTTTTTTTTTTTTGTTTCTTTTCTTTTGTTTTCTGCATATTTTCAAAGTGTCACCATCAGTAATAATAAAATCAATTAAGTCGGGAAAAATAAAAATGTGAACTAAAGATAGATCGATGAGAAAATAGATCCCTGGTGTTGAAATGGATATATAAATAAGAGAAATGTTTAGTCTTACGTGGTAAAACTCTAGACCAAGATATGGAAAACCTGAAACCGTTGAGCCCTATGAATTTCATTAGCTTCACATCTCCCTGCAAGCAATAATTTTTTTCCATACATGATTACATATGTGATTAACCATAATGCTCTCCAAAGATTAATGATCGATATCCATTAAATGATCAATGGTCAATAAAATAAAATAAAAAATAGACCTTGTAACGATGATAGAAATCGTCAGCAACATCCCCATTGCTGTGATCTAATATGAACTCTGTATCATGATGATTTAAAAAAAAGTTATAATTAATACTAAATAATAATATATGACGAAAAGAGATAGTCAAATACATATATTTATAAATGTCAAACTTAAATGTGGAAATTTATAATCCAAGGGATAGAGACACCTGACCTGGGTGTTGATGTGACCAAACATCCCAAATACTTGGCCCTTTTCCATCTTCGAATGCTGCCCCTTCATACTGTAATATTTAAGAAGAATGGAAAAAGAGTAAAGGTGACAAATTTGTGTGTGACGTGATGAATTCGAATTTTGACATGTGCGTTTCGGAAAAAGAAGAAGAAGAAAGAATGTAAATTAAATGTTATAGAGCATTCACAATGATAGTAAATAATAAGTAAATAATTTTTTTTATTATACTATTTATTATTGTATAAAGTGTAAAAACTTATAACGATGTAAAATTTCTTACAATGTATACACTGTCTCAAGTTAATATATAATTAATGCACCGGTTCAAGATGAGATAATAGTTACTTTATGTTATTATACTTTTATAGTGTAAAAAAAAAAAAAAACAATGTCGAAAAAAATTTAATAGGAATGTAATATCGAAAAAATATGACGATATACTTATAATAGTATAAACCATTGTGGATATTCTAATAGTAATCATCGATCTTGATACTCAGGAACTTTACACGAGAAGTAAATGTTCCATTCGTTTATGAGTTAAAGTTTAACCCACACATGAAGTAATTAACGTATGTGTACCTGATAGGCTGCAGAAGCTGCACCAAAAATGAAGCCAGGAGGGAAACTTGACTTGTTGAATGGCTCTGATATGCTGCTGCTTGGGGTTACATCTTCTGCCCCATAAACTTCACTCAACACTAAGATTTTGGTCAACACTAAAAGCCATAAAGCAGAAGAGGAAAATTGAATTGCCATACTTGCTTAAAATGGTTTAAGTAATTACCAATGATTTGTCTCTTCTTTGTCAAATTTGTTGTGCTTTAAATAGGGTGTGAACTGGTAGCAATGTCCTAATCTAAAATCCATCTGATAGGAACTTTTATGCATTTGTGTACGCCTCAGCTAAAGGCATCATAACTTAAGGTCAACTAAGATCATTTCTAAATCACTGGAGATTATACAGATCAAATATCCAATTCAGGTAACTCGTTTCAATCATCTCTCTCTCTCTCTACATACCTGACGTCTGCTAAAGATTGCAATCAAGTTTAATGGTTGTTTATTCTTAATAAGCGTGATGATTAACGATTCGCTTACACCTTCATGTTGAATTTTGGAAGATACGAAGAAAACTACACTATCATAAAGATGATACTGTCTCCTCAGTCATCATAATAACAGATCATTATTGTCAAATCTCAAAAAATAAAATAGACTACTTCAACTTCCACACTAAAAAATGAGGTGAAATACAAATTGATTCAGTGGAATATCTGAGTCTTCAAGCAGTAGGGCTCAGGTATAGCTCAGTAGTTCCTACTTCCGAAACTAATTGTACTAGTTTTACTTTTTACCAACAGACAACTAAGCAACCGGCGAAACGGTTAAAACATGAATAACTCGGCTAACAAGTTGAACAATATGGCTCCCTGAGTGCCCTGTAAGGGGTACTTGACCAAAAAGACCATCTTCGGACAATAGCCACAAGAACCCTAGGAAAGGTAGTATTTGGTGTAAACAGGGGAACATGTGGAGATATCACAAAAATCAACAAGACAGCAACAATGGACACTCTTAAAGTTAACTGAACTTGCAATGAGAATCATAGTTCCCATGAGCACAATGGGTGACATAAATGACCCACAGCTGCATAAAATGCTAAGTTTCATTGTCGAAAAAGTTAAACGAAGGCAAATGTCAAGTAGAGAAGCTGAAGTTATATTCATTGCAACAGAAAAAACACCTCTTGATTCAAGGTTTTAAAAGTTCCTTTACAAACAGCTATGCCCTTTATCATGTTATGTGAGCAAAAAGTCACTGAGAACAGATTCCTGCGGACTAGCCAACAATCCTGTACACATTGATTTAAGAGTTACGAAGCTACAAAATTTACTATACTGTGTTACTTCTAACTAGGGACAAAATCATGAGAAGCTTCATAATGGACAGAGATTATCACTAAAACAAGCTTTCAGATCACCAATAATCTTTACAGGAACAGCTTCCACCCTCAAAATGATGGAAACGGGATGAATCTCGCACAATTATTCTTCTGTCAGAGATTTTTGAAATGAATTTAATGGCAGAATGGCAGTCCCCACAAATCCTAAGGTTCTTAAAAACTTTTAATGGTTTCCCCGGAGGACTAGCAATAATACCAAATGCAACTGCAAGCTTTTCACTGTGGTAGAAGAGGTTTTGCTCTTTTTGTTCCTCTTCCACATCATGGAGCACAAACTCTGTATTAGGAACATAACCTTCTGCCTTCATTCTCTGTGACATCTCGCCCAAGAAGTCATATATCTCCTTGGATCTCGGATGAGATTGATCTCCAACTAAGAACACGTGGGTTTTCCGATTCATGTCAATCCAACTGATGCCTGGGTTTTTCACCAGTCCTTTCTCATCCATCCTTTTCCTAACATTCGCAACATCAGCCCATCTACCAGCACTAGCATAAATATTAGCAAGAGTAACGTAAGTTGCTGCATTCTCAGGTTCAATCTCAAACAAAGCTTCAGCTGCTCTACTTGCAAGATCTGGGTTCCTATGGATTCTGCAACCACCAAGTAAGGATGCCCAAACAAATTTGTCAGGCTTCATCGGCATATTACTGATAATGTTTTCCGCTTCTGTAAATCTCCCAGCTCGGCTTAGGAGATCAATCACACAAGCATATTGATCAACTGTGTAATCTAATCTGTGTGTGTCTTTTATTGAGCGGAAATACCTAAGCCCTTGGTCAACTAAACCAGCATGAGTGCAAGAAGAGAGAACCCCAACAAAAGTAACATGATCAGGTTTAATACCCGTTTCAAGCAGCAATTCAAATAATCTAAGGGCTTCATGTGGTCGACCATTTTGAGCATAACCATTAATCAATGATGTCCATGAAACTAAATCAGGTCTTGGCAACCAATTGAAAGCCTTATATGCACACTCCATATCACCACACTTGGAATACATATGAACAAGCGCACTGGCTGCAAATGAAAACGGATCAAACCCCAATCTCATCATGTACCCATGAACTTGCTTACCCCAGCCTTCAAAAGTATTCTGCGCACAACCATTCAGGACCCCAGCAAACGTGAAGTCATTAGGCGTAATTCCTGAATTCAATAAATCAGAGAACAATAGGAAGCCCTCTTCCCACCTTCCATCCCCAAAGCATCGGTCAATCATAGCTGTCCATGACACGACATCCTTCTCCAATGTCCTATCAAAAACATACCTGGCTTCGTCAAGGTTACCGCATTTCGCATACATATCAGATAAAGCACTCCACACCACTCCATCAGAATCCCACCCACTCCGGACAATATGGCCATGAATCTCCCTTCCCAAGCGCAATGACCGGATAGATGCAACAGCCGCAAGTGCACTAGAAAGTGCAAACTTATTAGGCACTGATCCATCCTTTTGCATATATTTATACAACCTCAATGCATCTTTTGGCTTGTTTTGCTTCACATAACCAGAAACCATCGAAGTCCACGAGAATTCATCCCTTTCAGGCATCCGATCGAACAGTTTTCTAGCTTCATCAACTCTGCCCTCTTTAGCGTATCCTGTAATTAATGTATTCCAGGAACACAAATCCTTCACACGCATTTCATCAAATACGTTTTGTGCGTAATCAACACTGCCACATTTGCAAAAGAGATCTAGAATCTTGTTATAAATGAAAATTCTCGGCTTCAAATCACTCGACTTAATGTGATTATAAACTCTTTTTCCCTCCTCCAGTGATCGCTGGTGGATGCAATATTGCAGAAGCACCAAGTATACAGCCTCAGAGGGTGGTTCCCGGTGGTGCTCGAGCAATTTAACAGCATCCTTGAGGCGCTTTTGACGGCATAAATCCTCAATGGCTTCTTTCAACTCCTTGTCTCCGCACAACCGGTAAATCTTAGGAGGGTATTGTTCTTCGTTACCGTCCTGTTTGAATATAGTTTTTGGCGGGAAAGGTTGCCCGATGGACTCTTGGCAAGATAATGGGTATGAGGAAGCACAAAGAAGTCTATGGTTAATGCAATACAATGATGAATACAATCGACGGGGGAGACAAAATTTCGTTAATGGTCGTGACTTCATGGATTCTCTGCCAAAATCAGAACTCAGTTCCAGCACTCTCTCTAAAGCTATGCCTGAAAGATTCTATAAAAAAAAAAAAAGATGAACCCTGCTGTCTCACTCTCAGCCAGGCCTCCGTTTCTTTTTTGGGTCAGAGTTTTTGCCGACCGAATGTGAAATTATAGGGATTTCTCCCCATAGAAATAGAGTTCTAACTTAACTGCTTTCTTGCACTCAAAATGAAGATGTCACACACCATCTTACTCTGCCTCAGCAGCTTATCTAATCACAAGCAAAGCTTTCCAAAAATTTGACACCTTACTACTGACTTATGTGGGCTGACATTCAGCTACACGTTTATCTTTCAATTATGGGTCGCGCTCTCCTCAAAGTTGATAGCACAACCAACTAAGCTTCATTCACATATATATAACCACTACTTACTAATAAGCGACCAAAAACAGCCATTTCACTTGATCACCATAGCTTTGAACAGTTTTTTTTGAGCAACATTATAACAAATGGCACCTGAAATTCTTATTAGGTTTGTGTCCTCTTTCTTTTCTTTTTTTTTTTTCCTTGCACGTCAGAACTTGGAACTAATAAGAAACAAAGAACAGGGAAGAAAAATCAGTTGACTCAAAAGACTATTTCCATCGATAGAATGTTGTTCAAGAGTTCAAAAATTATTTAGAGAACCAAATTCCAATAAATCCGAGGCCAAGTACTCCCAAAAGTACGGGCAAAGGATTTGCTAGTCAATTTTACAGCAATTCATCAATAAATAGATTTAGCTACTGAATGCCAGAGGGATGAAGCTTCAGCCAAACTTAAGAGCTCATCATGGAACCAGAGCTTCTGCGGCACTCAGACAACATATCCATGTAGAACTGGCACTTGCTAATGTCATTGCCATATCCATTCAGACACTGCCAAAAAGGGAAAAAAGAAGAGACAGTGAGAAAGCGATACAGTACTAAGACTTGAAGGAAAATACAACCCAAATTAAAACTATACCAACTCCCCTAACAGACATGTACAATTCAGAAAGAAGAACAATAAATATCATGTGCCAACAAAATAGGCATGATAATAACGAAGTGATACGGAGCTGTAATGAGTGATATATCTACAAGTACCCAGCATAGGCTACATGTACTCCAGAACCATAAGGATGCTTGGGGGGCAATTACATCCTATAATTATCTTTCACCACATCCCAGCCCCCCAAAAAAGCCTCCCAAAAAAAAGAGAGAGAGAGAACCTCATGCACCCTAGGTTTTACCCAACAAGGGAGAACATAACCATTAACCAAGACAATGATAACAACTAAACCGAGAAGCCATTATCATATCAATAATCCCTGAAAAGAAAAGAACAGCGGGGAAAAAAAAAACTCAACATACATCTTGGAAGGCCTTAGCATGATTATTGCAAGCATCAGAAGAAATTCCCATAGCATTTGAAGCCGGTGCTGGAGCTGCGGCTGTAGCTGCTTCAGTGACAACAGTTTCATGTTGAATGGTACGTGGACCCATGACGGCATCAACAGCCCTATGTGCCACTGCACTACCAGTACCAAAAGCCATGCCTGAAACAGAAGCAAATTAGCAATCAGCTTTTACAGAATCATGCAACAAACACACGAAGATAATAAACATCCAAACATTAACTGACTGATTAACTACAACTCAACCCCGTCTTTTAGAGCATGGTCAAGCCCATCGACCCATCAAGAACAAAAGAAATATTACCGAATCTTGACACACTTCTTTCAAATTCCCACTAATAGAGCTTTTATTGCATCAACATTTAAATGACTAGCTTATGAAGTAAGACTGACTGGACGGCAACAATCGGAATATTGTTAACAAAAGAACACAGAAGACATTCAAGTACCTTGAGCTATGGTTGAACCAATGCCTCCAAGTATAGATCCACCGCCGCTAGCTTGAACAGGAGCAGGAGGAGGAGCCTGGTGTACTGTATCACGAGACAAGCAAAACTTTTAGTGTAGGACACAATTTAACAATTTCAAAAAGCTAGCGAAGGAACAAAAACAAATGAACATAAGCAAAAACATGTATTTCAACAAGGACATTGTATTACACAAAAATATTGAGCTAATTTACAAGATGAAACAGGAAGAAGTTCCATATATTGCAGGACCAATTTGCAACACTAACAATTTATCCACATGCCAAGAGCAATGATGAAAATAACCAGCACATCAGAAATAAAGAAACAGAAAATGAATGCAAAGACGCACCTGGTGCAGGGGGATTACGGGCAGGTGCAGCCCGGGGAGCAGCACGTGGAGCAGATCTTCCTGAAAATTTATAGTTTCAGAACAAAATCAAAATTAGGTCACTTACAAGAAGAACAAAATCTGACCATCAACCAAAAAGCAAGAGAAATCTTATTTACGAATTTTCATCAAGACAAGATAACAAAATAGGACTGGGTTCTTTCCAAGGCACTGCAAATAGAAGAAACGAATTTCATTCATTGCTAGCAACCTTCACAAACATGTAATACAGTAATTCTGTACACATGAAAAGCGGAAAGAACGACCAGACAAGGCATTTGACTAAAAGAAAGGTCAATTTTCCATCTGGAAAACAAGCAATCAACCTTCCCCCAGGTTTTAAAGAGACTAGAAGATGCCCCCATCAACAAAAGATCAAACCTTTTTCGCAATCCAGATAACATTTATCATAGAAACAAAGATTAAAACCCCAAAAGCGCATAACCCTAATGAAGGTAGAAACGAAGCTGATTAAAATAATACTGAATCTAGCTAGGTTCATCAAAAAAAATTGTGTTAGCTCAAGCCACAAAACCCATCACTGGTTTATTCCTTTTAATTTCATACCGAAGATTAAATGGAACAAAATCAAGTAATCAACTCCATCTTACTGACCCAGATGAATGGATCGACAATAGCATAAGAGAAATCATAGCATTTGACAACAAAGATAGTAGTAGACAAACAATCACCTGAGCTACGGCGAGGCATGGTTGTTGTGTTTGTTGGGACGATAATGAAACCCTAGATCTTTTCGGACGAAATGAAAATAAAAGCTGTGTTCGACAATTCGGGAGAGTTCTGGGACTTGATAAATATAGCCCGATATTTGTATCGCCTCTCTGCTTACGATTACGCTTACACGCACCAAAAGCGTGTTTGGTCCGACTAACGCGCTACAATTCGTAAATTTTATCCAATAAATAAATAAAGAAAAAAGACCGTGATATTTTTTTTATTTATTGGACCCTTTAAGTTTATTAGAATATAAGAAAATTTTGCCTAGTACTTTCAATATTTCTGAATGCACCTACGTTGGGAGGTAACATCAATGTGAAATGTGGAAACATAGGTAAAACCGTAAAATGAATAGAAATGATACGAGAAGGTTTGGTTAGTAAGAATAGTCTCGTTAAGAATCTATTCATTTGAGAATTATCCAACATTAACATTGATAAAAAAAAAAAATTGAGAAGTGTAAAATCTTAGTATTCTATTTGTTTTTGTCAGTTATGAAACATGCAACACGTTCTCATTCCAAAGCACCAACATCACCTTTGAATTATTAATTCATGTATTATATGTACTAAATTTACTTTAAAAAAACTTGTGTCAGACATTTGTATTAAATATTTTTCATATACTGTCCGAAGTGATTTTACATTAATATTGCAAAATATTACAAGTAAATGATAAGTATGGAATCACATCTATAGTCAAGTAGTGATTCAAATTTCCAAATGTATGCAAACAATTGAATACTAACTTCAAATGTATTGACGACCTTCTGAGATGTGAATGAGAGTGCAATTTATATATAAATTTAGGCAAAAACGGTTTTAGGTAAAAAGTCGGGCAAATGTTGTTCCAAGTTGTATTAACCAAAACAAAAGAAAATTATCTTATACGATACACAGAAATTTTTTCGATGTGTATTAAAATTAGATGTTCAGACTTGGGATACTAAAGTAGGAACTTGCCCACAATATGTTCAGATTTCTGAACCGGGAAACAAAACGGCTTTCACATAAATATGTAGCATACCGGGTTGAAAAAAAGAACTCTTGATTGAAATGATTACCGTACTGCCAAGAGTAAGAATCCTTAATAAGAGTACAGAGGCAAGATTCTATAGGACGAATACATTAACAATCCATCAATAACCAGCTAAACCTACAGATTTGCAATGGAGGAGGTAGCTGCCGTCGAACTTAAGCACTTATCTCGGACCCAGAGGTTGAGCGGCACTGGGACAAAACATCCATGTAGAACTGGCACTTGCTAATGTCATCGCCATAACTATTCAGACACTGCCAAAGAAGAAAGATCGCGAGTATTGAGACTGCGAACGAGATATACAGAGACAAACATATTGGAATACCCATTCCATCGAAGTAAAAGCTTTTTAGACCCACCATACTATCATGAGAAGAACAGGGATTGAACTAAACAAGAACTATGTATGCACCAAAAAGAAGATGAGGAACCGAAAGATGCATATTAACGTGACTTTTCAGAGTACTAATATATGCAACAAGCAGCACTGCAACCGAACCTAAATGAACCCTGGAACCAAAAAGGATTAAGGACTGGATAGATTTTTTAGGATGTAAGAATCTACATGCTAAAGAAGTCACGCTTTACCCACAAGATGAACCAAGACAATACAACATCTAAATGGAGGATTAAAAATTCCATAAAAAGAAAAGAACAATGGCAAGAAAGCTTAGCCTACATCTTGGAAGGCCTTTGCCTGTGTACCACAAGCATCAGAATGACTCGTAGCATTTGCAGCTAGGGCTGGAGCTGTTGTTACTTCAGTGGCCACAGTTTCAGTTCGAATGGTACGTGGACCCCAGATTGCATCAATTACCCTATGCCCAATTGCATTACCACTACTCCAAAAAAAGCCTGGAATATAAGTAAAGCAGCAGTCAGCTTCTAAGTATGTACCCACTATACATATGCAGATTAAACATACCTCAGATAAAATATAATCAACTGACCCAAGATTCAGATTAACTTCAACAAACCCCTAGTTTTTAAGATCACTTCTGTTACATAACTTTCCAAAATTGATTCTATGGTAAAAGTTATGTTTCTTTTAAATTTCCACTGGATGGACCTTTTTTTGCACAAAATACACTTGACTTAATAGCGCCTGTAGTTTGACATGCTTGAATAGGCCACCACACTTTGTACAAAATGATTACGAACGGTAAAGAATTTTCATGTACCATCAACTATGCTTCCGACAAGTGATCCAGCACTGCCAGCTCGAACAGGAGCAGGGGCGGGATTAGGGTGCACTGCATCAAATGATCAGCAAAACTTACATTGTAAGAAGCAATACAGCATTTTGAAAAAACCAACAACCAAGCAAACTTTAATAGTTATTTCAGCACTGTCTCGTTAGTTAATAGAAATAAAAAGATTGAGCCAATATGTACCCAATGAAAAATATAAGTAAATTTGAGCCAATAACTTACAGTAAACTATGAAGAAGAACCACAATAGCAGAATCAATCAGGAATATTACCGATTCTCCACGTGCCAACAACAACAATAAATACAATACCCGAGTACATAAGAAGTTACGGAAATGTACCTGATGCAGGAGGATTGCTGGTGCGGCGAGCAGAGCGTGAGGCAGACTTTCCTCCTGCAAAATAACATTTTGGGGGAATAACGAGAATTAATGTGGCAGTAACCTACAAAGATAAAAATAAAAGGAAAAAAAAATGGATTCCAACTACACCTAGAAGAAATTCTTACAACAACGAAACAGCAAAAGAAAAAATGATAAAACATTCCAAAACACAAAAATTTTCATAGATATGTGAATTTTCATAGGTTCCACTAACAAGAAAAACTAAATTTATTTCCGGCATCCTTCATGAAGATTTACTAGAGTAGTGGAAGGAGCCAGACAACTGAACAAGGCTTTAGACTACAGAAAATTTGTCAATCATGAAAGGGGAATAAACACATCAAATCATCCCGATTCTTTAAGAAACGGGGAGATCAAACATGCAATCATCCGAATAAAAATTGGAAGAATCTACAGTTCTTTTAAAACCAAAATCAGAATCCGAAGAAGACATGTAATGAGATGATCTGAAATACACAGGACACATTGAATCAGGTGAAGCCACAAAATCAATTACTGGCTTTTTGCCTTTTTCCGTTCCATTCCAAACCAACATTACATCTACGCAACCGAGACATGAACTCAATCGTATTATTACCTAAAATGAAACGACTGATAAGGAATATAACTTGTTTAATTTGACAGTGAGAGAACCGAGGGATTATCACCTGAGCTACGGCGAGGCATGGTTGGGTTTGAGGCTGCGGCGTCGAGAACCCTAGCTTTCTTCCGACGAAAACGAAATTCGACTTCGAGAATGTTCTTGATCCCTCGAAGATCAAGCGCTTCGACCTATATATATGACTACTACAATGTCGTCCTAATCCCGCGTTTTTAGTTCGGATGATATTTATTCATCCAAAATAAAAGGAAAAAAAAATGGAAATATTACTACAAGGACTCCAAAATTGGTTGTACTCTCAGCTGACCCCAACTTAATTATAAACTCACAATATTACCCTCGACTATCCAATCCCATTAAATACGAGTACTAAATATACAATTACATGTGTGGATTCACATAGCCAAATTGGTAGGTACTTCGAGAATTAAACAATAGGTTCTATTCTCACTTTGGGCTGGTAAAGAGGGGATTTTTTATTTTTTTTTTAATAAAAAAGTAGTCCCGTTGAATTGTTTTGGGGCCTTTGTTATCAAACAGTTTACAAATTTGACACCGTAAACAATTAGAAACCGTACCGTTGTTAGTACTAAAGTTCAGTGCACCATTTGTAGTACCGGTTGGAGTTCTTTCACTGCAAAATACATGAAAAAGTAGGTTTTTTGTACCGTTGGAGATGAGCTACCATTGAAAGTGACCAAGAGAGCATATAAAGATAGAGTATTCAATAATTATTTTTCCTTTTTTTTTTTGAGGGAAACATAAAATAGAGTAGAAAAGTAATAAGTTAGATATTAGCCCATAAGGCAACAAAGTGAACTAGCAGTTACACTCGTATATTTATTCAAACTTGCAAAACCACCCGTAGGTTGTTGGGACGAATCAACTGGCATAAGACTTTTGAAATGAGAAGAAGAGGAGAAGAATTAAAATTTGTTTGAAAGGGTAAATAAGAAAAAATGTCGAGCTAAATATGTCATATCAATCATTCAAGGTTAAACCCTATTATGCATAAAAAGAAGATTATGCCCCAAGTAATAATAACTGTAATAATGCTTAAGTGCAATTTTTTTTTCTTAGAAGTCGAAAAGAAAAACAATGATATATTTACAATAAGAACTCTTTTTTTTGTTGGGAGAAAGTAAGAAAACAACAAGAAGAGCTCTTAACAACAGAAAGCAATTTGTTTTGGACTTAGAAAGAAATACAAAAAATATTGTTCTTTTCTGGTTTTGTAATGCTACTTAATATACTCATAATCCATCGACATTTTTTTGGGTTTTCTTGGGGATAAAGAAATAATTTTCATCTTAAATTTTACCGTAATAAAGTATAAATAAACATAATAATTAAATAAATCAAATTACAGAACCACACGGTTCACGTCGTACCGGCCCACAAATTGTTTCCCCCTTTCCTCAAAATCCCCTTTCTTGGGCGGTACGAGAGGGAATCACGAAATCTTCTCTCTCTCCTCTTTTTAAAAAAATTGGAAAAACCAATTATTCTTTTTTTCAAAAAACCTCTCCTCTCCGCCTCACGAAGTTTCACTCCGTCCACCTCCCACCTCCCTTAGGGTTTCTATCTCCGTACTCGATCTTTTCCCAACACTTGTGCCAGTACTGATTCGCTGTTGCTAGAACTGTTGATTTTGATCTCAGTCGATTAATTCATGGCTGAGGAACGAGTGAACGACGCCGCTCCTCCGGCGAATTCTTCCTCCGGCGGTGGCGTCGGAGTGTCGCCATTGGGGAGTACAGTTATCCCGATCGTGAACAAGCTGCAGGATATTTTCGCTCAGCTCTCCAGCCAGTCTACAATTGAGCTGCCTCAAGTGGCGGTTGTGGGGAGTCAGAGCAGTGGCAAATCCAGTGTTCTGGAGGCGCTTGTCGGCCGCGACTTCTTGCCCAGAGGCTCTGACATTTGTACTCGGAGGCCGCTCGTGCTTCAACTATTGCAGACCAAGCGAACAGCTGATGGCAAAGACGAGGAGTTCGGAGAATTTTTACACCTTCCTGGAAAGAGGTTTTACAACTTCAGTGAAATTCGACGGGAGATTGAGGTGAGCTGCTAGGGTTTTACTGTCTTTTCTTTGTGCATTTATGTAAACTGGCGTGATTATAGTGTAGTGGTTATGGATTTGGGATCATGTCTTTGCATTCTTATGGAACTTCAAATCAGAATTTTACTTTATTGCAAAACTAAAATCAGATATATTACATCTACATTTTCTTTTCTTGGATAGATAAAATAGGAATCAGTTAATGGTGGTCGCATTTGTGTTAGTTGCTTTCTCTTCTTGAAGTCTGTTTACTGTCGTGTGCATAATTTATTTTGATTAGCACTAGTAGCATGTCGAAATCGACTTGTTTGTAGAAGGAACCTTTGTCTTTGCTTAGTAAGTAATTGGACTTGTACTCTTGAAAATTATAAGGTGGTTTCTTAAAGTTCCAGTGATGGCGTCGAAATTTTGTACATGAAAAGAATTCCTAGTTTGACCGGTTTTGAATTGACAAGGTGCCACACCCATATTTTGAACTGCTCAAACATATGATTATTTTTCCAAATCTATTCTGTAATTTTGATTTCTGAGACTGATCTGTATTTGTTTAGGCTGAGACCAATAGAGAAGCAGGTTTGAACAAAGGTGTCTCAGACAAACAGATTCGGTTGAAGATTTTTTCACCAAATGTTCTTGATATTACTCTTGTGGATCTGCCTGGGATCACTAAGGTCCCTGTGGGTGACCAGCCTTCTGATATTGAAGCACGCATCAGAACAATGATAATGTCATATATCAAGCGCCCTACCTGCTTAATATTGGCTGTTACCCCTGCAAATGCTGACCTTGCTAATTCAGATGCCCTTCAGATTGCTGGAGCTGCAGATCCCGATGGTAGGTTCTACAAGCCATGCGTTCGGATTTCTTCTTGAATGCATATGTGTAAATCATTTGTGAAAGACTCGATTATTATTGTCTTTGCAGTCTGTGACCTTTTCTCATGTTTCTGCTGGCAGGTTTGCGAACTATTGGTGTTATTACAAAGGTAACTTCCTTTATTATTTATTTGGCGAAGGTGGTTGGTATGATTCGGCTAAATACTCTCTGTAGTCAGTCTGTTTATGCGATATTTGTATTTTGTTTTTGTGGCTTCAGCTGGACATTATGGACAGGGGTACTGATGCCCGAAATTTTTTGCTTGGAAAAGTGATTCCTCTCAAACTTGGTTATGTGGGTGTTGTAAATCGCAGCCAAGAGGTAAAATTCCCTTTGTAAAATCTTGTCGTAGGTTATTTCTTTATCGTGAATATACTATACTGTCTTTTCTTTTGGCATAGAGGAACATCTTTATATTTTGTCCATCTTTGGCTGGCTAGTTTAAAGCTTATGCAATTTCACTTGATTTGTTTTCCTTAATACTTTACTTGTAACAGGACATAACAAACAATCGAAGTATAAAGGATGCACTCATAGAAGAGGAGAAATTTTTCCGTAGTCGTCCTGTATGCCTTCTCATCTCTTATGAATAGAACATGTGCAGGGCTCTAGTTTACCCATTTTCACTGTTGGTTTTGCTCTTTTTTAGGTTTACAGTGACCTTGCTGATCGCTGTGGCATACCTCAGTTGGCAAAGAAGTTGAACCAGGTCGGGCATAAACTCTTGGAACCTAATTTGGCAGTATGCTGATATGTTGCTTTTGATTACTATGCCATCATTAATACTAGGTTTAAGAGAAAATTAGTTTTCTGAGCCTGGGTCTTCTGTTATTTTTTTAATTTGCTTTGCTTGGTAACATGAACAATCCAAATAAGCTATATTTTTAATCTTTTTCCCTGCTTTGGGAACAAATAAGTGATGATTCTTATTTTGTTGGCTCGTCTCAAATGTTGTACGTTATTTGATTGGTTAACTTACACTAATCCCACTTTTTGCAGCTTTTAGTACAACATATAAAAGCTGTTCTTCCAGGATTGAAGGCTCGCATCAATTCTAATTTGGTTGCCGTGGCAAAAGAGCATGCTAGCTACGGAGAAATCACTGAATCGAAGGTGATTTTTTTTTTTTTAAATCACAGTTTTAACATAGGAATATATGTAATATCTATGTTAGTGACTCTGTAATGGAGGTGTCCTGTTGTAATTAGGGTCTTTGTGCTGAGATTATTATTCTTTTTCGTTGTTTTCTTCATTTTTCCCCAATCTTCCTTAGAAATAATTATTTGCTTTGCTGTCCATTCGACAGGCTGGTCAAGGAGCATTATTGCTTAATATCCTGTCAAAATATTGTGACGGTAATACTGCCGACATCATTAATCTTATCTCTTGGTTGATATGATTTGATTTTGATATTCATTCTTTTGTAAATGTCGCTTAGAAGTACTTTTAGTGGCAAGTTTCCTCACTTGAGTCAACTTAAAATTCATTCTGTTGACCATTCTTAAACAGCCTATTCTGCAATGATTGAGGGGAAGAATGAAGAAATGTCCACTTCTGAGCTATCCGGAGGAGCCAGAATTCATTACATTTTCCAGAATATCTTCGTTAAGAGTTTGGAGGTAGGTAATGTTGGTTTGGTTGTTCTTATGCTCCATAAGCTCTCCACAACATTCTATTTCTTGTCCTTAGATTTTTAATGTTTGCATGACATGTGATGTTACATCTCTATAGTAATTAACATCTTCTGCTTATAGCTTCCAGCCTATGATAGATGGTAGACAGGAAATTGTTATTGAAATATCTATACTTGGTTTTTTATTTTATTTTCCCTTGTTCTCCGGCATGTAATAGGCTCCTTTGCGCTAGTCTATCTTGTTATGATTAAGGTGTACTGTGTTTTTATATCTTTGGTAGCATTCATATGGTTTGGTAAGGGTGAAACCATGTTCAAGGGAGATCTGATTGTCTTCAATATTTGAGTTATCCTTGCTCCCTTGTCTATCATATTTCTTAGAGCTTGGTTGCTTTTAGTACATTTTAAATCAGATTGACGTATCTTCCAGGAAGTTGATCCTTGTGAAGATTTAACCGATGATGACATCCGAACTGCAATTCAAAATGCTACAGGCCTGAAGTCAGCACTGTTTATTCCAGAAGTGAGTATTTGTTTGAATTATTTGTCAGGTCTTTGTTATCACCTATTTTAAATTATTATGAACAAACTATTGTCATTTACTATTCTGTGTTTTTGTATTGGCTCTATGTTGCACCTCTTCTGCTGTAGGTTCCCTTCGAAGTTTTAATTCGGAAACAGATTGCTCGATTATTGGACCCTAGTCTTCAATGCGCTCGATTTATTTATGATGAGCTGATAAAGGTGAACATGCTTTTACCAGATTATTATGGTTTGATTGGAACATAATTTGCATATGGAGAAATAATTTTTCTTCTCTCGTTTCAGATGAGCCACCGCTGTGTGATTCATGAATTGCAACGATTTCCTGTTCTGAGAAAGCGCATGGATGAGGTCATAGGGAACTTTTTGCGAGAAGGCCTTGAACCCTCGGAAACCATGATTGGTCATATTATTGAGATGGAGGTGGGTTTTCTCTCTCTCTCTCTCTCTCTCTCTCTCTCTCTCTCTCTCTGTATCTTGGTATATATTTTAGAGAAATATGATGGTGTTGAAATCGTATTGGTTTATCAAGGCTGAAGTATTGGAATTGGAAATAAATGGACATGGTTGAGAGTTACTATACTTTTGCAACACCTAAGCCTTTATCCCTCTATGTGAAGTGGCTTATGTAGATTATATATGCTCTGCTAGCAGTCACTAGTTGCTAATAGTTAACATTAAACTATTGTATGCCTGACTACCTTTATGCTTAGTTGTGCATTTTTCACGCTTAAAAAGAAGTTTTAGTTATGAGAATTCTGTGGACTAATTTACTGTTTCCTCAGATTTTTAATTTCTTCTTAACTAATATAGAGTAAGAGTTAGATTGATACCACCACGTTCTTTTTTGTACTTGGCAAGTGTTATTCTGGAAGAATGGTACTTAGCTGAAAATGTCATTATTTGTTCTGCAGATGGATTACATAAATACTTCTCATCCAAATTTTATTGGTGGTAGTAAAGCTATCGAAATTGCACGTCAGCAACATATTAGGATTCCTGTACCAGTTCGTCAGAAGGTAAAGTTGCACAATCTTTGCACTCGTGGTGTCACACTTACAATGTTCCTCGTGTCTTACTCGCTTCATTTCTTTTGTCAATCAGGATGGTCCTGATTCAGATAAAGGACCAGCATCAGACAAAACCGTAAGACCTCGTGGAATTCTTGCTAGACAAGCAAATGGAATTGTTCCTGAGCAGGTAGTCCCTTTATATGTTAAGATCTGTTAGCCATCTGAATGATTCTGAAGTCATTCTTTTAGTTCCGACTATCCTTGTATTTGCTGGCTGCCTGACTCTTTATGTTTCCGCTCGACATGCAGAATACCCGGCCCGCTCCAGAGGTTGAGAAACCTGCAACTTCTGGTATTTCTATCTCAGTGAAAATTTTGACCTCTTCATTTTGCTGTGTGAATAGCATTAATTCTGTATAGTTTGTATTATTGGCATGCATTTTTTCCAAGATCATCCTTGGGAAATGTTACTGTGTTTTTCAAGCCTTAATGCTGTGGATAAACGCTGAGTTGACTTTCTGCTACATATCAGGAACAAGTTCACCCTGGGGAATATCCTCAATTTTTGGTGGTTCTGACCATCGTTCAGCTGTAAAAGAGAACATCATGAACAAGTCGCATAATGAACCTGCTCCGAGTATGGAGCATGCTGTTTCAATGATTTATCTGAAAGAGGTTTGTATCTGAAGTCTTTATCTAACTACCTTTGTTATGTAAAGTAGTCAAGTGTGATTTTGATTCACTGGGTTCTTATAGGGTTTGATTCGCATCTAACTTTCTCGCATTTTTCTTGTAGCCGCCAGCTGTTTTGAGGCCCTCAGATGTCCACTCTGAAGATGAAGCTGTTGAAATTACAGTGATAAAGCTGTTGCTAAGGTCATATTATGATATTGTACGTAGGAACATCGAAGATGCTATCCCAAAAGCTATCATGCATTTCCTGGTAAGAGCTTGGAGTTTTTTTGGTAAAAGCTATCACATATCGACTTTGTGCTTCAATTTTGATGAGAAAAATGCAATCCATCATGAAATAGAAGAGTCTCTTTAAGAGTTAGTTATACCATATTGTTTGGTAATCTGTTCGTTTCTTTTAGTACATTTGATATGTTTTTATAATATTGAAGCCTATCCGTTCATTGTGACACTAGGAAGATATTTTGTCAGAGACGTGATTTTTTCAGGAAATCTGTGGCACATAACACACTCTCTTTCTCTCACATGCCTTCGCACGCACACACTGACGCACATACACATGTTTTTCTGTGTATTGGAACCTTCCCAGTTATGGATGGTGATTATATTCTTCATATGTGTTCATTTCTTGTCTTTAGCTTTTTTCCTCTCCTTGACCCAATCCAAGAGTTGGTAAGGTTAAAACACCACCAAAAGTTGTAGCTTCCATTGTCTTGGGTGGTTTAAATTTCAAACATATTGCTGCGAATTGTATGTGTTTCAAACTTTGTTTGCTTTATGCTAGACATAATAAGTAATTTACAGTGATTTGGCTCTTAAACCTTGCTTGTCTTTTGTATAGACAGTATGAAAGAACTGATACGTTGTGGGAGGGTTGGGTGGGTTGGTTAGAGAATTAGGATGGGGGATGGTTATTACCAGGAGGTCGGGGGTTCAATTCTCGCTGGGGCCTTCCATTTTTTTTTTTTTTTGAAAAAAAAGGAAAAAAAAAAAGGAAAAGAACTGATACGTTGTTCGTTTTACTGAGATTTTTAAGTATGCAATATAATGTTATCAATGTTTTCATGTTCCCAGGTAAACCACACCAAAAGGGAGCTACACAATGTGTTCATCAGAAAGCTGTACAGGTAGGATCTTTAATTTATGTTCTGATATTATTATATAGAATTTCTTTTTTAGGGTAAGCTTTATATTTACCTGATTGGTTTATTGGTGGTTCAAATCTTCCTTCCTTAGTCCTGGCCCAAGGAAGATCAGAATAATTCTGAATTTCAACTGTTATGGAACTTTAGCTGTATAGGTTCATAGACTTGTCTCACCACGATTTCATTTGGTTGGCTTAGTTTTGATTATCTATCAAATACAATGTGATGCTATGTCAAATCTCTCTGTTCCAGGGACAACATATTTGAAGAGTTATTGCAGGAGCCTGATGAGATAGCCTTCAAGAGGAAACGTGCCCGAGAGACACTACGTGTTCTTCAACAGGCTTTTCGAGTGAGTTTTCTTTCTTAGAAGTCTATAAAAAATTTGTTGTGAGATACAGTTTCTGGTCTCTTTGTATGGTAATACAAGTGCATGTATTTATGGGCACTTTTTAAAAGCATGTTTCTGCAGGCAGTTTTTAGTTTTTTTTTTCTTTTAGTAAAAAAAATTATGTGAATTTGTCCAGTTGAGGCATGAAGTATTTATGGGTTGGTATTTTGTTACGGATTGATTTAGTTTACATATGAAGACTATCACATGAACAAAAGGAAATTTGGTGCATGCAGTCTCCCATTTGCATAAGGTTCAGTGAAGGTTTGGTTCATAAATGAATGCCAACATCTAACAAATTGTAAGGGTAGTGAACTAATGACTTGTACAATAGAGCTGTGGAATTGGATGAAGGTTGAGATTAGGCAACGATATATTAGAAGATGAATTCATTCATGCCAGAGTGGTCTACAGTTGAAATTATATATTTTATATTGTGGGCCTGTGGCTATGTCAATGTGCTGTCGTGGTGAATGATCTGAAAGGCGTATGATCAAGTTTATGGTGGTCTGGGTGTGGTTTACTTGAAAAGGCATATGAAAGGCAGCTGTATGGCTCTATCATTATTGGCTGCTCCATAATCCTCTTTATGGTTTTGTTGTTACTTGCCTGAGACAATGTGAAGTTAAAAAGAACTCTTGCCTGCTGTTTTTCTGTGTTCATTTGGAGTTTCGTCTTAATAGGCTCACAGATTAAACCAAAAACATAATTGCAACTTCTGTTTTATCTCTAGGTATTGGATGAACTGCCTCTTGAAGCTGATACCGTGGAAAGGGGCTATAGCATGAATACAGATCCAACTGGTCTTCCAAAGATTCAAGGGCTGCCAAGCTCCTCTTTTTATGCTACTGGCAGCGGATCAAGTGATTCTTGTGGTGCATCTCCTAAAAATACAAAATCACGCAAGTCCTCTCACTCAGGAGAACTTCATTCTCCGTTTTATGGTCACGCAGAGTCGAATGGAGGAGGGCGTAATCCTTTGGGTTTTTATCCTTCAGTTGATCTGTAGGCTGATTGTGTTGAGGATGGAAAACTTCTTAGTAACCCTTTGCAATTTTGGGAGGGCATCTGGAATCATAAGCAGCTTTGATTCTGGTGTGGTACAGGGTATTCTTTTTGACGATAAAAATAGATAGTACTGCTGATCATTATTTGTTTGACTTGGTATTTTTTCATTAGTTCCCTTATATAGTCCAATAGCAGTGCACTGTTATCAAATGCGCGAAAGAAGGATATAAAATAAAGGAGTCATTGCTAGCAGTGGCATATTTTGGTTATGTGAACTCTTTTTTACCTCACAATGGGTAAAAAAGTAGCTGGATGTATTTTGATCTCCGTCTTGTTGGCTTGTGTATAGTATGCATTCCACTTTAGTATGACAGTCTGTTGGCAAGTATACATGTCTTATCTTGTTTCAGCTTTCGACAATGGCAATATTAATTGTTCAGAACTTGAGACGTTCTTTGCATCTAAAATTGTTCCAACTTCCGAGTCACTTCGATTATTTCATACATGAAGCTCCCTTCATAACGGGGATGAGCAAATAAGGTTTGCTCCGTACTCAAGAATAACAAATCAATCCGTATTCCATCTGTCCCATAATTTTCATTTGTATTTCAAATTGTACTAAAAATAAAATTTCAAATAAATTGGAAGGAGAATAAATTGTTACTCGGAGCAAGCTACTTATCTTCCTCAGATAATTTAGATGTACTTTTGTCTTTCTAGGTAACATGCTAATTGAGTATTAGTGTTATTTGACAATCTCGTAGAGAACGGAACAGGAAAGCCTAATACAAGCTAAGGAAACTAAAAGACAAATGAGCATTTACCAGTTCGTTTCTGGATATAGTAAACAATATGTACAATCAGTATCTACCCAGAATACTACATAAAAACTCCTTTTATAATTATACACTTCAAGTCAATTGCCAATCTGGCACATCAATTCTGGGCGGGTGCTTTCAAGCTCACTGTTCAGCAGTCGCAGCAGAGCTTTGAGTGTTAGAAGAACTAATGATATCTGCAGCTCCGGTCAGCACTTCAGGGTCATTAGCTTCACTGTTGCTCTGGATAGGTAAATTACCAAAATGAAAATTCCAGAACTCCAAATAAAGCGCAAGTTTAAACAACAATGGAGATGGAGAAACCAAAGGAGGAAAACAAGGGAGAATAGGTTAATTGAACTGAAACTTTAGACAGATTTTGTTGTTACAAGAATATGAACAAACCTGTTCAATAGCCTTGACAATGGGATCCTGGATCCCAGTGGCGGAAACTTTAGAAAGGTCCCTTAGAATTCCCTGCATAATAGAAGCCTCTGATGTAAGATTTATGAAAGTCACATCCGATGCAGGTTCTTGCATAAATTCACCCTCAAAAACTATTCGCAACCACAAGAATGTAAAGGAAGTTTTTGGCTGGTTAGTTTACAATAAGTTGTATCATTGTCGAAGAATCCATGCAAGCAAGTCTACTTGACAGAAATTTGCAAAGATAGAGCAGATGCCAGCAAATTTCTTCAGCTCAGAAGTTGATATAGAGAACATGGGACATGGAAGAAGTAGGTGATACTCTCTCACAGCTTCATGTGAAGAATTGCAATCCATTTTAAATTGAAGCCCTGTTGTTCATCTTTGTAACACTGTCATCTCAAAAATGGTTGATTTTATATGTAAATCCTCTCCTGTACTCCATAGAATTATTCTCCCTGCTACTAGGGGATTAAACATTACTTATGCACTCAATTAGTCCAAGGTGACAAACAAAAAGCAAGGTAGCCTAAAATCACTGACTCCATAAATTGTGCGGTCCAAATAGCATATAGCAGGCTTGTGGTGCCTCTTAAAGAAAAAGAATGCATGTTTTCAGAGGAAAATCAAAGACAGGTAGAAGAAATATCATGGTTTCCCGTAAATGTAAATTATAACAGATGCATCAAATGTAACAGACCTTGTTCGCCCACTTGAGTCCACATGCATTGCACAGTGTCCTTGGACCTGCAGGTCCTCGACGCATCATAGGAGTAGACTTTGAGCTAATACCACAATGTCTACATCTGCAGAAAGCAAAGACGCGATGAGCTGGATACCACATTAACTAGAAGTAAAGACTGAAATAGCAGCTAAAAACAATGAATGAATCATCTATCAGGCCAAGAATTACAAAAGAACAGAGACAAAGGGTCAGAGAGCATTGCTCACGTAGTTTCTGACTCTTCTGCTGCTGCCATTGGATTGTACTCGGATGAAGATGATCCAGCTTCATCAGAAACTGACTTCGAAGATGTAAATTGACCCTTCTTTCTCTGCATCCTGACAAGGAAAGCAACGTTTAGAGGCACATAAAGAATCAATGTCAATGATAACAACTAACAAAATACTTCAGAAGAAATATTCATTTTGATGAACAACCTCTATGCTTCCAAACCTGTAAATTTTACCAAATGAATCAAGGACCATTGTTTGAGTCAGCTAAAAAACTAGAAAACAAGCAGAAGTGGACTACTAAGAGAATTGCTTGATTAGCAACTTCAACCAAGGGCCTGACAGGGATTAGGTTCTGTTTAGATCGAAATTAGTGCGACTCTCACATTGGAAATGCAAAAACGAGAACACAATGTAAGAAGTTTCAGAACAAAAAATTGAAGAAAAAAATAAGAATACACCTGTAATATGTGTAACCAAACAGAAACATGTCACCAGATGGGGTCATATCGATTTCCTCAACATCACAGAGAGATACCCTCAACAGTCAATCATCAAGTTTTAGTTCTAAAATAAATTACTTGTCTCACAACTACATTAAACGACTTATGTAAATTACCTGAGTGCAACTTCCTTCCGTACAGTATACCGGATCTTCTTATCAAAACATCGCTCTTTCCTTTTTTCTCTAAAGCGATTTAAAGAAGCCACCCGTTGAGGCTGACTTGACCTACCTGGCAATTCACCAAAACCCTACAAAAGGCCGCAGACGGACAGAGAACTCAGACAGGTTGTTGACATACTCAGAATACTGATGAATTTGACAGACTATATAGAGACTACCTTGTGGTTATTTTGGGGAGCCATGCCAACAGAAGGAATGGTAGAAGGTACCTCATATCCACCCAAAAGCAATAGAACTGCTTGAACCTGAAAACAGAAAAGAACACATTCTGTACTTAAAAGTAACTCTTTTTTCGGTGATACAACGTTTGCAAACCTCTATCCATTTCATTGGGTGCTAGCCTACTAGCTAAAAGACATAATGATAGATGTGCCAAGTAATCTGACAATCAGCTTATTTTAAAGAAATTCAAATGCCTTCTCGTAGCTGTAACAAAACATAATCAAGGCACCAGATATCTAAGCCGGTAAGTGCTTATTAGAACCCTAAATTTCATCTATGTAATAAAGTCAACAATCCACAGAATTAAAATCAATTGAAGCCAGCAAACCATATAAGCATAGCAAATATGCAGAATTTCAAGGGAAGACAGAGAAAAAACTTTCATTTTTTTTTTTAATGATCTTCGCATAAATTAGGGAATACCTTCAAGTTCCCTTGTACAATTTGAAGTACCTGGACACTAAGCACTAAAGTAAACAGAAGAATTGGGAACAAAGAAGATACCTTTTCGGGAGAAACGGAGTCGAAAACGTAGACTTCCCCTTGAAACGACAGCGTAAGCTGGTCCGCGCCACTGCCACCGGAGGGAGCCGGAACAATATCGGAGGCGGGGACATACAAACCATGGGGCCCAACGCCATCAACCCCATTCAAGGGGTTGTCCATGTTGGGAGCCCCACCGCCGTTCTGGAAAGCGTGCGAATTGGAGTTGGCATCGTACCGGATCTGGGAGTGGGGATTCTGCAGATGATTGTCGAGGGATTCTGCTTCCCCAGCGCCGCCGTGAACGTCGTCGTCGTCTTCGCCGTCATCCAGGTGGTGGTGGTGGTGGTGGTGGGGCTGGTGGTGATGGGGCCCAGACTGTAATTGATTCTGCTGTTGCTGCTGCTGCTGCTGCAACTGCTGATGGTGTTGTACGTTGTTCATTGTATTATCTCTCTCTCTCAGAGGGGGGATTTCCGTACTGAAGGAGAGAATCGGCCAATTTCTATGGGATTTTTATTTTTTTGGGGGAATTTCTTGGTTTCTGTTACTACTGCTTTTTAGTCCACTTGGTGGTGGGTGTGCAAATATAACAAAAACAAACCTTTTTTTCTCAATTTTTTTTTTCACATGCCCAAAAATTCGGTTATATTAACATTTTTTACATTTATAATGCCTAAAAAAAGTTACATTGTCCTTTATTTACTTTTATTTATATACATTTTAACTACTCCCTCCGATCCTTATTATAAGACATTTTGATTTTATTTTATATTTTACCTAGAATGTGCTTTTAATTGAAAAAAACATTAAAAATATATTTCTATATTCGTCGTGTTCTACTAATTATTAGAAAATATTTTTAAGATTTTAATTTCAATTAAAAAAATATCTTAGGTGAAATTTATGACAAATCAAAATGTCTTATAATAAGAATCGGAGAGAGTATTTATTTATATTTTTTAGCTGTGTATATTATACACTTGTGTATGCATCAATACAAATGCGAAGGAGATAAATTTTCTTTATGAACTAATAATATTCACCCAACAAGTATTTATATGCACTTTTACGGATATTATCTATCACAAAAAAATATGATCCACATTGAATTTTTGTAATTCGTATTGTTTTTAGTACAAATTTCAGAATTCAAAATGAACTACAAAAGAGAGTAAGAAAAGAAAATGTGCATGAAATTTTCAATGTTCCCTCCTAGCTTTGATTAAGGTCCGGATTCTAAACAAATGTAGTAGTACTATAGGCAAAATTTGCCCCAAATCCAAAGACGTGTAGAAATCTAATCTAACTAAAGTAGATGCTGTTGTTCATTTTGGTTCCAGAAGTACTTGCACAAAAGTTTATTCGGTCCAAAGTTGTACTTTCAGTTTCCAAATCCTACGAAAGGGAAAATATCTGTTACATGTAAGCATTTATTTTCTGGATAAATTCCACAAAATATTTTCTTCCTGTCATGAGTTTTTTTTCTAATAAAAAAAGAATTTAAATTTGAAAAATCTCTCTCTAAATATATTTACTGCATTAAAAACCATAATAATAAAGGGGAAAAAAAATTAGTAGTACTAAAAAGAAGATGAGGAGTGGGACCAGGAGGTGGTCTTATAAAACGTTTTTAGAGGAAAGTCCGATGGCATCCCAAAAGACTAGGTAAAGAATAATATCAAAAGCATTAGGTAGATTCAGCTGAAAGAAAAAGAGAAAAAAAGAGAAGGAGACAATGAACGTTGAAGAAGAAGTTGAGAAGCTCAAAGAAGAGATCAAAAGATTGGGCAAACCCCAGGATGATGGTTCTTATAAGGTATAAATATAATCCCCAGATTCACTCTCTCTCTTTTTTTATTTTTGGCAATAATCCTTCCCTTTTTAGCATAAACCTTGCAAAGATCTGTCCTTGGACATGCTTTCTGTTGGGGATCTGTACTTTTTTGCTTGATCTGATTTTGTAAATGTACCATATAGACATAGTCTAATGTCGGTTAGATGCTACTGTCATACAGTTTCGGTTCATTCTCTGTTCTTCTGTAATTACTTGCTCTGTTTAGTGTTTGAGATGGAATGCAAACCAGATTGTTTTATGGGCTTCCAAATAATGTTTCAATGCTGTTCCAATACTAGGAAATGGTTCTTAAGGAGCCAATTTATGATCAATTTGGTATTTAATCCTTTTGTCTCCATGGGATTGCTTGAAATGAAGGGTTTTTTTTTTTTTTTTTTCCCCACCTTTTTTTACTCTTGAAGGTCACTTTTGGCGTTCTGTTTAATGACGATCGATGTGCAAACATCTTCGAAGCACTTGTTGGAACATTGAGAGCTGCAAAGAAGCGCAAGCTCTTGACGTATGATGGCGAGCTTCTGCTTCAAGGAGTTCATGACAATGTGGAAATCATTCTCAAACCTAACCCAGCAACAACATCATCAGCTGAAGCTGCAGCAGTGAAGAGTTGATATGCTGCTATTCTGCAATCTACAATCTGTATCACTCTTCCTATATGGAGTGTCATACTATGAACTGCAGGGCAGCATTGTGTGTTTCTTCTTGTTCACTTGTAAAATGATTATTCATCTGCCACTCTCTGGGAGTTTTCAATACTCCATACATTTTGCATTCACAACTGCAGTACAAAGGCTTGCCAGGCAAGTGTACAATGTGTATGATGATAAAAGGGATTTTTTTTCCTCCACCAGCCATTTTCAACCTCCTAAGTCCAAACCACAAGAGAACAGCTTCAAAAACAAAATATCCTTTTTTAAGCATAACTTCATGCTGCAGCAGTTATAATGTATACAAGATGGGAGTTTCAAGTACAAAATATTGTCTATGTATAGCTAGACCTATGAAGACAGCCCAGTTATCATGTCTAGGAGGGGTTGTATCATTGGTATAATAATCAAATTCCTAAAACAGAAAATCAACTGAGCTGATTAAGCTAATCACTGCCTACTACTCTGAGTATATCTGTTGCGAATAACTACCCAAAATATATAATGTTAGAAACCATTTCCAAAGAAAATATAATGTTAGCAGTGGACTTGGGTTAAATAATCAGGCCTTTTATTTCCTCTCCCAAGTCCCAAGCCAGAGCAAAAGGATTGTCAATGGGCATGCTGTTGCACTTTTAACTCCAACAAAATTTCTTTGATGCGTTGTCATGAGGACCCTGTGAGTATGAACGCATGTAGGAGGCTCTGTGCTGCTTGTGTTTCATCAGGAGAACCAGATATGACAACTATCCGGTCAGTTGTTCCAGCGCGCGGCTCGTGTACTATAACCTTGGCGCCTGAAATCTAAGGAAGAAGCACTAACATTGATCTTTGCAAAGAGCAATAACCATCATTTTGTTCATATATTAACAAAAGAGAACAGTGGGAAAGTAACTCACCTGTCTTAAACGAACCAAATTGCCACCATTATCTCCATAAACTGCATCTATTACATTTTCGGGTACAACAATCTCTACAGTAGTATTGGTCACAATGGCAGATCTGCTCCCGCTGCAAAAACTTGTAAGAATCAGTAGCTAGAATTTCATAGTTGGGACTAGAATTAAAATTAACTTCAGCTTGCAAGCAAGGTTGGGACAGCATAGCAAAGAACAGTAAAATATCTTAATATAATACAAAGGAGGTAGTAAACATTCTCAACACGAAATAATCAAACTACCTTTTAACGCAAAAAACACAAAAAAGTTCATTTGTAATCACTCTGACGATCTCACCAACAGAAATTAATTCATATTATCCAAAACCATGTCAGGTGTATTGTTAGTTCAAGAACTTCAGAAGATCCAATGAGAAAAACTAAATAAGGGGCCTTAACACACTTGAAAATGTCACACATGTACCAAACTTGAGTTACTTTTAAGACCCAAACAGATATTTTCTGTGAGTTGTGACCTGTTTAGTGTAGTGATACTTACTGCAAGTCTATAACTATGAGCAGAGTGTTAAACTTTTAAAGACTGAGACAATAATTTCAGCTGTTATGTAGCCAAAGAAAAATTGGTTTACTTGTGCATGTTACCACGTGAAATGATTAGTTGTAAATTTTACGGTATCCTAATTTGGAAAAAAGAAAAAAAATCGTGAGGTGAAGAATCAACTTTGATGAACAAACATGGATGCTGAAAACATTACAATGACATTTGGCGGAGCACACGTCAGAAAAATGGCAAGTATAAAAAATGGGCAAATCATTAATGAAGCTTCCGAGGACAAAGCATGGGAAAACTTTCGTTTGCAGATCTTAGCCTACAGCCTAACTTTTAACCGAAGAAGTAATAACTTTATTCCAGATTCTCTCATGCTACAAACCTGCCAAGTTCCACGCCAACTTTAGGCGAAGTCAAACCTCTGCCATCAATAAGATTCCTTTGTTCTATTCCTGAAGCAGCCTGCAATCAAGCACCACAGGCAGAAAACATCGTGGTTAATAATCACGAAAAAAACAAGTTAAATTACCAACAAGAGAGAGAAGTAACTACTAAACAGATGATGATGCCAGTTGCTTCACCTGTGATGTCCGTGGCCCCAAAGATGGAGTCTGATTCACATTTTCGGAAAGAGAAAGAGTATTCATACTTCTTGTCAAGGTATTCTGTTGATTGAGATTGTCAGACACATTGACAGGTGGAAGGAATCCAGGCAGGGACTGGTCCCTTCCTCTTCCAAAAGGCCCAGTTCCAGCACCATTCTGCATCTTAGTTACGAAGAGATTATTGCGAAGCCTGCCAGTGACGTGATACAATGCATCTTGTACATTTGCAAACTCACCCATAATCTGACAAAAGAAGAGAAAACCACCGTTTCAGCAGTAAACCAATAAATAGTTTGACCAGTGACTACTCAATAACAATGAAGATGGAGGAGTTTTTCTATATGCAGAAATGGTCCTCCAACACTTGGAATTTATCAACAGATGGGCAATCCTACAAGATATAGATATCCACAGACTAGATTAACTCGTATTCTCCCATAGTGCAGCTAGCAATCGAGCATGTTTCCAATTTCTTTAAACAATTAATTCTCCTAAAGTCCGACAAGTTGGACTTTTGCCTTCGTTTTCCACCTTATAATTTTCCAACTTAAGTTGAAAAACATCTCAAGCCTCCCCATAAGTTGAGTTTTAATTTTTTTTTCCACTTTTCTGTCCCAGCGCCATTAATTCTTTAACGGACAACTTTTCAAGACTCGATTGGTCAAAAGGGTAAATAAATAAGATCCCATCAATTTCCTTCCGTATTTTTTCAACAATATCAAGTTTAGTTTTTTTTATTCCTTCTTGAAGCATTGGATTCTGCAACCATACTTGCTGCCGCCTTCATCTCCGCAGTCGAATCCGTTAACAGCAAAAAAAGAGAATTCTATCACCCACTAAAATTCCAATGAAGAAAGGGGCTGAAAATTCTAAAAAAACATGACCTTTAAAAAGGGGGCTGGAAATTGATGCTGCTGAAGGCGTAAAACCGCTGCTTTGAGCCCGAAATCTTGTTTCTACTCCGTCATGTTCATTTGCCCCGTACAGTATGGAGCAGCTAAGCTGTTCCATTAACATCAATCATTGTTGCTCTTCACTGCAAAACCGAGATTCACCCTCTCCAATCCCATATCTGTAATGCACTCGAGTGGTGTTGATGGTGGTGGTGTGCCTTTGGGGACATAGGAGGAATTGGGAGGTACATGTTAAATGACAGTGGTGGTGGTGGCGGCGGCGGCAGAGGTGGGCAGCAATGTTGGTGGTGGTAGGGGCTTTGGTTTTGATGGCGGTGGCTATGGGGATGACAGGAGAAGAGAAGAAGCAGTGGTGCTGACGGAATTGAATTTTGGTCAATTGGGATTGAAGGGGTAATTAGGAAAGGTGGGTAATTTTAGGGCTTACTGCGGTAGTTCTTCAAAGTTAGACATTATTCAGAAAGGGAAAAAAAAAAAAAACTCAAAGTTGTCATTGATGAAAAAATACAAAAGAAAATTGGGCCCGTGAAAGTCCCCAGTTATTAGTATTATTCCTTTTCCCTGTTCGATACAGGACAAGCAAAATTTACTGATCCAACGGTTCAAAAAAGGGTCCTCGAGATGGAAGATTTCACGTCTCTGCTGCTGACTCCCTACTCCACACAGGCTAAAAGCCTAAAAGCAAAACCCAACCAAATCTAGCGAGAGAGAAAGAGGCAGAGCTTGTATATATCGAAATGACAAATTACCCTTTCGACCAATCGAGTCTTCAAAAGTTGACCATTAATTAATTAACAGTACTGAGACGGAAAATAATTACAAAAATTCTTCAAAGCATTTTCACAGAACTTCTTACAGCAATCTAAGATTAACCGAAATTTACCTCCACTATGCTGACACATGAAAAAAAATCTAAAAGCATGCTTAGCATAGATTGTTGTTGCATGGAGTCAAGAAAACTGAAAATAAGGAGTAAACAATTATTGTTGTAGACCAATCAACCGAATCAAAGATTGACATGGCATGGTGCAATGCATTCTCTTAAAAAAAGACAAAAAGCACTATGAGAAAAAGAAAAGAAGGGCTTCATGATGTACTTAAAGCAGCTCCCCTGCTTAAACAAAAAAGGGAAAAAAAAAAGAAAGAAACGAAGCAGCAGCTCTCATGTTTCATTACAAGAAGATTAAGGTGCTTAAAAGATAACATTGCATGATGTTTCACAGAAAGCAAAAGGATACATCATCAGTAACCAGGAGAATATACCTGTACCACTTCATCATTCTGGGAAGCACATCTGGGGACTTGATCACCCCCCAAAATCCTTATGGCTGCACCAGTGGCCTTCCTCATCTCCGAAACTATAGTGCCTCCCTTCCCCAACAAACAACCAACTTGGTTCGTATGTACGACCAGTCTTGCACAAACAGGTGGAGCCTCTGTTCCTGAATCTAGCCTCCTTTGCAAACCAGAATCCATAATACGACCAGAAATAAGTTTGATAGCATTTTGGGCAGGAGATTGTCGAGCTTCTTGGTTCTAAGGATGATCCAAAGAGAAATATACCGTTAATTCCTACAGTATGAGAAAATAATCACCACACATAATATGGGAACAAAAAGCTAAACAAACCTCCATCGCTGTAACAGTTATCAATCTTTCTTCACAGTCAGGAATAGTTGGCCCAACGCTAATTATTGCATTTGACTCTGCTTGAAGAGCACGTACAATTGAACCTCCAATACCAATCACAGTCCCTACTCTATCATTCAAACAAAGAATCCTAAAAACAACTTCATGCTGAGGTGCATCTGACACCCTCACTGGAACCCTGTTACTCTCCATATGCATCGGATAGTCCCTAGAGGAATAACTGGTTGAGCTAGTTTCTGTAGCTTGAGGAACTGGAACTCCTTGTGTAGGTAGATCCACAAGTAAACCGGGTGAAGTCTCCAGAGGGAAGGCTTCAACTGGTTTGCCAGGCATCATCCTTGCTTTATGCAAATCGGATGGTATACAGTCTTGCAGGCAGCGGCTTACTGCAATAAGTGCCTTCTTAACTTGAATAATATCACCTTCAATCTGGAGAAAGAAAAATTCAGCTGGTCTAATAAGATGCTTTACTGGAACAGAATTTTGTCAAGATGAGGGAGATAATTATTGCATATATGAAGTTTATGGGCAAAACAAACAGCAGAAATAAACCATGATCTAACCGCAGAACTGGAAAATGAATTCAGTGAACTGCATAAGATACAGAATCAACTGATCATGGAAAACCGCCAAAAATCCAATCTTTTTCACATGAAATACTCTTTACTCATCCAGTTTAAGTGACCAACACTATCCTTATACTGACTCAAATCAAGTAATCAAAAATCATTTGCAGCATTATACGATTAGGCAACTAGGAAATTTTTACTAACCTCTACCATTTCATCAGTAGACAATTTCTCGGAAGCCAAAACTTTGATTCTGCAACCAGTATCCTTCTTAATATTCTCAATCACTTTCCCGCCTTTGCCAATCACTGATCCCACTCGACTCTTCTCAACCAATAGCCTACAGGAAACCAAACCCCCACCACCGGCAATCACTAGCCCATCACTCTCCGCCGCTACTTCAATAACCCTCTCAAAAACCCTCAACACCGCCTCTTGCGCAGCCGATGCCATAACCTCATTCTCAGCATCAATAACACCATTAAAGCTTCCGTTACTCATCTCCGCCGCGGCCGCCGCCGCCGCTTCTTCTTCTCCGGCTGCTCTATTAGCGACATTGAGATTAAGTTTCTTGTTAACTACAGCCCTGCCAACGATGACGATGACCCGGTGATCATCCGAGTTGGGAAACGAATCTTCCACTCGGATCTTAGCGGAAGTTTCTAGCTGCAGCTGCCGGATAATGGAGCCCGACTTCCCGATTATGCCACCGACCCGAGAAGCGTGGCAGAGCAGCCTGAAGCATACGTGTCCGGGCGGGACACTAAGTGGGGCTGCGAAAGCTTTAACATTGAATCTTTTCGGAGGCCCACCGCCGTTGACGGCGCCGAAACCGGCGGCACTCCCGTGGGGTAAGTTCTGGTTGTTGTGATGAAGTTCTTGCATTCTACAAGCAAAAAAAAAAAAAAACGAACTTTTATTGTCTGAATTTGTTCTTTATTCAATTTTACACAATTTCCCCAATTTCCGACTTCATAGAGTATATCCTTATTTTTTGTTCCTTCTGCTCTGTTTGTTATTTGGATGAAGATGAAGAAGGGCTCTGCTTACTGTACTCTTTAACTATTTATTTCGAAGAGGTGCAAATCTCCTGTAATTAAAAATGATTAAAAAAAATAGGGCGACAAAATAAATAAATTTAAATATTGCTCTATTTACCTCAGATTTTATTTTATTTTTTGGAAATGAGTGAACTTAAAACATTTTTCATGTTTCAGGCTTTAACCTTTTCATTAGGGGGAGAATCTTTGATCTTTTTGTAGAGTAGATAAAATTGGATGTCTCTGATTTTTCTGGTAAATTTACTGGAAATGAGAACGTTAGAATCTGCTGATTCTTTAAAAAGCTGATTGGATTTCATCTGATTCTATTGGAAATGATTGGGTTCACTATCTTATTGAACAATCATAATCATATTTGGCTTTAATTAGGGCTAGATTGTTTAGTTGGGTACGTTTATTTGGAAGAGAAGACTGAAATCTTCTTGGTTTAGACCCACATATCATGAGTCCAAATCGAAAATGCATGTAAGTTTTGAAAGTCTTAAAAAATACCCTTAATCCAAATCTTCTTCCCAATAATTTTTGTCATTATATGATATAAACTTATTTTAAAAAAATCTTCAATTGAATAAGTCAATTTGTACAAAACACTAAAAAGGAACTCCTCCTTTTCATGGTAATTTTAACAATCAAATCATTGTTGTGGGAATGCCTTATGTGTTAAAATCATTTGCATGTCATGCAACTAATTCTTTTCTTTTCAATCTCTTCTTCTTATTGTAAATAGAATCTTCTTTATCTTTTAAGAAGAAAATTCAATCGATAACAATATAATATTTTACCGCTTAAAATAATATCAACGATTTCAAATCGCTTGTCCACTATTTATTCTTTTAGATGTGCATTAATTTAAAGATTCAGTACTTTAATTTTAAATTTTCTTTTTTTTTCTTAATTTTTTTTTTTTTTTTTGCCTTAGTATTTTGGTTTTGCAAGCATTGAAAGGATAATACTATTGGTTTGTACACCAGAAATCAAACCAAATCTTTTAGTGGATCATGACGGTAATAGAGTTGTTGGGGGGTGTGTTCCATCATGTTTATTTTTCACATTGGCAACACAAAAGATGATGCATGCGTTAGAAAACTAAAAGGTGGTGTCAAGTGGAAAAAAAATAAAATAAAATAAAATCAAGGACTAACTGGGTAGCTAAAATTGCGATATTTGCAAAATAAAGAAAAAACAAAAAGAAGAAGATACTATTCATCTAAATATTGTGTTAGTTTGGTGTGAAATGTGAAAGACTATTCATTTTTCGATACTAATTCATCTAAATAATGTGAAAGACTATTGAGAATAGAACCAACTTTTTACATTTTAAAAATCAGTCTTAGTTGCAGGCGAAACCAAAAACAGACAAGATAACTTGAAACCTGCAGCCAAAAATGAGGACTTGTGTGTTTTGTTTTCCTTCTTTGATGCTGCTTTTGGTACAGTTATGCTGCTGGGATGTTTGCTTCACCTCTGGGCAGTGTCTTGGTGATCAGAAAGCCTTGTTGCTGGAGCTCAGGGACAACCTAACTTATGATCCAACGGTTTCCACCAAGCTTGTGGAGTGGAATCAGGATACTGCTGATTGCTGTTTCTGGGCTGGTGTCAGCTGCGATTCTTCAGGTCATCTCGTTGGCCTCGACCTAACCGGGGAATCGATATCTGGAGGAATCAATCAAACCAGTTGTTTGTTTAGTCTAAAGTTTCTGGAAAGGTTAAGTTTGGCTGAAAACTACATAGATTCAGCTATGTTACCATCCAACTTTGAGAAGCTCACTTTGTTGAAATATCTGAATTTGTCTGATTCCGGGTTTGCTGGGCAAATTCCTAGTGGTTTCTCCAAAATGAAGAGCTTGGTTAGTCTTGATCTCTCCAGCAACTCTCCGGGGCTACGAGAATTGTATCTTGAAACTTTAGTTCAGAATCTCACCGGGGCTACGAGAATTGTATCTTGATGGGATGAATATTTCAGCACAAGGGCAGGACTGGTGTCAGGTTCTATCCTCTTCATTGCCTGATTTGCAAGTTTTGAGCATGACAAATTGTCAACTTTCTGGGCCAATAGATTCTTCCTCGGCCAAACTTAAATCTCTTAGTTATACGGCTTGATGAGAACAGTTTACAACTCAAATCCCAGTATTCTTTGGGGATTTATCCAATCTGACTGTCTTGAGCTTAAGTTCATGTCGCTTCTCTGGATTAGTATCACAGAAGATATTCCAGGTACCAATTCTTCAAACTATTGACTTGTCTAAATAATGGAGATCTTGGGGGTTCCCTGCCGGAATTCCCTGCAAATTCAACTCTTCAAAACCTGTTGCTTAGCCAGACACAATTCTCAGGAACCTTGCCAGATTCGATGGGTGATCTTAGACTGTTGTCACCCACCTGGTTTATGTAGATTGGTCTTTAAATTATTTCAATGGCTCTGTTCCATAAATCTTTCCAGGAATCTTTCTTATATTGATCTTCACAGAGAACAATCTGTCAGGTAATATTTCTTTCTTCCAGTGGGTAACACTTGATAATCTGGTGTATCTTGACTTAAGTGAGAATTCATTGCAGGGGCCAATCCCTGAGAGCCTATTTTTTATGCCATCGCTGGAGGTCTTGAAACTTTCCCACAACAAATTCTATGGTCAAATAAGTGAAGCTTCTAACAAGCAGTCTTCCAAACTGGCCATCCTTGAGTTGCATAGTAATAATTTAGAAGGTCCCCTGCCTCAGGTTCTGTTTGATTTACATAATCTTACCAGTCTGACACTTTCTTGGAACCAATTCACTGGAACTCTTGACTTGATCTATTTCGGAAAGCTACCGCAACTTGTTTCTCTTGATCTTTCATACAACAAGCTGGTCGTTAACGTAAACAGTAGTTACTTGGACCCTTCTTTGCTTCCCCACTTTCAAACTTTGATGTTAGCTTCGTGCGGCATAAGTAACTTCCCATTCCTAAAGAACCCGTCAGGACTTATGATGCTAGATCTTTCAAATAATCAAATAGCTGGGGCTATACCTAGCTGGCTGTGGGAAATCAGAGATGGTTATTTCGTTTTCTAAATCTTCCTCATAACTATTTGACTTACATTCAAGAACCTCACAAGTTTGGCAATCTACAGTTTCTTGATCTCCATTCAACTTTTCCTAACTGGGCAGTTCCCAAATCCACCATCGAGTGTAGCCTTTGTGGATCTCTCAAGCAACAACTTTGTTTCTTCAATCCCTGTGGACATTGGCAATAACCTTGTGAATGCCATATTCTTCTCCATTGCAAATAATAAGATGGTTGGTAGTACTCCTGAATCACTGTGCTATGCAAGTGGGCTTCAAGTACTTGACTTATCGAACAATACCCTAAGCAATACCATACCACCATTTCTACTGGAAACTAACAATAGTCTTGGAGTCCTTAATCTGGGACGAAACAATCTTAGTGGCCACACACCTGGAATCTTGTTTTCTAGCTCCGGCTTAGAGACCATTGATCTGAGTTGGAATTTCTTAGAAGGACAGATTTCCCGCATCTTTGTCAAACGGCAGCAATTTAAAGGTCTTGAACCTCGGTAACAACAGAATAGATGATAACTTTCCCTGCTGGATAAACAGATTGACCAACCTACATGAGCTTGTACTGCGCAACAACCACTTCTATGGAAGCATTACTTGTCCTGGAAACAATTACAGCTGGCTAAATCTTCAGATTGTTGATCTTGCTGTAAACAGCTTCACTGGGAGTGGGACTGTACCAACAGTTCATTTCTCGAGTTTGAAAGCTTAACAGTTGAGAAGGAAGATCCTGGTCACTTGCGATTCGATACTTCTGTGTCTGGTAACATTTACTATCAAGACTCTGTCTCACTAGTTCTCAAAGGACAAGGAATTGACCTGCTGAAGATCCTAGGCATCTTCACCTAAGTCGACTTCTCCAGCAACCATTTTCTAGGGAATTTGCCAGAAACAGTTGGAGAGCTTCAATGGCTTCATCTTCTTAATCTGTCATACAATTCACTAACAGGTCCAGTTCCACAGTCAATTGGCAACCTGAAGCAACTTGAGTCACTGGACCTCTCATTTAATCATCTGAGCGGGGAAATTCCAATGCAGATTTCTGGTCTTACATACCTCTCATTCTTAAACATGTCTTACAATCTGCAGGTTGGAATGATACCTGATGGTGGACAAATGCAAACTTTAACAGAATATAGCTTCCTTGGGAATAATGGTTTATGTGGTTTTCAGGTCAGCAAATCATGCACTTCTGCTTCTCCACCAGAATTTCCAGTTTTATCACGTGAGGAGCAAAAATTGGTTTCCAAGGGTGACGTCTACATCAGTTCTGCAGTAGGATTTTCAGTGAGCCTAATAGATATATATGGGTCACTCTTTTGTAACAAGAAGTGGAGAAAATGTTACAACAACCCTCTTGACAGATTTGTTCTAAAGATTTTCTGTCAACCAAAACCAAAAGTAAATGGAATGAGAATGGACAATGATAGTTGCAATCTGAGTTCATTGTCATGACTACTACAGTTCATACTTCTGAATCTTCCAGTTGTAAATTTAGGGTAGCTTTTCTATTCTACTCTCCTCTCTGCATACCCTAGTAGAGACATCCATTTGTACTGTCAGAGCTTAATTTTCTGTTACCATGTGCCAAGCAAATCTGCTTATAGGAGTGACGATAAGTTTCTCTGGATTTAAATTACCAGCTAACTTATTGCCCAGATCACAGTTGAAAGACAAGGTAATGAAAAAAAAAAAGAAAAAAAAAAGGAAAAGACAAGGTTGTTCGTGGCTTTCATTATATCTTGGATGGTTTCTGGGTTAGAAAATATGTCACTGGAACTAAATGCAAAGAGATGAATTGCCATGATGTTTCTTTTAATCAGGAAAAATGAAGTTATCTTTAATGGTTATGATTGTGTTCGAATTGCTACCCTGGTGACATCATTTACTCAGAATCCACCTTTATAAGCCAAATCCAATTGCATGATGCTCTTAAACCTATGCTTAAACTTACCTTTCAGAAGTGCTTTGCTTACAGTGCATTAAAAAATAACATAAGTTGGCAAAAATGGAACTTTTTTTGATTGACTAGATAATTATATCTGATAGTGTAACAGGTAGCTAAAACACTTTAAGAGGATGATTAAAGGAGAAAAGTCGAGAGATTTACCATGCAAATGGGGAGAAACCAGGATAGCCGGCGCCCCTTGCTCATCATTCCGCCAGTTTCGCATTTTAAATTGTGTAACAACCTTTGTGAGTAACGAAAAATGGCTCATAAAAAGCCCAGGAATGGCTCACAAAAAGGACATGATATAAGAGCATCTTTTAGTTGGGTAGAAAGAAATGGTTATCATGCAAGCATTGTGACAAGAAGTCTTGCAAGCTGGAAACTTCTATATAATGGCCTAATGGAACTGCTCCATATTACCAACCTTGATGAAAGGATCCATGGCTTCTGAAAAAGGCCATCTCTTGATGTTCCCGTGGTTAGCGTTTGGCCACCTTCTGCCGTTCCTTGAGTTCTCCAAAAAATTAGCAGCCAAAGGTGTGAAAGTGTCCTTTGTTTCTACACCAAAAAACCTCAGGCGATTGCCTTCCATACCTTCCGACTTGTCAGAAAAAATAAAGCTTCTGGAGGTCCCCTTGCCATCAGTTGATGGACTGCCGGAAAACTCTGAGTCCACCATTGACATTCAACCGGAGCAAACACAGTACTTGAAGAAGGCATACGACGGGTTAGCAGGACCCATGGAGAAGCTCCTGCAGAATGAAATGCCAGACTTGATACTGGTAGACTTCTTAGCTCATTGGGTTCCAGAAATTGCCACTAAGGTTGGTGTACCAGTGGCCTTTTTTAGTGCTTATACAGCTGCAACGTTAGCTTTCTTAGGACCACCTGGTGAGCTTATCTCTGGAACACAACGTAAAGGTCCAGAACAGTTCACAAGACCACCAGATTGGTTCACTTTTCCTTCTCTTGTAGCCCACAGTCCTCATTATGCGCCAACAGCATTCCAAAATCTGCACATTCCAGACAAATCAGGTCTGTCTAGTGGCCAACGTATTGCTAAAGTTGTTCAAGGATGCAGCTTCATTGCACTGAAAAGCTGCAAGGAATTTGAAGCAGAATACATACACCTTCTCGAGGAACTGTATCAACGGCCTGTTATACCAGTTGGTGTTCTCCCACCAGTGCCTACAGGAAATAAGGACCACACAAAGTCCAATACAAGGTGGTCTAAAACCTTTGAATGGTTGGATCGACAGAAACCCAAGTCGGTATTATTTGTCGGCTTTGGGAGCGAATACAAGATGCCAACTGCGCAAATTCAGGAATTGGCTCATGCAATTGAGCTTTCAGGGCTACCTTTCATATGGATTTTAAGAACACCAGAGGGAGCAGAAAACCTAAACTTACTGCTTTCTGACTTTCCTGCTCGAACCTCAAAACAAGGGATGGTTTGTCCAGGTTGGGCACCTCAAATGGAAATACTTGCACATTCTGCCATAGGTGGATGCCTCTTCCATTCTGGTTGGGGATCTATAATTGAGTGCCTTGGATTTGGACATCCACTTGTTCTCATGCCAATGGTATACGATCAGACGCTCAATGCAAAGCTGTTAACAGAAAAGGGAGTAGGTTACGAGGTCCCAAGAAATCTAGATGGTTCGTTCAATAGGAAACATGTTGCTGATGCAATGAGGCTGGTAATGGTGGAACCACAGGGAGAAGAAATAAGGTCCAAGGCAACTCAGATGCAAACAATTTTCGGCAACCAAGATCTTCATGATAGCTACATCAATGAGTTCATTCAGCACCTCAGAGAACTCCAAGTTCTCAAGACAACGTAAATGTCAGTCAAGCTCCTGAAGAATACAACTTTCATGCAGGCAGTAACATGAGTACATCAACTGTGGTGCACATTTGGTGTATGCAATAAGATGATAAACACGTCTAATTTGAACCAACAACTGCGAGGAGCAGATAAAGCTTTCTCATGGGCAAGCTGATTACAAATTTCACAAACTGAATATGCTTCTTTTCCAAGCTACATTGATCTTAGAAGATAATAATGCAACACATTCTGAAACTCTTGAATAACTGTAAATGATAGAATATAGTTGTCACATGACGCTGAGAGTTATTCAAAGAAATCACTCAAACTTAAGCATCTACAGAAGTTATCCTTTCACCCAGAAAAAAAAAATAAAAAATAAAAAAACCCCTTAAGTATTATATTCACGGAACAGTTCTATAGAAGTTATCATACTTAAGGATCTATAATTCACAGAAATATAGAAGTTGCCCTAATTCACAGAACACTACTGTTGTTTATTAAAATCTTAAGGTTTCCCTTTGTCAACCCCTGTTGTCAAAACTTTATCATGCTTTTACAGATTTTAACTCACTTCATCATGCTTTTACTGATTCTGGACTAGACCAGCATGACCAGATGACTGGATGCATAATTTATTACTATTCAGCAAAAACTAAGATCTGGAACACAATTTACCTTATCTGTGAATGCACCGAACTATCTAATATGTCAAGTGGCAAATTTCCATTGTGTAAAATGCAATTTTCTGATGGCAGAGATGATCCCATGGCGGACACAAGAAACTCAGAGGGTGCAATGAAGAATACGATAGAATGAAGAACGAAATGGTAATCAAAGAAATAGAATAAAAAGAGCTTTAGATACAAAGAAAATTTTCAATATTTTATTTCTTTATTTAAGTAGATTACAAATACACAGACAACAAGTGAACAACTTAGTGAAACCATTAAATGGCATAAGATGCATGTAAGCACCACTCTGATTTTTGCAACTTGTGGAAACTCATGCCATGGTGAGCACCCCAGTAAACATTTCAAAGATCAACAGGACCTACATACTGATCTTGTGTTAATTCAGAGAATTGGATGTCTCAACAATCAAAAAGAAAAATTTACAAAAGCACAAATGAAATTGCTAGACTTCATAGCCAGGATTAACTTTCTGTTGAACATCCCCGTAACTCTCTAATTCATCAATATCCTCTGGACTCCCCAAAAACAAAGAAAGTCTTTGATGCAACTTGACTGGCTGAAGAGATAGAATCCTGCTCTTACCATCAGAACCTCTGCCCCCAGCCTGCTCCACTATAAAACTTAATGGATTTGCTTCATAAACAAGACGCAGATGATCTCTCGGATTCATAGCCACGCCCCCATACAAGAGAGTGCGATGAAAATCAGCAACAAGAGAACATATATAACGGGCTGAATACTTTTTTGGATATTTACCCTTGCCTTGTCTCACAGTGTCAATGTAACGCCTTAAACCTTCAGGCCAATCGAAATATCTTGCATCATTCACAGAATATATTTGCCCTGCCATGAGAGAGTGAAACAAGAAACTGATGATGATCAAGCAAAAAAGAAGAACTCAGTGAATTTGCCATTTTATCGCGACTGTATGAAAATAGAGCTCAAAGCCAAGATACCTCTAGGTGGAATTTTGATATTGGGATGTGTAAGAATGAAGTCTCCAGTTGAATGGTCCAAGGTGAACGCATGTGTTCCTGAGCCAAAGCTGATACAGAGAATAGTGGCTGATGAGTAGAGAACATAACCAGCAGCAACAAGCTTTGCTCCACTCTGCAGGGAATTAAGCATAGCTTTTTCCTCCACTGGTAGATGATCGGTCTCCACGAGTCGTTTGTAGATCCCAAAGATTGTTCCAGTAGGAATGGAGGCATCAATGTTCCTGGAACCATCTAGAGGATCAGTGACCACCACATAGGGGCCATTATCAGTTATCCAAACTGGCAAATCATCTTCTTCAGAGGCCATAACCGCAACTTTACCAGAATTGCGCAAAGAAGACAAGATAATCTCATTCTGCATTCAAGGAAGATGGCCAATCACAACTCACAAACTGTCATACCAAACAAAACATAATCAGAATTGATCGTCGCAACAAAAACCAAACAAAATCAAATTGCAAAACATTAGGATTTTTTGACGGTAAAAAAACACTACTATAACGTTAAAAGAATAGCCCTATCCTAATACGAACTTCCAAAATCCGGATAACAAATTTTCATCCGAAATTACTACTGCAAGATAATTCACTGCAATTGATAAGAAATACCAATAAAGGGGAGGAATTGGAGAAAACTTACAGATACAACATCAAGAGGCTTAGGTTTATCTCTATCAGCAGATGCCCCGGAAACCAGGACATCTTTTCCAAGGGTAGAGTTAAAAGGGGAAGCTACAAGAGCAGCGATTTTCTTGAAAGCATACTCCAAATGACCCAACAAAATCCCCAGCTCATCCCCCACATCAAGTCCGCCCTTACCCACAAACTCCATTAATGTACAAAACCCCGAATTATGATCATCATCAAAAGTGAGAGAAGCATCAGTACTACCGCCAGCACCACCGGTTTTTGCACTGGCCCTCAGGTTCAACTTCAACCCACCAGAAGGAGAAGTGAAGGAAGTCATTCTGCTTCTGGGTTTTGCAAAAAGGAGGGTTCTTGGCGGGAAAAGGTGGAATTCTGGAAGGAAATTGGAGTTGGGTTTTAAGAAGATGGAGGAAGTTGGCATCTCTTACTGATGATGAGTGATGATGAATTTGGGATAGAGAATGCTGTCTCTAATCTGGGCCTCAGGTTTGTCCCTTAGTTAGGGAGTAATAAGCAGCGGTTAAAAAACTTTTGGAATTGTTAAACTAATCCAAAGTTACAGCTGTAACCTACAAATCCGGGGCTGATAATTTGAGTGCAATTCCTTTTTATTAGGAGTAAAATTTTAGTAATTACTAATAATACCTCATGTTTAAAATTTTAAGGACTTGCCCCATTCATTTTTGCAATTTAAGCGCAAGAAAAAAATTATCTTTGCTAAGAAAACAACTAAATTATACTAGCTATAGAAACACAAGGTAAAATACCATCACATTTACATCTACAAATTATCATCGGCTGGATTACAAGTTTTTAGTTTTTTTTTTTTTCCCAAAATCCCATGCACACACCAAAAGTAATTTATTCCAGAATTTATAATCTCAACAAATAAATTGAATCGAATTTTTATCTAAAACTAACACATTATAGCACCACAATGCCCAAAATGACCTTAGAGACCTCTCCTTCCCATTTGCTGCATCTTCCGCGGGAGAGAGCTTGTTGGCTAAGGGGCAATTGTAGCACATCAAAGCGTGTGAAGATATTGAATCTCTTTTGTGCGCCGGAAAGAAAATTTTTTACTTGTATTCTTCAAAATGTATAAAAATTAGTTGATGTGGAATTTAATCACACTATTATAATTAATGATGTATGATTGATTCCTACCAAAATTTCTGCGGTGCATTTTTGTGTTTTATTTGGAAAATAGTTAAAATAGTCGTCAAATATAATTTCCCTTGTTTTTCAATAATTCATTATCGATCAGGAGTCGAAGACAACAGTTGAAGGAGAAACAGAAACTGCAAGCAAGCAAATGGAGAACCCTAATTTTTGTGTTCAGTCATTGTGCGTGACCTTATTATCACTCTGGGCAAGTTAAGTGTTAGTTCTTTTGTTTGATTTCTGAATATTAATTTGGCCAAGCAAATCACACGCGACAATATGACGATTTGGCCCAATTTCTGTTGGGTTTTTGGATTGAACACGGTCTGGGCTAGGACCAGATTGCGGAGAAAATAGGAGGCTTGGTCGATGGAAATTTATAAAAGAAAAGCGGGGCAAAAGTGTAAAAATTGACAGGGGGAATCTCTTTCCCCAAGATATCGCAAGGCTATAAATAGAATGGACGGTGGTCATAAATCGGAAAGCCCTAGTTACATCTTCAATTATTAAGTATATAATATCGATTGTAGCCGTCCGAGCATCGAAGGTTTGGCGAAAACTGCAAGCAGGCGAGGAAGAACCGGTGAAGTTTTAAAGGTGCCTCCAAATCTTATGTATGTGATCTTTCTTTTGATATCAATTGAAGCTCTCAAATAGGTGAATCCATTAATTATTCATGTGTTTTTGCTGATAATAAGTAATCTTCTTCTAACAACGGGGTTGGGGGTGGGGGAATTGCTTTGCCTGGTTGGGGATCTGGGCCGGAGATACTCATCGCTTTCGCAGTTTAATCGAAGAATATACTATGATGGAAAACTTAAATCGACGATGCTAGGGCATGTGTATTGTGTAGCAATTACAGATATGTCTCTCGATTTGTTTTTAATTCTTCTGTAATAATGATGGTTTTTTTTTCCGGGGCAGAAAGGAAGAAGGGGGATATGGAGGGTCAGGCGGTGAAGTGGATTTGGTACGGGATGGCTTTGGGTGTGTCTGTGCAAGCCTTAGCTTTCAACTCTGTGTTGTCTAGATACGACAGAGATTTGGAGTTCGAGAAAGAGTATTGTGAGAGGTAGGTGGAGACGGGCATGAGGATTATAGAAGACACGAAGAAGATGACAAAGGAGGACAAGGAGAAGCTGCTCAAAGTTCCGAGGAAGGAATAGGCACATCTTAGTTTTCTGCCTAGCGCCCCCCTTTTGTCTGGTCTGTCTCTGATTTGCAATGAGAACTAACTTATGTCTTCATGTTCTATGTAGGGGCGTTGGCGTTTTTGTGTTGTTAATCGGTCATCTGGTATTGTATCTATAATCGTACTGCTTCCTTAAACACTTTAGTTTGTGCTTTACAAGCTCTAGTCTAGACCTGGTTTCCTATGGCTGCTTCCTTATCTTACCTTAAAGTTCCAGTTCTTTTTGCGCACTTAGATTGTATTTGTATCCTAAGGTACTGTGTTTTTTTTAGAACGAATAACTCTTCCATATTGGCTTTGTAGTTTACTAAAGACGTGACCTTTTAGAATCTCTTGCTGGTTTCCGCATTTTCATTGACTAATTGCACCAGTTTATAGTGCTTCAGTGTTTACTACGACAATTAACCCGAGGAATTGGGAAGATTTCATTTTCTTTGTAAATAAAACTGGAAAAGTTATTGATTTTTCAGTTCAAGCAAACGTTCTGCTCAAGCATTGAGTAAGAACTCTGAAACGATCATCAATAATTGATTTAATGATTTACCACAAAACCAATAAACCACTGATACGATCATTGAAATATTACTCTTTTGAGCATTTCCACACTAAAGCATTCTTTTTCCAACTAATAAAAATTGGACTGCCCCCCTCTCGAACATGGCACTAAGCTATCCCCGGTGTTAGGAATACTAAAATAGTCAGGGCAGGAGTTTCCATAGTCATCGACCTGTATCGGAGTTGAAGATTTTGCAGTGATAAAGCTGAAATATGAACGCAATGGACAACAAAGAAAAGAATTTCACGTCAAAAAATGGAGATCCAAGCTCAAAGACAGACGCCGGAGACTGCTTCTAAGGATGGTTCCATTTGTGGGTTTGATTCTCTCTACCGCCTCCTCCAAGCGTACCTTAGCCCTCCACTTTTCCAGGTATCCATCAACTTCTTGGGTCTTTTCCCTAAAAAAATTCTTTAAAATAAATGTGGACAAATTTAATTTTTTTAAAATATATGTGGATATATATATATATCCCCGAATTTTATAAATCCGAAGGTCGATTAAAATAAAACCTTCGAATTTCACAAATCCAACTATCCAAATAATATTAAAATAATAAATATTCACATTTTACAAAAATACAGTCAAAAAAGTCAGAAAATGAACAGTACATTTCGGAATTGTAAATTCTGAATTTAATAAAATAAAAAAATACAAAAGAAAAATTGAGGCGCGAAATTTTTGAATTTCAACTCCGGAATTTTGTAATCCGGATTAAGGAATTCGGATTTTCAAAATCCGACTATATTAAATTTTGGTTGGTGGAAGTAGGCATCTATCATAAATTAGAGGACAAAAAAATAGAATTAAAAATCCGTAATTGACTAAACTCGGATTTATGGAATCCGAGCTTTGTAGGATTCGGATTTTGGAAATCCGAACTACTTATTCGGATTTTTGAAATTCGAGTTTACCGTGATATAAATGAAAAAAAAAAACACAGTTCTCGAATGAGAACTGAATTAGATTTTCTATTTCTGCGGCTCTTGGTTTGCGAATTGGAGTTTTTTATGCAACCTTACCGCTAGATACGTGGGGATCGTTATTTGAAAGAGGTTAGATTGCAAAACCATGTTAAGTTAGTTTATTTTTGTGTTATTTTGATTGTTAGAATGATGTATGATAGATTAGGGTTTTTGTTTGTTGATTGTTTGGATGTTTTAGGTGTTGATTTTGAGGTTAGAGATGAGAAATCATAGTTGTTCATGAGATATGGAAGTTGATTTATAAGTATTTTAGGATTTTATAGGTTTTTTAATTATGAATGGAGTATGTATGGTGTATTTGTTGATTTTGTTATTAAGAAATGATTAGATATTGATTTTTTTAAACGGTTATCAATGGCATGTAATATATCATACATGCTTAATTTGTTTTATACAAGCAAGTATGTGATAGAGAATGGTAGCATCAACACTTTTTTGAATATGCCCTATCATGGCTTGTTCGTTGAGGAAAGGTTGTCATATGTGGAATTGATTAGTAAGATTTGTATGACATTTGGTTGGGATCCAGCACACATGAAACTCCATCTTTCTGTGATTTTCGATAGTTCCGGTGGTAGGCGTGTAGTGAAGATCAAGAATAATTCGCATGTAGAGTTCATGAACCGTGTAGCTCAATGTCATGTTTGGATTTATACTTAGATTTGGAAGATATCACTCACGAACAAAGAGAAGCGAGTTTGGAAAGCAATGTGTTATTTAGTGTTTTTCCGAGGAGGAAACGTGCTAGTACTTCTCGAAATCGGGATGAAAAGGAGACACCTTTAGTTGCACAAGATGACTACATGGAAGAGTCGGATCCCGACTACATAGCTCCAAGCGAAAGCGAAGAAGACCGTGAGGTCTCTGCAGATAGTGATTTTGATGAAAGTGATAATGAATTATTGGAAAATGAGGAAAAAGATCTTAATCCATTGCCCCGACGCCATGTATATAGTAAGATGAGGAAATGAGATGCTTCGTGTGTGGGCAAGGATGAGTTTGCTCTTAAGATGTGAGATGAAACCCCTGAAGGAATGGACATTGGTGTTTGTTTCAAATCCCAATTAGAATGAAAACATGCTGTGAAATTATGGAACATACATCATAAAAGAGAATATACGGTTGCCGCGAGTAGTCCAACGACGTGGGCAGTGCGGTGCAAAACATTAAATGTACCAAGTGAGGATGGTGATCCACCATGTGTGTGGAAGATGCGTGTGTCTTTGAAAGATCACGACCTTCATGAAATTGTGAGATGGCATGATGCACATAATTGCATGATTCGTGAATGATAATGACAATCCGTGTTTAGACATAACTTTGATTGCTAGACTCATCAGGAGAAAGTTTGAGGATAATGTAAATTATACGGTGTCCTCGGCACAGAACGATGTGAAGATCTTATTGAAAGTAGATGTGCTATACAAAAGGGCGTGGCACGGGAGGAGGAAAGCCATAGAAGCGGTCTATGGTGATTGGACCTCGAATTTCAAAAAACTTCCTAGGTAAATATCAACTTTTATAATTGTTATGTGTATTATTTTATTTTATTTTTGAGTTACATGTATTAAAATATTTTAACTATGTCTCGTTTGTTGTGTAGGTATATCGCTGCGCTTAAATTTACTAATACTGAGATTGTAGTACAATGGGAATGGAAGGAGGGAGAAGAAGGTTGGAACATGGGAAATAAGACATTTAAATACGTCTTCTGGTCATTTGCACCAGTGGCTGCGACGTTTCTTGAATGTCTACCGGTCATTTGT